GATTCCGTACTGTTGAACCACAGCAATTAAAGTGGTGTCAAACTGCATTGGTTTTAGAGTGTAGATGCACCCGAAGTCCAAACCTCCTTCTCCACTACATTCTCTACCTCTTCAAAAACATAATTATTTTTGTGTGACAGCCCACTGCCACGCTATATTTAAACAAAGCCATTAGCGGGCTTGCTGTAGCGTGCAACGAGAAACTTTGGATTCATTTTTCTTCGATGTTCTCGGGAATTAAAATATGTGTAACAACAAGCATCATGCTCAACTTTAAATAGACCGTGCAGTCTGCTGGGATGAGAATATATATATATATACACACACGTGCACGCATACACACATTTGCTGGCTTGTTATCATATCATCAGTGCAGTGAGTTTGCAATAATAAAGTAAAAACACTATTAAGTGGAGATGAACTGAATGCCACACTGAGCAAATTGGGACATGGATGGATGGCAAGAGGACCAAATATCCTGAAGGCACCCAATCCTGTCTGATTTTGGAAGCCAAGCAGGGTCAAACTTGGTCTAGGACAGCCTTTCTCAACCTAGGGGTCAGCACCCCTTGGAGGTCGTGAGGAGATTTCAGAGGGGTCACCAAAGACCACAATGTTTTCTGTTGGCTATGAGGGTTCCAACTGTGGTGCTGGAGGAAAGTTCTGAGAGTGCCTTGGACAGCAAGAAGATCCAACCAGTCCATACTTCAAGAAATAAAGCCTGACTGCTAATTGGCGGGAAGAATAGTAGAGGCCAAGATGAAGTACTTTGGCCACATCATGAGAAGACAGGAAAGCTTAGAGAAGACAATGATGCTGGGGAAAATGGAAGGAAAAAGGAAGAGGGCCCAACCAAGGGCAAGGTGGATGGATGGTATCCTTGAAGTGACTGGTTTGACCTTGAAGGAGCTGGGGGTGGTGACGGCCAACAGGGAGCTCTGGCGTGGGCTGGTCCATGAAGTCACAAAGAGTTGGAAACGACTGAACGAATGAACAACAACATGAGGGTTCCATGTGGGAAGTTTGGCCCAATTCTATCGGTGGGGTTCAGAATGCTCTTTGATTGTAAGTGAACTATAAATCCCAGCAACTACAACTCCCAAATGTCAAGGTCTTCACCAGTTTTCACATTTGGGCACACTAACTATCCGTACCAAGTTTGATCCAGATCCATGGATCAAACTTGAGAGAATTGGCCGTCTGCAAGGACATTAACCAGGGGAGGCCTGGATGTTTTGATGTTTTACCACCCTTATGGGAGGCTTCTCTCATGTCCCCACATGGAGAGCTGGAGCTGACAGAGGGAGCTCATCCACTCTCTCCCCGGATTCAAACCTGCGATCTGTCAGTCTTTAGTCCTGCCAGCACAGGGGTTTACCCCACTGTGCCACCAGGGCAGTGGGGCAAACACAACTATGAATTAAACCTGGTAAAGATGGAGTCTCCATAAATTGACATCAATGTGAAGACACTAAACCACCCAGAAACACAGCAAGAGGAGATTCACTGAACTGAATGGCCAACTTAAGTCTCATTGATTTCAACTCATGTACTCCATCACCGAACTGAGATCCAACCTAATTTATTTATTTCGTATCAAAAGCATCACATAAATAAATTAGTATAAAACTGATAAAAATAGGAGCACAGGTGGCTAAATATCTTTTGACCAAAAATGGGCAACAGCAATGGCACTGTCTGTAGCCTCCAACAATTCTTCCTCTGTACATGAGGCAGGGCATAGTGGATAAGCATACAGATGCAGAGTTGTCTGTTCTGCTCCACAGTCACACAAGGTGTGGGATTCTTTTAGGTCGTGCCATTTTGCCAGGTTGTCTTTTAATCTGCCCACTCCACTTCTGAGTCTGTTCAGGGACTTCCAAGTTGCCCATTCTTGGTTTGCTCCTGGAGGAAGACCCTCTCTTGTGCAGGGCCATCCAGTTGGGATTTCCTGGTTTAATCCAGCCTAATGGCTCAAGTGTTATTTTTGACAATCCCAGAGGCAACTGGACCCAAATGAGACAGATAATTCTTTGTCTGGATTGCAAAATCATGTCCCCGTCAAACTCTGCTGTTGTTTCACTTTTGCTTCCTTTGGTTGATCTCTAATGAATGCCTTCTGGCAGGTGAGACCCAAGCTGTCTCCATTGCAGCGACAGGTGGCTGCTGCCTCAAGGTAAGAAATCGCATCTGCAGAGATATGGGCCATGCTTGCAACATTATGTAAAAGGCTTTTAAAAATAATCCAACAGAGTACTGAACTGAACCCAAGTAGTGAAGTAGTGAAGAACCCAGCAATCCAGGTGATATGAAAGACTTCATCTGAAGATTCTTTTTGCAGATTGAGATAGTATGTCAACAAGAATGAGGGGCATTTGAACACTGGGATGCATTTACATTGCAGCATTAATACACTGTAGACCAGTGGTTCTCAACTTGTGGGTGCCCAGGTGTTTTGGCCTATAACTCCCAGAAATCCCAGCCACTTTACCAGCTATTGGGATTTCTAGGAGTTGAAGGCCAAAACATCTGGGCATCTGGATGTCGATGCACCTCTTGTTTCCAAGAAAACCAAATCCAATTAACACTTATTTCTGCACAAAATAACTATAGATTTGTTTTCTTTTTGCAGAACTAGTCTTGAAATGTGAATAAAGGTTAAGGTAAAGTTGTTCCCTTGACATTAAGTCTACTGGTGTCCAACTCTGGGAGGTGGTGCTCATCTCCATTTCTAAGCCAAAGAGCCAGCATTGTCTGTAGACGCCTTCAAGGTCATGTGGCCTGCATGACTGCATGGAGTGCCATTACCTTCCCGCCAAAGTGGTACATATTGATCTACTCAGATTTGCATGTTTCCAAACTGCTAGGTTGGCAGAAGCTGGGGCTACCAACAGGAGCTCACCCTGTCCTGCGGATTCGAACCACCAACCTTCCAGTCAGCAAATTCTGCAGCTTAGCAGTTTAACCTCCTGCGCTATCACGGCCCCTTCATATGTTTATTATTTATTTATTTATTTATTATCTACAGCTTTTATATTCCGCCCTTCTCACCCCGCAGGGGACTCAGGGTGGATTACAGTGTACACATATATGGCAAACGTTCAATGCCAATTTTGACATACAACATATACAGACATAGACAGAGGCTATTTAACTTTTTCTGGCCGCCAGGGGAGCTGTCGCTTTCATCGTCCATCTGCGACACTGATGAAGTACTTCCGCATTCCCCGCATGCTTTTGCTTGCGTGCTGTCTTTTTTATGGCCTCATAAATTAGTTAATTCAGCCTCCCCACACTTTAAGGTGGTACCTAATTTTCCTACTTGACAGATGCAACTGTCTTTCGGGTTGCAAAGGTCGACAACAGGCTACACAATTGGTTGGAAACCCACTCCAACCCGGGCTGGCTTCGAACTCATGACCTTTTGGTCAGAGTGATCTTAATGCAGCTGACACTCAGCCAGCTGCGCCACAATCCCGGTGCTAGTCTCATTTAAATCCACTGAGCAAGTTAGTCATCTGGATCCATCCAGATTGTATAAGATACCCTTGCAGCAAAACCTTGACCTATCACTACAATATGGAGCCTCCAAGGTCATGTGGCTGGCATGACTGCATGGAGAACCATTACCTTCCCATCAAAGTGGTACCTATTGATCTACTCCCATTTGCATGTTTTCAAACTACTAGGTTGTCAGAAACTGCAGCTAACAGTGGGAGCTCAACCTGCTCCAAACCTTTGAACCTACGACCTTTCAGTAAGCAAGTTCAGCAACTCAGCGGTTTAACCCACTGTGCAATCAGGAGCTCCTGAAATGTGAATAGCCTTTAAAAAATAAGGTTTCAAAGGCTTTGTTGCAGGGAGAAGAAAATGTCCACTTTCGAGAAGAAACTTAGTAAAGATTTTCTCCTTTTGAAAGTCCTTTTGGCTGCGAGAAATTTTGGGATGGTGTCCCTGTCTCTGCAGCGTAGAAGGAAAGTCAGGGAGCACAGTAGATGTGCTTTCCTGGTCTTTAGTTTCTCCAATTTCCGTGTGTCTTGGAACAGTTTCTCCCCGTAGAAACAATGTATTGTCGAAGGCTTTCATGGCTGGAATCACTAGGTTCTTGTGGGTTTTTTCGGGCTATATGGCCATATTCTAGAGGCATTAGTAAAGATTTGCAGCCTAGGTTTCCTTGCTCAGACACACAAAAAACAAGGCCGTGTTCAGAATCTGCTTTTATTGAGTAGTGGTGGTGCCAAATTAAATCCCGCTCTTCCATCCACTTGTGCAGTGATTATTCTTCTAGAAACCTAATTACAGACCGCGACAGCAGCAGCAGTACCAATCCAAGACCACGATTCCCCACCTTCAAAAGCAGTGCCCCTTGGAGACCACATTAAAATTGGAGAATGATTGGTCGGCAGTTTACTGAGAGCGATACGCCAGAATGGTTGTATCTCACTTGCGGAGAGGTCAAATCAAGAACCGTCACTGGCCTGGGAACTCTTTAGCTTCCACCTCTTTGCCTCTAAGGCAAGAACATGAAAAGCATATGGAGATCTCAATATTCAAGCCAGGAGGAGATGAGAAGGTATCGCTTTGATCATTCGGAACAGCGGTATCGCTTTGCCAATACCCAATATATTGCAGTAATAAAATTTGAAGAAAACGGCACTCTCTAACTTGACACTTTCCAAAAGTCTTGGGCAAATGCCCCCATGATCCCCAAGTCACATGGCCAGTGACCAATGGTCATGTAACTGGGGATGATGGGAGATGTCGCCCAACTGTTCTGGAAGGTGCCGAGTTGAGGATAGGCTGCATTACTCCACCGGATGTCTATCTGTTCCTACTCACTGTCTTTCCTTGCTGCAGCAATGCTTGATGTATAAGGTTATAGTGTCCTACAGATGTCTTCCTAAAATACAAAATACGGAGCCCCACCCCCAACATAAATACAAAACCAACATTCTATATAAAACATGAGAAATTAAAAAGAGAGAGAAAGAGAACATTCCGCCTACCACAACGATGCCCCAGGAACGAAACAGGAAGGCAGAGAAATAAAAGCAACGCAAGGAACGCAACACAAAGAAACAGGAATGGTTTGGTGACCCGGTCCTTTTCCGGGTTTACATATTCTGAGCGACAAAATGTGGTGCTGGGTTCGAGGAGGCCATGTAGCCCACCTGCGGGAAGTGGGGAGGGTTCATGGTGCTATGGACACGGGCCGAAGTGCCGTAGGACGGGCTTCCTGGAAACCAAGGACCAGTGTAGTGGTAGGCAGGCACCAAGGGGACGCAGGCCTCGTATCCGGAGAGAGGTGGCTGAGCATAAGGATCAGGGACGACGGGGTAGTAAACAGCTCCGTGAGGTGGCAGCGGAGGCTCTGCGATGGGTAAAGCTCCTGTGAGGAAAGAGGGGTTGAGAGAGAAAAAAATCCCATATATATTATCCATAGGTTGGGTTTGTGGCAGAATGAAAATCTCACGTAGTTCACTTTTTTAACAGTCCACACACTGTCTTGCCAGAAAAAAGATATGACACGCAGATGATCAGTAAAGAACAAGGAGTCTACTATTTGAAATGCAGAGCAACATATATACAGTCATGTGAATAGTTGCATTGACTCACACAATGTCCTTTGAGAGAGATCCAAATAGTCCTTAGGTATCCATGTGGAAAATCATCTTCCAGCAGCCTAGAAGCAAAACCTGTCCCTGTAAGCTCCTATACAGCTAAAACTTAAATATGCAACTGTTGCCAAAACTCCCAGGCCCAGCTAGTACCATGGGCATAGCCCAACCAATCAGTTTTAATAATAATAATAATAATAATAATAATAATAATAATAATAATAATAGCAATAATAATAATAATAATAATAATAATAATAACAATAATAATAATAATAATAATAATAAACCTTTATTTGTACCCCGCTACCATCTCCCGAAGGACTCGGTGCGGCTTAGAAGAGGCCGAGCCCAAATACAATAGTAAAACAATAACAACAACAGCAGCAAATAACTCAAAAAACAAAGCAATAACATTAACAACACACAATGACGCAATTAAAAACAATGGCAGGGCCAAATGTAATGAAAAGTTAAAAAGTGCTGGGTGTGACCAGGTGGGGTGTTTGGAGGGGGTGGGCATATAGGTATCCTAGATCTCTGATAAAGTGTGTTGGGACATAATGCTAGCAGTTTCCTTAATCTGGAAAGGCACACTGGAACAACCATGTCTTCAAGCTCCTCCTAAAGATTACTAGCGACGGGGCCTGCCTGATGTCTTTAGGGAGAGAGTTCCAGAGTTGAGGGGCCACCACCGAGAAAGCCCTAACCCTTGTCCCCACCAATCGCACCTGCGATGCAGGTGGGACCGTGAGCAGGGCCTCTCCAGATGAACGAAGAAATAGTGTAGTTTCATACTCAGAGATGCGGTCACGTAGGTAGGAGGAGTTTTGTGCTTTGCATTTTCAGTTAACACACTCACCAACATTTTTGTATGATCTAATAGAGTTCTATGATCTTTCATTTTCCTGGAGAAGGAAAGAAGCTACTGTGTACACCAGGCATGGGCAAACTTCAGCCCTGCAGGTGTTTTGGACTGCAACATCTATAATTCCCAACAGCCAGTAGGCTGTTAGGAGTTGTGGGATTTGTAGTCCAAAACACCCAGAGGGCCACAGTTTGCCTATGGCTGCTATACATTCACATACCCTATTTCTCAAAAATACAGGACCCAACTGGAAAATAAACCCTAGCATAGTATCAACCTTACTCCAGAAATAAGCCCCAGTTAAGATCATTACCCAGATGGATGCATTTAGTATGTCTTTTGCAAGACTCAACTGATATATTGAATTATAATATTAAAATAAATAAATAATATTATTGACATCAATACTTACAAGAAATGATTGTATGTTACAATTTATAATTAAGTATGTAAATACCCAAGCGGAAGCTTTTGGATGAGAGATTTTGTCTACATGAATAAATAAATAAATGTATTTATTTATTTATTTAAAATATGTGTTCCGCCTTTCTCAGGACGGATCACAGAACACATATACAGCAAACCTTCAATACCAAGTATACAGTGAAAAAGGCAGACAACAGATAGAGGTATTTATATAGGTTTCCCATCTTTTGGCATCTTTGGAGACTGTGCTCCATCTCCTTGTTGAAGAGTTTTTCTTTGTTCGTGAACTTCTCCTTTATCTGATTGAATGCCATGCCTAAAATGCTTCCCTACTTTAATGCAGTTCCTATTTATCTACTCACATTTTTATTTTCTAACTGCTTCGTTGGCAGAAACTGGGCTGAAAGGTCTGGCGCTCACCCTGACCCAGGCTTCAAATTATCAACCTTCCAGTTGGAAAGATTTATTGCAGCTTGGTGATTAACCTGCTGTGCTACAGCCTGGCCCTTGTAGATTGTTATATTTCCATTGCTACTTCATAACTGTCATTTTGCTACTATGAATCATAAAGTAAATATGATTCAATGTATTTTTATACATTGGGCCCAATTTGGCACAAATATCTGATACGCCCAAATTTGAAGACTGGTAGGATTGGGGGGATTGATATTGTCATTTTGGAGTTGTAGTTGCTGGGATTTATAGTTCACCTACATCAAAGAGCATTCTGAAATCCACTAATGATGGAATTGAACCAAACTTGTCACACAGAACTCCCATGACCAACAGGGTTTGGTGGGCATTGACCTTGGGTTTTGGAGTTGTAGTTCACCTACACCAGAGAGCACTGAGGACTCAAACAATGATAAATCTGGACCAAACTTGGCATGAATACTCAATATGCCCAAATGTGAACACTGGTGGAGTTTGGGGGGAAACAGACCTTGTCATTTGGGAGTTGTGGTTGCTGGGATTTATAGATCACCTACAATCAAAGAGCATCCTGAACTCCACCAATGATGGAACTGAACCAAACTTGGCAGACAGAACTCCCATGGCTGACAGAAAATATTGGAAGTGTTTGGTGGGCATTGACCTTGAGTTTTGGAGTTGTAGTTCACCTACATCCAGAGGTGTTGCTGGGATTTATAGTTAACCTACAAGCAAAGAGCATTCTGAACTCCACCAATGATGGAATTGAACCAAACTTGGCACACAGAACTCCCATGGCTGACAGAAAACATTGGAAGGGTTTGGTGGACACTGACCTTGAGTTTTGGAGTTGTAGTTCATCTACATCCAGAGATGTTGCTGGGATTTATAGTTCAGCTACAATCAAAGAGCATTCTGAACCCCACCAACAGTAGAATTGGGCCAAATTTCCCACACAGAACCCCTATGACCAATCGAAAATACTGTGTTTTCTGATGGTCTCTGGCGACCCCTATGACACCCCCCTTGCAAGCCCCAGGTTGAGAAACGCTGTGTTATATGATGGAAGAGCATAGGCCTTCTAGATGTGCCTGGATTGCAACTCCTAGCACTCATCCCCATTTGCTATGATAACTAAGGCAGCTTGGGAGTTGTACTCCAACACCCTGTGATGGAGTTGCAGGATCCCTGACCCCTGTTTTAGTTAATTAATAATCTCCGTCTTGAACGAATCAATTACATTTGCCTGGTGACAACGCTTTGACGGGGTGCCCTTTTGGAGACGCAGGCAGGGCAGAGTTGGATACTGACTCCGATGATTCTTGTTTCTTTTGCAACCCAGTCAAATGAAAGCACACCGAGAGAATCACAAAGAGCCAAGCCCTCAACTCACAGCTCCTCTCATTAAAACGTGTCCCAATTAAAGCATGGCCCGTTATGCACAACGCATGGCAATTAGCACGGCTGATCAGCTTGAATAATCTGCGCGGCAGCATCCCTCCCAAAACTTATACATAATGACTAACAGTAAGTGCTAAGAAAAGCCTGGGCCTTATTACACACATAAATCATGCTAAGCCATGAAATTAGATTATCATGAATGCTAAGAGCCATTCGCGAGGCTAATGCCTTACCCGAGTCAAATCAATAAAGGCGCCTATCCGCTTGTACTTGCAAAAACGGTCCACAACATACACTTTCAGGTCAATTACATGTGACTCCCAACAGCATGAATGTTTTCCCTAAGGTGTCTAGATTCAAAGCAGCCACAGCAAGCTGCAAATTGAAGTTCAGAGTCGGGGCATTTATCTTGCTTTTTCCCGGCCGCTCTTCTTTATCAGGATGGGGAAAACATTACTTTTCAATCAGACTGTTTTTCATTGCAAGGTGGAAAAAAAGATGTCAGCATGACACAATTTCTAGGATATCTGGTACTTGGAACCAAGACACATCTGCGGCTTGACATCACTTGAACTGGCATATGGAATACTGGGAGTTGTAGTTTGATGAGGCACCAGCACTATTTGGTAAAGAAAGGTAAACACCTTGTAAAACTACAATAGCACTGGGACCCTTATGGGCATTACAAGCAAACAACACCTGGAAGCCACAGATTCTAAACTCTGGTACAGAGGAACTATTCTTCCAGGGTTGCTGTGAGTTTTCTAGGCTGTATGGCCATGTTCCAGAAGCATTATCTTCTGACATTTTGCCCAAATCTATGGCAAGCATCCTCAGAGATTGGGAGGTCTGTTGGAAACTTGGAAAATTGAGTTTATATATCTGCAAAATGTCCAGAGTGGGTGAAAGAACTTTTATCTGCTTGAGGCAAGTGTGAATGCTGAAATCGATCACCTTGATTAGTACTGAATAGCCTCACAGCTTCAAGGCTTGGCTGCTTCCTGCCTGGGGGAATCCTTTGATTAACTGGCCCTGATTGTTTCTTGTCTGGAATTCCCCTGTTTTGGGGTGTTGTTCTCCATTTACCATCCTGATTCTAGAGTTTTTTAAAATACTGGTATCCAGATTTTGTTCATTTTCATGGTTTTCTCCTTTCTGTTGAAATTGTCCATATGCTTGTCAATTTCAATGGCTTAGAATCATAGAGTTGGAAGAGACCTCATGGGCCATCCAGTCCAACCCCATTCCGCCAAGAAGCAGGAAAATTGCATTCAAAGCACCCCCAACAGATGGCCATCCAGCCTCTGTTTAAAAGCTTCCAAAGAAGGAGCCTCCACCACACTCTGGGGCAGAGAGTTCCACTGCTGAATGGCTCTCACAATCAGTAAGTTCTTCCTAATGTTCAGACGGAATCTCCTTTCTTGTAGTTTGAAGCCATTGTTCCATTGCGTCCTAGTCTCCAGGGCAGCAGAAAACAAGCTTTCTCCCTCCTCCCTATATTTCACATATTTATACATGCTATCATGTCTCCTCTCAGCCTTCTCTTCTTCAAGCTAAACATGCCCAGCTCTTTAAGCCACACCTCATCGGGCTTGTTCTCCAGACCCTTCTCTGTGTAGTCTGACATGGTGGTTGCTAGAGTGGTCCAGCATTTCTGTGTTTTCAAATAATATGCTGTGTCCAGGTTGGTTCATCAGGTGCTCTGTTATGGCTGACTTCTCTCACAGGTTGAATTACTCTTCACTGCCTTTCATATTCCTTGATTCGTGTTTGGGCAATGCTGCTGCGTTTGATGGTCCCTCTGTAGACTTGTCCACAGCTGAATGGTGTACGGTAGACTCCTGCAGAGGTGAGAGGATCCCTCTTGTCCTTTGCTGAATGTAGAATTTGTTTGATTTTCTAAGTGTGTCTGTAGATAGTTTGTAGGTTGTGTTTCTTCATCAGCTTCCCCCTGCAGTCAGTGGTTCCCTTGATGTCTGCTAAGAAACCTTTTCCTCTGGGTGGATCTTTGTCTTGACTCTTGTGACTTGTTCTCAGTCTTGCAGCTCTTCTGATGTTTGAGGAGGAGTCTCCATTGGCCTGTAGAGCCCAGTTTAGGTGGTTCAATTCATCTTGGAGGAGGTGGGGTTCCCCGATTCCTTTTGCATGGTCTGCCAGGGCTTTAATTCTGCTTCTTTTTTGACGTGGGTGATGGTTGGAGTTTTTATGTAGGTATCTATTTGTGTGTGTAAGTCTTCTGTAAACTGTGTGGCCCCAGTTTTATGCAGTTTCCCCTATGGAGAACTTGGTATGTCTCTCAACCTGCCTCTGAATAAATCTTAAAAAGAAGATCCCACAATAGGTTCACCTTAGGATTACCATACATCGGGAACAACTTGTAGGAACTCAACGACAAATGTCAACAAAATCATCAAAATACTGACCATTTGCTGATGCATCCATATGGGCCTGGCGCATGTCATTCCTTCCAACTTCAGCGTATGGTGGAGGCATGGATGGGTCTACCACCGGGACTGGCTCTGGATATGGCTGGTAGGCTTCCATGTGCGGAGATGGAGGCACCTGCTGCACATACATCATGGGGTTCCAGCAGCTTTGGTGGTAATACTTGGGAAATACAAACCAGGAGAAAAAGGTTTTAGATGGGGAAACCAGAGCAAGAAAAAAATCAGCTTGGCATGCATGCATGATCATGGGACCTCCTCTAATGGAACAGGACAGAAAGTAATATTCCCCATTAAATGCACTGGATGGGCTCTATACTGTAGGGATAGGTCAAAGTTTTGCTGCAGGGGGTATTTCATAAAATCTGAACTAATCCTGATGACTAACTTGCTCAATGGATTTGAATAGGACTAACATATGAAGGGGCCGCGATAGCGCAGCAGGTTAAACTGCTAAGCTGCAGAACTTGCTGAGTGGAAGGTCGGCGGTTCATATCTGCAGGACAGGGTAAGCTCCCGTTGTTAGCCCCAGTTTCTGCCAACCTAGCAGTTTGAAAACATGCAAATCTGAGTAGATCAATAGGCACCACTTTGGCAGGAAGGTAATGGCACTCCATGCAGTCATGCTGACCACATGACCTTGAAGGCATCTGTGGACAATGCCGGCTCTTCAGCTTAGAAATGGAAATGAGCACCACCTACCAGAGTCAGATTCGATTCAACTTAATGTCAAGAGGAAACCTTTACCTTTACCTAACAATATTATGCTAACATACAAAAAAGTGGGTTGCTGTGAGTTTTCGGGGCTGTATGGCCATGTTCCAGAAGCATTTTCTCTTTTGCCTACATCTATGGCAGACATCAACCTCTAAGGATGCCTGCCATAGATGTGGGTGAAACTTCAGGAGAGAATGCTTCTGGAACATGGCCATATAGCCCGGAAAACTCATAGCAACCATTGATTCCGGCCATGAAAGTCTTCGACAACATACAAAGAAGTCATTCTAGATATCCCCTAATATATTCATCTTTCCACATTTCTTGGCACAGGATACTCATGAATGTAAGAAAACCACTGATAAATAAACAGCTGAGGGAATACCTCTTGAGGATTTTCTAGGTCTCCCTACATGACTTTGTGGTCAACTTTTGCTAGACATTGACTATAGTGTCACACTGGAGGATTGAGAGTATTTTAAATCAAATCAATGAATAACCAAAATTGCAAAAGTCAGAACCACAAATGTGGAGGGATGACCATACTAAGTTTGACTTGGGAAAGTCAACATCCAACTATTTTCCTATATTTTCCTGATTGTGTAGTGTGGGTTTCTTTTCTCTTCTGTGAATGAATGAATGGTTTATTGTACTATCCATAGGCCGTGACATCAAATAATATACAACGTTTAAAAGTACAATAAACACTTTACAATATAAACATTGAAACTTATTTTATATACTAGCTCTTTCAAATTACAGTAGCAGTGACATGATAACAATAACAATGTCTGATTTGTATCATCCCAAACTATCCCCTATTTCCACTTCTAGCCTCCGCTGCAGACTTTACAAATTTAGCTCAGATATTTTGAGCTGAGATTTCAAATGTAGCAACCTTTAATGTTATATTTTTGGAATAATCTGCTAAGAAGTCGCAGATAAGTGCTGACTGTTGCCATGCTGCCCTTGCTTCTTAAAGGGCTCCCAGAAGATTGTTTCTAGGGTCATTATACAAAGGGCAATGTAACAGATAGTGTATCAAATCTTCTCTTTCCCCTGACTCACAAATACAAAGTTGTGGGCATGCGGGATCCCTCTATATCTCCCCTTTAGCCAGCCTGATGGCGTTGTTTGGAAGCACAGGGCTGTAAATGCTTTTCTAAATGCTACAGATGTTAAGCCTTGAAGATACTGTTGACAATATTGGTCGCTCTTTAGTAGAGGGTACCAAGTAGTGAAACTCTGTTGTTTACTAGTCCGCAAGTTGTCAGATGCATCCATCTCAATCGCCTTCTTGTCCAACTGCATTAGGGTTGTTGTTGACCCATCAAAATACTGATGGAGCAGGGCCAACCAGTATTGAGCCCAACCTCCCCACTTATATTGTGTAATTCATAAAAATACAATTCAGGTAAACCACTGTTTCTCAACCTTCCTAATGCCGCGACCCCTTAATCCAATTCCTCACGTTGTGGTGTCCTCCAACCATAAAATTATTTTCATTGCTACTTCATAGCTACTGCTATGAATCTGATATGTAGGATGTATTTTCATTCACTAGACCAAATTTGGCACAAATACCCGACACGCCCAAATATGAATACTGGTGGGATTGGGGAGGGGATTGATTTTGTCATTTGGGAGTTGTAGTTGCTGGGATTTATAGTTCATCTTCAACCAAAGAGCATTCTGAACTCCACCAATGGTGGAATTGAACCAAACTTGGTATACAGAACTCCCATGACCAACAGAAAATACTGGAAGGGTTTGGTGGGCAATGATTTTGAGTTTTGGAGTTGTAGTTCACCTACATCCAGAGAGCACTGTGGACTCAAGCAATGATGGATCTGGACCAAACATGGCATTGATATTCAGTATGCCCAAATGTGAACACTGGTGTAGTTTGAGGAAAATAAAGCTTGACATTTGGGAGTTTTAACTTATGGGATTTGTAGTTCACCTACAATCAAAAAGCATTCTGAACCCCACCAATGATAGAATTGGGCCAAACTTCCCACACAGAAAATACTGTGTTTTCTGGTGGTCTTTGGTGACCTCTCTAACACCCCCTCATGACCCCCAGGTTGAAAAATGCTGAGCTAAGCAGACATTACATTTTTTTTCTAGACTAATGGGAGGGTAAAGTATGCATTGTATAGAACTCATATCACTGAAACCCAATTCTCAGCTGAACGTCGACAAAGTTTAAAAGGTTTGATGCAGGAATAGAAGTTCCAAAGTCTAATTTAGCCAATACAAAGTGTAAAATCCACAAATACAATAAATCCACTTCTAAATGTAGATTCCTCCTCCATCCAAAGGTATTTTACCAAAGTAGATCTTTTGTGAACATTACCTGCAAGCCCAAGTTGAAGTAATACTGCACAATCTTTGGATCTGAAAAGGAAAAAAAGAGAGAATGACTTGCTTTTTTGCAAGCTACAAATGAATAATAAAATGCTAATATTACATTGTAAGGATGAAAGGGGAATGTTAATTGCATCTTTGGGAGTCATCACTTGCATGCACAAAAGCTGAGAAGATTCAAAAGGAAAACAACTTGCTTGCTGTCAAAAGCGAGGGTTCCACAAACATTCCAGATCATTTATATGAATTTACATCTTTGTATCTGCAATAATTATGAACACAGTGGCTGATTTTAAAAAGGCGCAACCCAATTTAAAGTTCTTCCTCAAAAACGGAAATCATGCCCAAGATTTGCAGTCTTCAAGGGGTGTTCATTAAAGATTTCCCCTGACCCACTTCTATTTATCACAGAATGCTGAAATTGCACGTATGTAATGATATAAGTATCTATTAGTTACGTGCCAATCTACAACTCAGAACTGATAATGGTCTTGATTTTACAGGTGCTGAAATGGTGTGAGGTTTGATAATGGACCCAGTGGAATATAGAGCAGTCATCAAGTTCCTTTACTCAAAAGACTACACACAAAAGGAGACTTTTGATGAGATGAAAGAGGCTTATGGCGAGGATTCCCCATCATATGATGGACTCAAGAACTGGCATTGTCAATTCCAATGTGGTCGGACTTGGGTGCAAGCAGCTCCAATTCTAGTGTGAACCCACTCTACTAATGATGGATACACCACCCAGCAAGTGGAGGTTTCCATTTTGGAAAATTGCCACGTAACCATTTGCCACCTAGTCTAAAATGTCAAGAGTAGTGCGGGGTCCATGGAAAAAATCATCCAAGACCCTCTTCACATGCATAAGGTATCTGCTCGCTGGGTCCCCGAGCTGCTCACACCTTTCCAGAAGCAGGAATGAGTCACATGCTCTTCGGCTCTATTGATAATGATGTGCCATGGAAACCAGGAGGACTTTTCAAACAGACTGATCACACAGGATGAAAACTGGGTCCATCACTCTGATCCTGAGACGGAAATCAGGTTGATGCAATGGAAGCATCATGACTCACCGCCTCCAAAGAAAGCACGTGCCCAACTCTCGGCAGGCAAGGTCATGCTCACAGTATTTTGGGAACAGCACGGAGTAGTATGGATGGATTTCCTAGCAAATGATACCATGATCACTGAAGCATACTATGCTTCACTGCTGTGGAAATTGCAGGAGGCCATCAAAACCAAGAGATAATGTGGCATGCTCACCAAAGATGCCTGTCTACTGCAAGACAATTCACCAGTTCATAACTCACAGTTGCCCAAATTGAAGAAGCATGCTCCTGTGGCTTTGAAATTCTATCGCATCCCCTTATTCACCCAACTTCGAGCCACTGGACTTCCACCTCTTTTCAACAACAAAGTTATTTTTGAAGGGCAAGCATTTTTCAGATGATGAGACTCTGATTTCTGAAGTCACACCATCTTTTTTGGAGCAACCTGTCAACTTCCACAAGCAAGGTGTTTACAGTTGCTTAAAAAGATGGGAGAAGTGCATGTCCCGAGGTGGCACAGATGGAGAGAAGGACTCAGCCCACAAGAAGTGGGTCAGGGGAAATTTTTAATGAACACCCCTCATAAATGGTTACAGCTTCAAGAAGAAAATATCCCCAAATTCAGCAGAGGTAAAAGTTATTTTTGTATGAAACATGCCCAAATGCTCCCTTAAAATCCCCTCCTCTTGCTGCTTGTTTTTCCAAGAGAAATAAAATTGATGGATAAATGGGCATATCAGAAGGCCAGCTACAACTGATTTTTGAAGGGTCCTAGAAAATCATGCTTGCCTTGTATTGCATTCCTTTACAGAAATATCCCATAATCAGGAGGAGATTTGGTGATTTAAGCCTCTCTGAGTACAGATGCTTTTTGGGGACAAAGAAGAAATGCATTCTTTATTGAGGCACTTTCCATTTCTAAAAGCAAGGTTATACTTTGGGGTTGCGATGCAAAAGGGCTGAAGACAGAGGGTGCCTCATCTTTATTTACAAATATACAAGCAGAGGGTATTAGCGACAAATAAGGAACAATTTCATTCATCCGCTTCCTGGAAAGAGCCATTGCAACCCATAAACCTTTCTTCTCCAGCCAAACCACAGCCTCAAGCGTCAGCTCTCCCCAATGCAGAGCCTCAGATCTGGTTTTGCAGAAAAGGGCACCATTCCCCAGCTGCTCTTCCCAGCATCTATTTCTTATTACGTTTGTGGGAAAGGACACCATTAATAATTATAGGGACGTACTTCTTGAATCTCTTTCCAGCCCGCGGCTATATTCAGCCCTCATTCCTTAATGTCCTGTTTCCACATTAGGTTACTTAACCAAAAGGAACTTGCACAGAAGCTTGCATTTGATCTAAAGATGTTAAAAGCACATTTCGTTTTCCCTTCTCTTTCTGTTCACTTTCTCATTTCCTATGGTTAAGGGCGCAGGACCCCCATGAAAGTGGAGAAAGTGCCAATCAAAAAACATTATTTTTAAGCAAAGAGAATACCTCTCTAGGAATCTCTAGTTCCTTCGGTGCAACTCTGATCAACCTCCATTGGATTGCACTGAATTGCACTGAAGGATCTACAGAACCCTAGAGAAATACTCTATCTAAATTCGCTAGGTACTTCATTGCAGTCTATGATCAACTTCTCCCAAGTTCTGACCACAGAATTGCAATTGAGAACCTAAGGAAGTGTTCTCTATAGGAATCTCTAGGTCCTCTGGTGCAACCTTCTACTGGACCAGATGTTGACAATCGAACACACTGAAGGACCTTACAGAATCCTAAAGGGATGCCAGTGGTTGACCAAAGTATTACAAGGGAGGACCTATAGATCCCCAGAGAAGTGTTCTCTGGGGCAGTGTTTGTCAAACTGTCCTCCAGGTGTTTTGGAATTCAGCTCCCAGAAATTCCAACCAGTTTACCAGCTGTTAGGAATTGTGGGAGTTGAAGTCCAAAACATCTGGAGAAGAACAATTAGGGGAACTCTGCTCTATAGCAATCTCTAGGTCAGTGGTTCTCAACTGTGGGTCCCCAGGTGTTTTGGCCTACAACTCCCAGAAATCCCAGTCAGTTTATCAGCTGTAAGGATTTCTGGAGTTGAAGGCCAAAACATCTGGGGACCCACAGGTTGAGAATCACTGCTCTAGGTCTTCCATTGCAACCCTATGGTCAATCTCTGCCAATGCAAACCCTATGGACACCTTCTGTTGGACCTTGACCATAAAATTGCACTGCAGAACCTACAGGTTCCTAGAGAAGCATTCTCTCATGTTATCTCTATGTCTTCCAATGTAAATTATGGTCAACTTCTACCCACTGATCACATGTTGCACTGAAGGACCTTAAAGAACCCTAGAGAGATGCTACCTCTAGAGCAGTGGTTCCCAACCTGTGGGTCCCCAGGTATTTTGGACTACAACTCCCAGAAATCCCAACCAGTTTACCAGCTGTTATGATTTCTGGGAGTTGAAGGCCAAAACATCTGGGGACTCACAGGCTGAGAAACACTGCTCTAGGTCTTCCATTGCAACCCTATGGTCAATCTCTGCCAAGCATTGACTACAGAATTGCAATGGGGGATCTACAGATCCCTAGCAAAATGTTCTCTCTTAGGAATCTCTAGCTCTTCCACTGCAACTCTATGGTTAGCATCTGGTGGAAGTTCACTATAGAGTTCTGCTGGAGGATGTAGAGATTCATAGGGAGACATATTAATCACACCCAAGAAAGTGAAGGCTGCATGACTATTCTGATTCAAGGAAAAGCAGGTAATGCAAGACCTGATGAAGGTTGAGCTTCAAGTTGAACATTAATTTAGACGAGTCAAGTTAGTTTGTTATCAGAATTCCAAACTAAATATACCACACCTCTCTAGAAACATATTGTTATTCCCATAATATTCCTCAATGAGTTTCTTACCCCTGGGGAGGTCACTGCCATTTGGGTCGCAGGAATATGGTGGGGTCACATTCCCGTTTTCCCCCACATCACTGTTTGGCACAGGAGACTGGTAGGGGTAAGGAGCCGAAGGAATCACCACTGGTTTAAGAGAGAAAAATCTGATTATAACACATTGAAGTCCATAAAACAGATGCTACAACTCAGCAATGGGCCTGAGAGCCAACCAAACCTGAACTTTGACTAAGGGTATATCTACACTGTGGAATGAATGCAGCTTGATTCCACATTTACTGTTCTTGTTCAGTATGCTGCAATCCTTGTAGAGAAGGCTCAAGATCTTATAAATCCACATCTACGATGATTTCATAGCACTGACCCATGGCAACTACAGTGGTGTCAATGAATTCTACAGTGTAGATCAATGGTTCCCAGCCTTTTTTTTTTTTTTTTTTGACCAGGGACCACTCTCCAGAATTAGTACCAAAAGGGTTACGAATCAGTTTTTGGTCAACTTTAGATTCAGTTTGGGGTACTGATTCAGAAAATTGCACTGGATAGACCACATCAGCTGTAGTTTCTGATACAGGACATATGCCATCCAGTAGTTGCCATCTGATCACCCACAGAAAACCGTATAAAGAGGAAGGAGGCTCAAAGACCAGATTTTCATCCTCGCAGCCCACCGGTGGTCTGTGGCCACCAAGTTAAGAACCATTGGTGTAGATTAACCCTTAAAGACAGATTTTTGAGTACCGAAATATGAACCATGGCAACTACAGTGGTGTCAAACTATATAAATTCTACAGTGTAGACAAACCCTTGAAGGCAGATTTCTGAGTACCGAAATAGTACATTTAGTTCCATTACAGCTCCATTCCAAGTCATAGGAAGCATTTACCCTGTAGAATACAGTTTGAGGCTACTTTAATTGCCATGGGTCAGTGTGATGGAATCATGGGAATTGCGGTTTCACAAGGTCAATAATAATAATAATAATACTCAATACTCCTGACCTCACAATGGTGTTAAAAAACAAAGTATGGATTTTCGATGTTGCAATCCCAGGCGACAGCAGGATTGAAGAGAAACAACTGGAAAAGCTGACACAATATGAGGAGTTAAAGATCGAACTGCAAAGACTCTGGCACAAACCAGTCAAGGTGGTCCCAGTGGTGATCAGCACACTGGGTGCAGTGCCTAAAGACCTTGGCCTGCACTTAAACACAATCGGTGCTGACAAAATTACCATCTGCCAGCTGCAGAAGGCCACCTTACTGGGATCTGCACTGCATTATTCGCTGATACATCACACAGTCCTAGACACTTGGGAAGTGTCCGACATGTGATCCAATACAACAGCCAGCAGAGTGATCTTGTTTGCTGTGGACTCATCTTGTTGTGTTTTTAATAATAATAATAATAATAATAATAATAATAATAATAATAATAATAATGTGAGACTTTCGAATCCAGACTGATAAAGTGTGATCCAATACAACAGCCAGCAGAGTGATCTTGTCTGCTGTGGACTCATCTTATTGTGTTTCTAATAAATAATAATAATAATAATAATAATAATAATAATAATAATGTGAGACTTTCGAATCCAGACTGGCAAAGTGTGATCCAATACAACAGCCAGCAGAGTGATCTTGTCTGCTGTGGACTCATCTTGTTGTGTTTCTAATAAATAATAATAATAATAATAATAATAATAATAATAATAATGTGAGACTTTTGAATCCAGACTGACAAAGTGTGATCCAGTACAACAGCCAGCAGAGTGATCTTGTCTGCTGTGGACTCATCTTGTTGTGTTTCTAATAAATAATAATAATAATAATAATAATAATGTGAGACTCTCAAATCCAGACTGGCAAAGTGTGATCCAATGCAACAGCCAGCAGAGTGATCTTGTCTGCTGTGGACTCATCTTGTTGTGTTAATAATAATAATAATAATAATAATAATAATAATAATAATAACTTTATTTATATTCCACTCTGTCTCCCCAAAGGGACTCAGGGTGGATTCCAAACATAAAAACCAAACATTCAGTGCCCGAATACAACAACAATACATCCATACTAACAAAATTTATACAACCCAACATATAAATACGAATTTTCTTTAGCTTTCTTTGCTAAAGAGTACTGGTGCCTCTGCAAACTACAACTCCAAGGATCCCATATACAGCCTTGAGGCATGGTGTCAGACTGAAACTGCAGTAATTTAACAATGTAGAGTCTTCTTCTGGTTTCTTGACTACAGTTTCCTTTTTAACAAATGAGTCAAAGGTACGCAGACTATAATTCATAAGAGCCAACCAATAACCAACTACAGCTAAATGGGGGAAACAACTAGCACTGTCAAGCAGGTTCATCTTTTGCTAAACAGCCTTGTGTCGCCTTAAAGACTTAACAAGTTTCATTTGGCAAGAGTTTCTATGCCCGCAAAAGCTTGTGCCGAAACAAAACTTGCTAAGCCTTTTAAGCTGCGGTGGCAAGATGCTTTTTATCCTCAGAGGAAACGAGAGGGGACAGTTGCACAATTTTCTCCAACTGTTCTTCCTCCATGTATTTAACACTCCTTCACACATGGACTCAAGCTGTGAGGAATTTGTTGAGTTTGGGAACAATTACTTCTGCTCTTCCCTTTTATTTCTAAAGGTTGCAAATAAGAAGCATGTGGTTTAAGCATAACTTGTTCTGCCCATCATTCAGCAAATGTTTTCCTGTCCTTGGAAAACTTGTCATCCACTAGACATTGAGGACTGGACAGCAGGCAGGCAAACAGACACCCAGACAGACAGACAAGCAAGAATGCTGTAAAGAGATTTGATTGGATGGGTTTTTAAAGACTGTTTTTACTGTAATAATGTTAACTTTACAATCCAATTCCTTACCCAGTTGAACCCAGAATTTGGAAACATTATTTTTCGACCACATTTCCCACAATAGAAAGAGTCAGCGTGGATTCTCAGAACTCTAGACTTAACAGAGAACTTTTCCAGGCTCTACGCTTGACATTCAGATAATTTAATTTCATCTTCTCTTTCTTTTCCTTCGGTCTCCTTCTGTTACTTGAAGACAGGTCGGAAACTACAGTTGGTCCAAAAATCTGCAGCCAGACTACTTATGGGAGCTTGTTACAGGGAGCGGTCTCTCTCCCCCCCCCCCCCCCCCCCCGCAACTGTTTAAACAGCTCCATTGGCTTCCAATACGTTTCCAGTTCCAATTCAAGGTGCAAGTGTGATGATGTGTACATTTTTAACTTGCAGTTATGTGTTATGTATAATTATAGACAGATGTTTAAAGGGTTAGTAATGGTAAGTATATAGTGTTGCATAACCAAGGGAGATGGCAACCAGCTCAGCTTATATACTATGGAAACAGGGGCGGAGCCAACTGCCACTTGGCAGGGCAGCCATTTTAAACCATTAGTCTGTAGTCGGAGAGCTACAGGAGAAGACTGATTCTCTAGGAGGAGAATCAGGGATATAGTCTACAGTCTGTGAACTGTAGGAGAGGCTGTTCTGTTGAGTAGAGAGAACCAGAAGGGATCTGTAGTTTAAAAACTACAGGGAAAGGACTGATTCTATTTAATAAGAATCAGGGAGGTTTGGGCTTTTAGCCTGAGTAGTTAAACAAGAGTTATTTAAGGACTGTTATGAATATAACCATTAAAGATTTGTACCTCTAAGAGTAAAAAACATTGAATCCATCACGTTTCTTCTACATTTCAATAAACTTGTTACTGTTTTTCCTAAAGCCTCGTCCCTGTTACATTTCCTTTCCAAGTTAAGTCATGCTACCCAGAAGAAAGACCAAATCAATATTATTAGCTATCAAGTAAATAAACCCTCACCAAGTGGTGTCTCCTTTACAAATATTTACAAATTGGTGGCAGTAATTTTACGCTTCCTCACAGCAGGTTATCTCCTATAAAGCCCTAAATGGTTCGGGACTTGCTTATCTCCGCGATCGCATCTTCCTCTATGAACCAGTGCGTATCTTGAGATCATCCGGTGAGGCACTGCTCTTTCTCCCTCTGCCATCTCAAACATGGGGATGAGGGACAGGGCCTTCTCGATGGTGGCCCCCTGGCTCTGGAACTCCCTCCTTAGGGAGATCAGACAGGCTCCTACTTTGTCCTCTTTCCGGAGACAACTAAAAACCTGGATGTTCTGATTAAGCAGTCTATCAGTAATTTTTCCTGTCCTTACTTTAAGTTCTGCACTTTATGTCGGCCCGTTTATTGTCCACCTCAACACTTTTGATGACACTATTCCCAGCCCTGTCTACTCGACTGTTGCACTTTCCTTGTGCTCCCTTCAGGATACATTGCACTCATTGAGCCTGAACCTCAGCTATGTTCTTTTTCTCAGCCATACTGTTTGGATGTAGTTTACAATTGTGATTGTTTTTATCTGATGTTTTTAATTGGTTGTGTTCTATTTGCAATTTTTGGGCTTGTTTCTTGTAAGCTGCCCCGAGTCCCCTTGGGGAGATGGTTGGTAGGATATAAAAATAAAGTTGTTGTTGTTAATATTATTATTATTATTTACATTTCCATTTATTAACGCAATAATAGAACCCTGGGGTGTATCCACACTGCAGAATTAATGCAGTTTGACACCACTTGAACTACCCTGGCTCAATGCTATGGAATCATGGAGTTGTAGTTTGGTGAGGCACCCACACTCATTGGTAAAAAAAAAAAAAGGCTAAAGACATGGTAAAACTACAACTCCTAGGATTCTATAGTAGTTTGAGGGGTGTCAAACTGCAATAATTCCACATGTAGATCAGTGGTTCCCCAACCGTGGTCTGTGGATCACGAGTGGGAACTAAAATATGGTCTGCGGCCTCACCATTACTACACCGCTGCAACAAAAGCAACTGGTCTTGCAAAACCCTCTTATAGTGCCGAGGCTTCATAGAATCATAGAGTTGGAAGAGACCTCATGGGCCATTCAGTCCAATCCCCCGCCAAGAAGCAGGAATACTGCATTCAAAGCACCCCTGACAGATGGCCATTCAGCCTCTGTTTAAAAGCTTCCAAAGAAGGAGCCTCCACCACACTCTGGGGCAGAGAGTTCCACTGCTGAATGGCTCTCACAGTCAGGAAGTTCTTCCTCATGTTCAGATGGAATCTCCTTTCTTATAGTTTGAAGCCAATGTTCTGCATCCCTGTCTTCAGGGAAGCAGAAAACAAGCCTGCTCTCTCCTCCCTGTGACTTCCTCACATATGTATACATTTATTTATTATTTCTTTGCTATACTTGTATACCGCCGTTTCTCAGCCTAGCCGGCGACTCAACGCGGTTTACAACAACTTATAACAAACAACAGTATACAGTTTAAAAGCATAAAAACACAATCCACAATACATATATCAATAAACAATCCAATTCATCTCTTGACTAAAATCGCGATCCAGTTTCGTCGTCCAAATTGCCAGTCCTTCAATCATTACACTTATTGCACTGAGTTAACCGAACGCCTACTCGAACATCCAGGTTTTTAGTCTTTTCCGAAATACCATCAATGAGGGGGCTGATCTTACCTCCATGGGGAGGGCGTTCCATAGCCGCGGGGCCACCACAGAAAAGGCCCTGTCTCTCATGGCTATCATATCTCCTCTCAGCCTTCTCTTCTTCGGGCTAAACATGCCCAGCTCCTTAAGCTGCTCCTCATAGGACTTGTTCTCCAGACCCTTGATCATTTTAGTCGCCCTCCTCTGGATACATTCCAGCTTGTCAATATCTCTCATTATTAAATATGGTTTTCTGTGGGTGTGAAGATGGCGACTACTGGATAGCATATGTCCTGTAGCAGAAACTAGAGCTGATGTGGTCTATCCAATGCAATTTTCTGAATCAACACCAATAACCAAACCAAATCGAAAGTTGACGAAAAACTGATTTGTCACCCTTTTGGTACTAATGTTGGAGAGTGGTCCCTGGTTAAAAAAAGGTTGGGAACCACCGATGTAGATCTACTCCTGGATTTTGAATAGCACCGGAGAGGTTCAGTATTCCAAACTGTGATATGAAATAGTAAGAAATCTCCGTCTTCCTCCCTTCTGATGTTTATGTATCTCTAAAAATAATGATACGTTTTGGAAATGATATGGCTACTGATTTTAATTCATCTCCTTCACTTCAATTGCCTGTGCTTAGCGATAATTAAAAATTACTGATGGGAAAAAAGCACACTCTGTCTCTGGAGTTTGGTCCTCCCACTCCTTACCCCAAGAGACAGTCGGCATCTAAGTTAGAGAGATAAGTTATGCAGAGAAGGAGAGAGAGAGAGAGAGAAAGTGAAGGAAGAACCAAACTGGCACAGAACTCCCTCTAGCTTTGCCTGCCTCTCTCTGGAGGAACCTTTCGAATTCTTTAAGTCAGAAATTGGCTCTTGATATATAGTTATTTTTTCATGTGATGGATGTAAACATGTAAGAAACACACTGGCTTTCTTATGACCCATCTTCCATAGGCATCCAGGATGCATCTACACCAATTCAAAGTGATGGTTTTGGCCTATAAAGCCCTATACCAGTAGTTCTCAACCTGGGGTTCCCAGATGTTTTTGGCCTTCAACTCCCAGAAATCCTAGCAGCTGGTAAACTGGCTGGGATTTCTGGGAGTTGTAGGCCAAAAACATCTGGGGACCTCAGGTTGAGAACCACTGCCCTATACAGTTCTGGCTCAGCTTAACTGTCCAAACATATCTCTCTCTACATCCCACTTCGTACCTTAAGATCGTCCGGGGAGGCCCTGCTCTCGGTCCCGCCAGCCTCACAAGTGCGCTTGGTGGGGACGAGGGACAGGGCCTTCTCAGCAGTGGCCCCACACCTATGGAACTCATTCCCCAGTGAGATCAGGTCGGCTTCTTCCCTCCTTTTCTTTCAGGAAGAAGGATAAATCATGGCTGTGGGTCCAGGCCTTGGGACAGCAAGCATGATAGCACTTTGGATGTTGAACTGGACTGAAATTGGCTATATGGTTGATGACAATGTTTTTAATGTGTTTTTAACTGTTTTAAACTGTTGCTATTTGTGTTTTTATTGTCTTGAGGCTTTGAATTGTGACTGGTTTGTAAGCCACCCTGAGTCCCCACCCCCCCTCAGGGGTTGAAAAGGACAGAATAGAAATATTGGAAATAAATAAATAAAAACACCAGGCATGGGCAAACTTCAGCCCTCCAGGTGTTTTGGACTTCAACACTCACAATTACTGGCCTCCACCCCTTTCCTTTCCTCCCTCAGCTGCTTGAGGAAGGAGACTGAGGCCAGGAATTGTGGGAGTTGAAGTCCGAAGTTTGCCCATGCCTGATCTACACTGTGAAATAAATAAGTTTGGCATTACTTCAACTCCATTGTCTCAATGTTATAGAAACCTGGCAGAAAATGTAAAGGCTACAACTCCCATGATTCAACTCATTTTGGGTCTTTGTTATGTTTAAACTAAAATTTCTAGATTTATACATCAGTATATACAGTAACTAGAACTAGACAAAGTAATGAAAAGTATTTATGTTTTAGCACAGACTTTGCCTCACCTCTGTATCTTGCGTGCTTTGTTTTGCAAGTTTATTTGAAAAGTAAATATGGGTCGAAATTGCAAGTCTGATTGTTAAGGCATGCATGTATACTTTTTGAATGCAAAAAAAACCCATACTTCATGCTTACCACTAAGAAATTGCAATCCCCATCCTTACTGGTCCTTACTGGTATGTGTGTGTTATGGAAAAGGTTAAAAATTACTGGACATAAAGACACCCCTATTTTACCTGGTCTTCCCACAGAAGGAGATACGATGATAGGTTGCACAGCATTTTGAGGAGCGGATGTAGTGGCGCTGACTTGAGAAGGTGCTGCTGCACTGGAGGAGAAGATGGAGGCCGGAGCAGGATTGGCGCATGAGGAGGAAGAAATGACTGCCGAATTCACCAGGACCTGCAAAAAAGTGGGAACAGAAAAGAAGGGCTATTAAGGACATTCAGCACATTTGCTTTAGTTGTCACAAGATGAGACATGCATCTACACCAGTCATGGGCAAACTTTGGCCTTCCAGTTGCTTTGAGCCCCCTTCCTTTTCCCCCTCAGCCGCTTAAGCATTGACCGTAGACACCTGCGTTGTCTGTAGCCTGCGTTGTCCGTAGACACCTCCTGGTTGTGTGGTTGACAAGATTGCATGAAGAATCTTTTTGCCTTCCCCAACAAGGTTGTGTGTGTGTGTGTGTCAGGAGCAACTTGAGAAACTGCAAGTCACTTCTGGTGTGAGAGAATTGGCCATCTGCAAGGATGTTGTCTCTGACCTAGATACTCAAAATATTGTTAAGATATGAACATCCAGTTTGGGATTTGGCTTATTTCTGTGCAGAAAACAATAAAATAGTAAAAAAATAAAATAAAATAGTACCTTCTGCACATAAAATAGTACCACAACCTGTTTATATAGAAAAGAGATATCTCTATACAAAAGAATAGCATATTAAAGTTGTTCTTACAGTCATCCGTCCTTCCATATTTGTAGATTATAATTTTTGCAGCTATCTCTATGTCTTCCAAAGCAATTATATGGTCAGCTTCTAGTGGAAGTTAACCACAGGGTTATGCTGAAAGACGTAGACATTCTTATGGACATAAATAGCTATTTCTTTATGTTTCTTCCCTACTATTATTATGCCTTTTTTGCAACAAAGAGATAAATATAGTGAAACTGTTAATTCTTGTGTGCAAGAACAACATTTACACTATTGTGCATTCCATCTAACGAAGTACCTTCTGAGAGTAACTGTATGAAGCGACGCCTTCCTGAGAAGATAGAGTATTTGCTCTCCCATCTTGCAGTGACTAGATAGAGCACAAATCAAAAAGCATTGTTGAGTGTGAATATCTTATAACATATCAATAGGGTCAACTCCATAAAGTAATCCTGGACACAGCATAAACAACAGCATTAAAGGGATCTACCCAAACCAGATCCTGGATTGCACCCAAATGGATAATCTCCATCCATTTCCACATTCTAAAAGCAGGAAATGAAACTTAGCCACTGGCCACTCTCACCAGAACCGAGGCTTAAGCAAGTTTGCTTAAGCCTCCAAAAAAATTCAGAGAAGGCCAGGCAAACACCACATATTATATTGGATCCAAATAAAAATGCTCCTTCCATGCCCCGCTTGTTTGAATGCTAACGCACTTCGGCAAAGGTTACTTTCACAGCTCTTGAGTAAAGCTTACTAAGTTTGCCGTAGATTCAGCAGCAGTAAACACGGCTGGAGATTCACAGTCTGGATCTGGAAGGCAGGCACAAAGAGACAATTAAAACAGGCCAGTTAAAAAAGGTATATGGAAACAAAGAGATTTCAATGTTGTATGGGGAAAATTTGTTGTAAATGGTTTAAAAAACAAAGAAGGAAAGTTACCGTCACAAGAAGAAATGAGATTTTGGACAGATGATATGTAAAAACTGTGGCTTGAAATGGGGGGGGGGGGGAGGGGAGCACAGTGGTGGGGGGAAAAGGGGGAAAATGCTTAAGCAGAAATATTCTAAAGCCTTTGACTGTGTGGATCATAATAAATTGTGGCAAGTCCTTGGAGGGATGGGCATCCCAAGCCACCTTGTCTCTCTCCTGAGGAATCTGTACAAGGACCAAGTAGCAACAGTCAGAACTGACCACGGAACAACAGACTGGTTCAAGATTGGGAAAGGCGTACGGCAAGGCTGCATCCTCTCACCCAACCTTTTTAACTTGTATGCAGAACACATCATGCGATGTGCGGGGCTTGATGAATGCAAAGCTGGGGTGAAAATTGCTGGAAGAAACATTAACAACCTCAGATATGCAGATGACACCACTCTGATGGCCGAAAGCGAGGAGGAGCTGAGGAGCCTTCTAATCAAGGTGAAAGAAAAAAGCGCAAAAGCTGGGTTGCAGCTAAACGTCAAAAAAACCAAGATTATGGCAACAAGAATGATTGACAACTGGAAAATAGAGGGAGAAAATGTGGAGGCCGTGACAGACTTTGTATTTCTAGGTGCAAAGATTACTGCAGATGCGGACTGTGGCCAGGAAATCAGAAGACGCTTACTTCTTGGGAGGAGAGCAATGTCCAGTCTCGATAAAATAGTAAAGAGTAGAGACATCAGACTGGCAACAAAGATCCGCCTAGTCAAAGCCATTGTATTCCCTGTAGTAACCTATGGATGTGAGAGCTGGACCTTAGGGAAGGCTGAGCGAAGGAAGATAGATGCTTTTGAGCTGTGGTGTTGGAGGAAAGTGCTGAGAGTGCCTTGGACTGCGAGAAGATCCAACCAGTCCATCCTCCAGGAAATAAAGCCCGACTGCTCATTGGAGGGAAGGATACTAGAGACAAGGTTGAAGTACTTTGGCCACATCATGAGGAGACAGCAAAGCCTAGAGAAGACAATGATGCTGGGGAAAGTGGAAGGCAAAAGGAAGAGGGGCCGACCAAGGGCAAGATGGATGGATGGCATCCTTGAAGTGACTGGACTGACCTTGAGGGAGCTGGGGGTGGTGACGGCCGACAGGGAGCTCTGGCGTGGGCTGGTCCATGAGGTCACGAAGAGTCGGAGACGACTGAACGAATGAACAACAACAACAGAATAATAAGACTATATGTTAAAGAGTGTGTTGGATAATATGTAACTGCTAGAACAAATGTATAACAAATGTAGTAACTATGATAAAACAATAAAAATAGAAAAGAAAAAAAGCCAAACAGGCCAGCTCTATATATTATTCTAGGCAAGAATGAGCAATTTAAGGTCGCCTTATGCAGGTATATATTGGGAATGCTGCTGAAATACTGACCTGAAGGGGCAAAGAGATAATCTTCATGATACTCCCCTGAATGGAAGAGAAAAGGTACATTATTTCAAAGACAGCAGGGAAAGACTACTAGAAGAAATTTCAAAATGACTGTTTTTGTTTGTAGAATTGGGCAAGCTGAACATGATGATGAAGTAGTAGTAGTAGTAGTAGTAGTAGTAGCAGTAGCATTTAGATGACACTTTCACACAGACTGGGATTATGTGTTGATTGAATCTGGCCCTGCCCATGGTGATCATTTTAATGTCGTAATGTTTTGATTTTATATTGTTGTGTCGTTCATATACATTGGTTTTGTATTTTAGGTTATTTTATTTTTTGATTTTCTGTTGTGTTTTTTGTTATATTGTGTATATTGTATTGATGGGCTTGGCCTCATGTAAGCCGCCCCGAGTCCCCTTGGGGAGATGGTGGCAGGGTATAAATAAAGTATTATTATTATTATTATTATTATTATTATTATTATTATTATTATTTTATTGACCATTTACCCACTGAGTCTCATTTAATTCGGACTAAATAGCAGGATTTAATCTGTTGTCAAAAGCTTACATGGCCGGGATCACTGGCTTGCTGTGAGTTTTCCAGACTGTATGGCCATGTTCCAGAAGCATTCTCATCTAACGTTTTGCCCACATCTATGGTAGGCATCCTCAGAGGTTGTGAGGTCTGTTGGAAACTAGGAAAATGGAGTTTATATATCTGTGGAATAATGTCCAAGGTGGGAGAAGAAAGTCTTGTCTGTTTGAGGCAAGTGTGAATGTTGCATTTGGCCACCTTTATTAGCACTGAATGGCCTTGCAACTTCAAAGCCTGGCTGCTTCCTGCCTCAGAGATCCTTTGTTGGGATATGTTAGCTGGCCCTGATTGATTCTTGTCTGGAATTCCCCTGTCTTTTCTATGAACAGAAAGATGGAGTAGCCATGGGGAGCCCTCTCAGCCCAGTCATAGCAAATTTCTACACTCTGAAAAACAAGCCCTGGAAACAGAAACAAAAAGCCCGCTATATGGTTCAGATATGTGGATGACACCTTGACGATTTGGAGCCATGGGGAAGAAGAACTCAACAAGTTCCTGGACCACCTCAACAGCATCCACCCAAACATCCAATTCAACAGGAAGGAAAATTGCCATTTCTAGATGTCCTAGTCATCTGCAAACCAAATCAACAATTGGATCACACAGTTTACAGACAGATAAGATAACAACATGAAAACTCCAACCATCGCCCAGAACAAAAAAAGGACAATCAAAACCCTGGCAGACCATGCAAAAAGAACCTGCAAACCTCACCTTCCCTAACGTGAACTTAACTATCAAAACCGGGCTTTACGGGCCAATGGAGACTCCACCACAGACATCAAAAGAGCAGCAAGACCAAGAACAAGCCAAGAGAGTCAAGACAAAGATCCACCCAGAGGAAAAGTGTTCTTATCATACATCAGGGGAACCACTGACCGCATAAGGAAGCTGATGAGGAAACACAACATACAAACTATCTACAGACCCACAAAGAAAATCCAACAAATGCTACGTTCAGCAAAGGACAAGAGAGATCCTCTCACCTTTGCAGGAGTCTACCGTATACCATACGTAGGGACCACCAAATGCAACAGTATTGCCCAGACACTAATCAAGGAACATGAAAGGCACTGCAGACTAATTCAATGAGAAAAGTTAGCCATAGCAGATCATCTGATGAACCAACCTGGACACAGCATATTATTTGAGAACAGAGAAATGCTGGACCACTCTAACAACCACATGTGAGACTACACAAAGAAGCATGCATGTGGACAATTTCAACAGAAAGGAGGAAACCATGAAAACTAAATATGGCTACCAGTAAATCTGGACAGTGAATAAAGAAAAACACTAAAAAAACAGGGGAATTCCAGACAGGAAACAACCAGGACCAGCTAACACCTCCCAACCAAGGATTCCCCCAGGCAGAAAGCAACCAGGCCTTGAAGCTGCCAGGCCATTCAATGCTAATCAAGGTGGCCAATTGCAACATCCACACTTGCCTCAAACAGACAATAATTCTTTCTCCCACCCTGGACATTGACAGTGGTGCAGTGGGATAAAGGGCTGAGTTGCTAAACTTGCTGACTGAAAGATCACAGGTTCGAATCTGTGGAGCAGCGTGAGCTCCCACTGTTAGCCCCAGCTTCTGCCAACCTAGCCGTTCAAAAACATGCAAATGTGAGTAGATCAGTAGGTATCGCTCTGGTGAGAAGGTAACAGTACTCCATGCAGTCATGCCGGCCACATGACCTTGGAGGTGTCTACGGACAACGCCGGCTCTTCAGCTTAGAAATGGAGATGAGCACCAACACCCAGAGTTGGACACGACCAGACTTAATGTCAGGGGAAAACTTTTACCTTTACCTTTTTACCATGGACATTATTCCACAGGTATATATATATATATATATAAACCCCACTTGCCTCATTTCCAGCAGACCTCACCTCTGAGGATGCCTGTCATAAATGTGGGCAAAACGACAGGTGAGAATGCTTCTGGTACATGGCCGTACCGTCTGGAAAACTCACAGCAACCCAATGATGATGATGATAATGATATTGGTTTGGATAAAAAGCTTGCCAAACACACTGAAGTGTACTTCTCTGTTGTGATGCGCAAACTATCCCTATTATTTCCATGATATGCCCACCTCTGCTGTCACATTTTCTGTTGCATGAATGCACATACTTCATCAACTTGGGAACAGCCTACATCTGAGTGGTTCTCATTGAGATTTCATGCTCACCATTGTCACTTGGTTCTTCGACTTCTTCCTCAGAGGAATTGAGACCCTGTTTGTTTGGCGGAATGGGGCTCGGGGCCCTTCTGGCAACCCAAAATCCGGTCGAAGCAGGGACAATTGGAGCCGGGTTGCCCTGGTTCTGGGGAACAAGATAGCAGGTGTCATTGGAAATCCATGCAATTTACATGAGTGCAATGGTTCTCAGCTTTTGGGTCCCCAGATGTTTTGGCCTTGAACTCCCAGAAATCCTAACAATTGGTAAACTGGCTAGGATTTCTGGGAGTGGTAGGCCAAAACACCTGGGGACCTACAGGTTGAGAACCACTGCATTAGAGCATCCCTTCCCCATCCTAACCTGAAGGAGACAAAATAGGTGGGCCTTAGAAACAGCAAATACTCCATAAAATTAATGCAGTCGATACTTTTTTATCTGATTTCATAGAATCACAGAGTTGGAAGAGACCTCATGGGCCATCCAGTCCAACTCCCTGCCAAAAAGCAGGATAACTGCATTCAAAGCACCCCTGACAGATGGCCATCAAGCCTCTGTTTAAAATCTTCCAAAGAAGGAACCTCCACCACACTCCAGGGCAGAGAGTTCCACTGTTGAATGGCTCTCACAGCCAGAAAGTTCTTCCTAATGTTCAGATGGAATCTCCTTTCTTGTAGTTTGAACCCATTGCTCCGCATCCTAGTCTCCAGGGCAGCAGAAAACAAGCTTACTCCCTCCTCCCTTTGACTTCCTCTCACGTATTTATACATGGCTATCATGTCTCCTCTCAGCCTTCTCTTCTTCTGGCTAAACATGCCCAGCTCTTTAAGCCGCTCCTCATAGGGCTTGTTCCCCAGACTCTTGATCATTTGAGTCGCCCTCCTCTGGACTTATTCCAGCTTTGGCTTGATGTTACGGAGTCCTGGGAGTTGTAGTTTGGCACTATTTGGCAGAGAAAGCACATGATCTTGTACAACTACAACTCCCAGGATCCCATCACAATTAAAATGGTGTCTAATTGCTTTAATTCTGCAGTTTAGATGCACCCTGAGACCCGGTTTTCTGCAGGTAAAAAACAACCATGGTGTGGTGATAGGTAACAGGAACACAGGTGAGGGCTCTCTTTTTTTACTTCACATACAAACTCAAGTGAACTCATAGTCGGGGGAAAAAGAAGCTCCCAGAACCCATTTATGGCTTTGATGAATGTCAATTTAACAACGGCTTTTCTCCTCTTACGCATATGCTTAACCACTTTGAATAATGACATTGAATCACTGCAACACAAAACCACTCCAATCTACTAATAACAACTTTGGAATCTAAACTCTAATGCACTGAAATTATGACTCACTTCTGCAAATTCAGCTTTTTTCTCAGCACTGGATGTATGCAAATGGCCTAGCTCTACGTATCTTGTTTGCTTCCGAGAGCAATAATATTTCACACTGAATAAGGATGGACCAACCACACTGCTTCATGATGCAAGACACCGTTTAGCCAATTCCTCTCAATTGTATCCTTTATGTACTAATCTGATCTGAACTGTACTTCAAAAATGCAATTCTTTTTAAAAATATAACTCTTTTAAAATATAACTCCTTTGATTTGTCTCCCTTACAAAGCATGTATTCACAGGGAATTGAAAGACGTGGATGCATTAAGTTTGTTCCAGCATAAAAAGGTACATAGGAATGTTGTTGTTGTTCATTCGTTCAGTTGTCTCCGACTCTTCGTGACCTCATGGACCAGCCCACGCCAGAGCTCCCTGTCGGCCGTCACCACCCCCAGCTCCTTCAAGGTCAGTCCAGTCACTTCAAGGATGCCATCCATCCATCTCTTGTATACCTCGGCCCCTCTTCCTTTACCTTCCACCTTCCCCAGCATAATTGTCTTCTCTAGGCTTTGCTGTCTCCTCATGATGTGGCCAAAGTACTTCAACTTTGTCTCTAGTATCCTCCCTCCAATGAGCAGCCGGGCTTTATTTCCTGGAGGATGGACTGGTTGGATCTTCTCGCAGTCCAAGGCACTCTCAGAACTTTCCTCCAACACCACAGCTCAAAAGCATCTCTCTTCCTTCGCTCAGCCTTCCCTGAGGTCCAGCTCTCACATCCGTAGGTTACTACAGGGAATACCATGGCTTTGACTAGGCGGATCTTTGTTGCCAGTGTGATGTCTCTACTCTTTACTATTTTATCGAGACTGGACATTGCTCTCCTCCCAAGAAGTAAGCGTCTTCTGATTTCCTGGCCACAGTCTGCATCTGCAGTAATCTTGCCACCTAGAAATACAAAGTCTGTCACGGCCTCCACATTTTCTCCTTCTATTTTCCCAGTTGTCAATCATTCTTGTTGCCATAATCTTGGTTTTTTTGATGTTTAGCTGCAACCAGCTTTTGCGCTTTCTTCTTTCACCTTGATTAGAAGGCTCCTCAGCTCCTCCTCGCTTTCGGCCATCAGAGTGGTGTCATCTGCATATCTGAGGTTGTTAATGTTTCTTCCAGCAATTTTCACCCCAGCTTTGCATTTATCAAGCCCCGCACATCGCATGATGTGTTCTGCATACAAGTTAAAAAGGTTGGGTGAGAGTATGCAGCCTTGCCGTACGCCTTTCCCAATCTTGAACCAGTCTGTTGTTCCATGGTCAGTTCTGACTGTTGCTACTTGGTCCTTGTACGGATTCCTCAGGAGAGAGACAAGGTGGCTTGGGATGCCCATCCCACCAAGAACTTGCCACAATTTATTATGATCCACACAGTCAAAGGCTTTAGAATAGTCAATGAAGCAGAAATAGATGTTTTTCTGAAACTCCCTGCCTTTCTCCATTATCCAGCGGATATTGGCAATCTGGTCTCTCGTTCCTCTGCCTTTTCTAAACCCAGCTTGAACATCTGGCAACTCTCTCCATGTATTGCTGGAGTCTTCCTTGCAGGATCTTGAGCATTACCTTACTGGCATGAGAAATAAGGACCACTGTATGGAATACAATGCCCCTTTTATTAAATCAGCTTCACTGGCTGCCAAACCAAATTCAAGGTGCAGGTTATGACCTATAAAGCCCTAAACAGTTCAAGCCCAACCTATCTTTGTGATTGCATCTCCCTCTATGAACCGGTGCGGACTTTAATATCTTCTGGGGAGGCCCTCCACATATTTTAGGGGACTTGTTGACATATGGTGACCCCATGGATTTTGTAGTTTTCTCAGGCAAAGCATTTATGGGATCTCTATGTCAATGAATAGATCTGAGGATGCTTGCCTATGAAAACCATACGAAATCTCTTAGGTTCCCATATGTCAACAAGTCAAGTCTATGCCTTGACTTATGGAGACTACACACATTTCATATGATTTCCTAAGCAAGGAAGACTCAGAGGTGGTTTTGTCAAGTTCATTTTCTGAAACAGAACATACCGCACGTGGTATTTGTTGGTGGTCTCCCATGTAAGTACCCATCAGGACTGACCCTGCTTAGTTTCCAAGATCTAGCAACTTTTGGATATTTAGATCTAAAAGGACTGGCATGCGCATGAGTGATCTTGGAAATCAATCCCTCATTTCATAACAACCCTTCAATGGCAGACCTTGACACTTTTCTATACAGTTACCTTCCGTTCAGTGACTTACGGGCAATGCAGGAAAGGTTGTGTCATCTCCTTCTTCTATTTCATAGAAAGTGATGGTTTCTTCCAAACCTTGAGGTTCCTCGCCATTTTCCGGTGAAAATCCGTACTGGCACTCCTTGTTGACACATTGCATCTGGCGGCGACTCCGGCTGTATGAGCTTTCGAGCAGGACAAGGAAAGACATTAAAAGCAACCAGTATGACTATATATTGCCTAAGACTGGAGTGCTTAGGAAGAAAAGAATCCAGTTCTTGAAGGGGCCACACTATCAAACAATAGATGTAGCATTACAATTATCCTATGCTGACTTGCAATATAGCTTCTGATCTCAGTCCAATGTCCTAGTGATGATACTCACAACTCTAAATAATAATATTAATGGTTTATACGGTTTTTATAATATTAGGTTGAATGTATTGTCGAAGGCTTTCATGGCCGGAATCCATGGGTTGTTGTAGGTTTTTCCGGGCTATATGGCCATGTTCTGGAGGCAATTTTTCTCCTGACGTTTCGCCTGCATCAATGGCAAGCATCCTCAGAGGTAGTGAGGTCTGTTGGAAGTAGGAAAAATGGGTTTATATATCTATGGAATGGCTGGGGTGAGACAAAGGACTTTTGTCTGCTGGGGCTAGGTGTGAATATTTCAGCTGATCACCTTGATGAGCATTAAATGGCTTGGAAGTACCTGGAGGGAATCTTTTGTTGAGAGTGATTTTATGTGCCTGTTTGTTTCCCCTCTGTTGTTTTGCTCTTGTAATTTTTGAGTTTTTTAATACTGGTAGCCAGATTTTGCTCACTACCTCTGAGGATGCTTGCCATAGATGCAGGCGAAACGTCAGGAGAAAAATTGCCTCCAGAACATGGCCATATAGCCCGGAAAAACCTACAACAACCCACTAGGTTGAATGTTTTAATTCTACTTTGAATGGAGTACAATGCCAATTTCTGTGAGCTGCCTTGAGTCGCCGTAAGGTTGAGAAAGGCAGGCTACAAATGCCATAAATAAATAAATAGATATTATTTATTTATTTATTTCCAGTATTTCTACCCCGTTTCTTCTCTACCCCCGAAGGGGGACTCAGGACGGCTTACATTTTGGCAGCGGTTCGATGCCACTACAAATAAACAATTACAATAATACAACAACCATTAAAATATATAAAAACATTAATTAAAAACAGTACATAAAGCATTAATTAAAACAATAAACAGTATCATCAAACAATAAACAGTATCAAATAAATAAACGACTTAAATGACATTAATATTCTCTATATTATCTTGCCCAAGAGCTGGGACTGGCTTTGTTCTGTATCCTTCCAATGATAGTAATGCATTGTGAGAGGACACAGAACAAGGCCTTCTCAGCTGTGGCACTGCAATTGTTGAAAATAGTCTACTTGAAGGCTCAGTTGGTGCTGAGACTACAGTCATTCAGACACCAAGTTAAAAAAAAGTCCTTGACATTGGGATTTCTTCCAAGTTAAACCTGTATCTGTCTTTAAACCATTTAAATCTGTTTTAACTCATTTATTACACAGCCAGCCCACCTAGAGAAACCCTAGGAATCAAATTCACTAAAAATCAAATCCACTAAGGTTAAACACAGGCCCGGGTGATGGATGTGGCCCCTTAGACTCTTTTCTCATGCCCTCCTCTCTCACACCATTATATCCTTCCTTCGTTCTCTCTTTCCTTCCTCCTTCCCTCCCTCTTTCTCCCTCCCTTCGTCCTTCCCTTCTACCCTTTCCTCCTTCCTTCCTTCCTTCCTTCCTTCCTTCCTTCCTTCCGTCCGTCCGTCCGTCCTTCCCTCTTCCCTCCCTCCCTTCTTTCCTCTCTCTCTTTCTCCTTCCATCCTTTTTGTCTTTCCTTCCTTCTCTCTTTCCTCCCTCAACCATTTCCTTCCTTCTCTTCCTCCCTCCCTCGCATCCTTCTCATTTTCCTTCCTCCTTTCCTCCTGGGGGATGTTTAGCTGGAAAAAGAGAAGGTAGAGAGAACCATGTTTCAAGATTGAAAAGGGTGTCTCTTTGAGGAGGAAGAAGGGGGGGAATTGACTTTGTGCTGCTCTAGAGACCAGGGCACAAGGGAGCAATGYTTTCAAATGGCAGGGAAAGAGATTCAGCTGAAAAGATTAGGAAGAGCTTCCTGAGAGTAAGAGCTGTTGGAGAGTGCGATATTGCTGCCTCAGAGTGTGGTGGAGTCTCCTTCTCTGGAGGCCTTTCGGCTGAGGCTGTCTATAGAGAGTGCTTTAATTGTGCCTTCTTGCATGGCAGGGAGTTGGACTGAGTGGCCCTTGGGGGTCTCTTCCAGCTCTAGGATTCTAGGATTCTATCTCAGGAGCAGGCAATGTGGGGTCTATGGATACACTTTTTCTCTCCTATCCACCATCTCATCCTGACCAAGACCAACCCTTTTGGGATCGAAACATTTCCCATCTGTCCTTCACTTTCTGCCTCTGAAAGAGAAGAACAAGGGGAGGAAAGGGCAGGGAGGGGGCTTGGGGATATGTATTTATTTATTTACAGTATTCATATTCCGCCTTTCTCACCCCGCAGGGGACTCAGGGCGGATTACAATGTACATATACATGGCAAACATTTGATGCCATAGACACACAACATATATAGACAGACACATAAAGGCTATTTATGATTGTATTTTAATGTATTTGTTTTATTGTATTACGAGGATGCATTGTATTTTGTTATTGTATATGAATTTCATGCTGTAAACCAGCCTGAGTCCCTTTTAGGAGGTGGAGAAGACGGGTATATAAAAACTCTAAATAATAACAATAATAATAATTTAACATTCCAGCTTTTTAATGAGGGTATTCTGGCCACCAGGGGAGCTGTCGCTTCACCGTCCATTTGTGACACTGATGAAGTACTTCCTCATTCTTTGCATGCTTGCTTGAGATTTTTATGTTGTTGTACATTAGCAGTCCCTAAATTTCCTACTTGATGGATGCAACTATCTTTCAGGCTGCAAAAGTTGACAGCAAGCTACCCACATTGGTCGGAAGCTCACTCCGACCCCGTCTGGCTTTGAACTCATGAACTTTTTGGTCAGTAGTGATCTTAATGCAGCTGACTCCCAGCCAGCTGTGCCACAGTCCCGGATAACCCGACCCACCCACCCAACTCTGGCCCACCATGCGGCCCCCAAGTTAGAAAGTTTGCCCATGCCTGGGTTAAACTCATAAACATGAAGGGTCGGGCTTCATTTTTAGCTTGTTGGAATTTTCAATATCTTTTTTTGGCTAAACTTGATTTTACTCTACTGTGATTTTACTCTACACCACAGGGAGAAAGTCCAACATAGGGCAAACTATATAAACATTTTAATAATAAATAAACGATTGAATTTAATTAAATGGAAAGATCTGTGTCTTGAATGTTAACAGTGTCTCGGTTTCTCAATTTCAGCAGGAGACTCTGGACGTGTGTTTGAACTCTGGGTCAACAAAACAAAAAAGCTTTATTTGAACGCATAAATGCAGAGATCACTGGTTGTGTTCGAAACCATTAAAGAGTGGCCTTGGGCTTCCAAACAAAGATGCTGTAGAAGCTAGAAACTGATGTGTCCAATCCTTAAGATTGGAAAAATGAGTTCATTAAACATAGGCCACCTTCTCTTAACGGTACTCCCTTGCTTTGCAAAACCCAGAAGGGCTTCTAAAACTATATTCTCAGTATGGAGCAAGCCAAGCGGTCCTGTCCAAGGTGCCAGAGTTAAAAGGATCTAGCATAGCTCTGGAAGGGAAATATGTTTGCATGGAAACACTGGAGAAAGAGGAGGCCAATTATATTAATTCTACAGGGTAGATCAGTTACGGGCTGTTAGGAATTGTGGGAGTTGAAGTCCAAAACACCTGGTGGGTTTGCCCATGCCTTGGGTAGATGCACCCTCAAAAGGCAAAACCATTGTCTTTCTCAATGTTGTAGACCAGCAATCCCAAACTTCTGGTCCTCCAAATGTTTTGGACTTGGCCTCCCAGAATCCTTGCTCATTAGCCGTATTGGTTTGGGATTATGGGAATTTCTATTGGAGACGTTAGCTCCCGAACTGTTTCATGACTACAAAGCCAGCTGGACTGGGGCTAACAGGAGTCATAATTCAAAATACTGGGAGGGCACCAAGATGAGGACAGCATGTAGTTCTTCTTGAGTGAAACAATACGTTATTTTAGCAATTCTCTTCCTACTGTAAGGAACACTTCCAAAACTAGTTTGTAATCTACTAGTTCTCAACCTTCCTAATGCCACAACTCCTCATGTTGTGGTGACCCCCAAACATAAAATTATTTCCGTTGCTACTTCATAACTGCAATTTTGCTACTGTTATGAATCAAAATGTAAATATATGCAGGATGTATTTTCATTCACTGGGCCGAATTTGGTGCAAATACCCACTATGCCCAAATCATACTGGTTGGGTTTGGGGGGGGGGGATTGATTTTGTCATTTGGGAGTTGTAGTTGCCGGGATGTATAGTTCACCTATAATCAAAGAGCATTCTGAACTCCACCAATGATGGAATTGAACCAAACTCGGCACACGGAACCCATGACTAACAGAAAATACTGGAAGGGTTTGGTGGGCGACTGACTCTGGGAGTTGTAGTTCACCTACATCTAGAGGTGACAAACAATGATTCACCTGGACCAAACTTGGCACAAATACTCAATATGCCCATATGAACCAAACTTGGCACACAGAACTCCCATGACCAACAGAAAATACTGCATTGGTTTGGTGGGCATTGACCTTGAGTTTGGGAGTTGTAGTTCACCTGCAACCAGAGAGCACTGTGGACTCAAACAATGATGGATCTGGATCAAACTTGGCATGAATGGTCAAGATGCCCAAGTGTGAACATTGCTGGAATTTGGGGAAAATAGACCTTGTCATTTGGGGGTTGTAGTTGCTGGGATTTATAAATAAAAATGCAATGTTCGTTTGTGGGATTAACAGAACTCAAAAACCACTGGACGAATTGCCGCCAAATTTGGCCACAAGACACCTACTAACCCAAGGAGTGACAATCATCTTTGCCTTGTAGACTTACAGAATGAGCAATACTGATTCCCTGCTATATTTTCTTTGAAATATTTCACACAGACTTACCGTGACCTATATGAGAAGTTGTCGTAGCTCTGATAGCATCTCTTTCCTGCTGTAGGATAGAAAGCCATTTCAGGACCGACTATGTTGTTCCTGTTTATAAACCGGGCAGACCCCCTAAGTTTTGGGGGGGGGGGGATAAAGAGAGAGAGAGAGAGATGAATACAAACTTATTTGCTGCAAGAAAAGGACTTGCTGGAACAGTGTTTCTCAACCTTACAATTGCCATGACCCCTTAATAATTTCCTCATGTTGGGTGACCTCCAACCACACAATTATTTTCATTACTACTTCATAACTATAATTTTGCTACTATTATGAATTGTCATGTAAATATCTGATATGAAGGAGTCCCCGGTGGTGCAGTGGGTTAAACCCCTGTGCCGGCAGGACTGAAGACCGACAGGTCACAGGTTCGAATCCGGGGAGAGGCGGATGAGCTCCCTCTATCAGCTCCAGCTCCTCATGCGGGGACATGAGAGAAGCCTCCCACAAGGATGATAAAACATCAAATCATCCGGGCGTCCCCTGGGCAATGTCCTTGCAGACGGCCAATTCTCTCACACCAGAAGCGACTTGCAGTTTCTCAAGTCTCTCCTGACACAACAAAAAAAATCTGATATGAAAGATGTTTTTTCATTCACTGGACCAAATTGGGCACAAATACCCGATGTGCCCAAATCTAAATACTAGTAGAATTGGGTGGGGTTGATTTTGTCATTTGGGAGTTGTAGTTGCTGATATTTATAGTTCACTCACAATCAAAGAGCATTCTGAACTCCACCAACGATAGAACTGAACCAAACTTGGCACACAGAACTCCCATGACCAACGGAAAATACTGGAAGGGTTTGGTGGGCGACGACTTTGACTCTGGGAGTTGTAGTTCACCTACATCCAGAGAGCACTGTGGACTCAAACAATGATTGCCCTGGACCAAACTTGGCACATATACTCAGTATGTCCAAATGTGAACACTGGTGGCGTTTGGGGAAGACAGGCTTTGACATTTGGGAGTTTTAGTTGCTAGGATTTATAGTTCTCCTATAATCAAAGAGCATTTGAACCCCATCGACAATATAATTGGGCCAAACTTCCCACACGGAACCCCCATGCCCAACAGAAAATACTGTGTTTTCTGATACTCTTTGTGACCCCTCTGACACCTCCTTGCAACCCCTCCCCCTTGCAGTGGTCCCAACCCCCAGGTTGAGAAAATGAAGTTAGCTGTCACTAAGTTTCAAAGACGCACAAAATGTCCAGTAAGTGAGGCCATGCTAAACACTGTGCTAGAATATCAAAATATCGAAAGGAATTTATATTCCATTTACTGCATGCAAAACAACACAAAACTATTCATTCCTGGCTGCATAATTTATGGCAATTATCGCAAGAAGCTTTTCTATGGAACAGAAATTGTATCAGCTCAGCTATGAAATTAGCATGGTGAGGAGTTCGTAGCAATGAATTAACAATTTGGAACTAAAAGAGGGACTGCATCGGATGGATGACTAGGCTTCTTACCTGGACATCCCATATCCCCTGCCAGAGCGCTGGCAATTCGGAGGCTGGTAATGTTCGTAAGGGCTTATGTGGCCTCCGTTTTGAGAACAATGGACCGGAGAGGATCGTCCCGACGAAAGGCCATGCTGGAGCCGCGGAGGGAGGACGGCGTGCCCTCGGCTGTAGGCCACCGTCATGTAGACCTCCTTCCCCCTGACTTTCTTGAACAGCTTCTTCCGTGATTTTATGTCCATATCTGGAGGGACCAATGAGATAAAGAGTGGAAACTGTAGGGCACAGAGGGAGCATGCAATGGCATTGGGTCCACCACTAATTTGTGACTTTTACAATTGCTTACACTGTGGGTAGTGAGGGCCCCATTTCTGAAATTTCCGAGCTTCAGAAAGGACATCAGAACTATTTTTGCTACTTGAAAATGACCCAAAACATGCTACAAATGGTAACCATTGGAACCACCCACTTCCCCAGAAGCCCAAAGAGCTCAGATAGCCTTCAAAAATGGTCCAACATGGAAGCCTGGTGTGATGTTCATGCAGGTTAAGCCCACAGAGAGTTCAAAGAGGCAAAATGTGGCTCCTGTAGTCCTACACCTAAGGTAAGAAAATCTAGTTCCCACCTCCACCTTAAACGAGATGTAATGGATGATCGTATCAGGACATGAGAAGTGTTCACTGGCCCTAATTATTTCCTGTCTGGAATTCCCATTTTTTAATTTTTGCTCTTTATTTGCTGTCTTAGGATAGTTTCTCCTTTATTTATTTATTTATTTATTTATGGCATTTGTACCCCATCTCTTCTCTACCTCCGAAGGGGGACTCAGGACAGCTTACATTAGTAACGGTACAGGATCGATACATCACAATTACAATAATATAACACAATCAAATACCAAACAATCATCAATAACCAATACATACAGCATTAATTAAAACAATAAAGCAAAGTTACAATGTCACCTGCCACAACACCATTCCAGTCAGTGTCCATTATGGTGCAAATTACGTCTGCTGCCTGAAGGCCTGGTCCCAAAACCATGATTTTAAATTTTTTTCTGAAGGCCAGGAAGGATGGAGTCGAACTTATTTCATTTGGGAGTGAATTCCATAGGCAGGGGGCCACAGCTGAGAAGGCCCTGTCTCTGGTCTCCGCCAAACATATTTGCGATGTTGACGGGAGTGAGAGCAGGGCCTCCCCAGATGATCTTAGATTACGAGGTGGGACGTAGAGGCAGATGCGTTCAGACAAGTAAGCTGGGCCAGAACTGCATAGAGCTTTATAGATCAAAACCAGCACTCTGAATTGGGCTCGGAGGTGGACTGGCAGCCAGTGGAGCTGACATAGCAGGGGGTGGTATGCTCCCTGTATGTCGCCCCAGTTAGTAATCTGGCTGCCTCCTGTTGGACTAGCTGGAGTTTCCGAGCTGTCTTCAAAGACAGCCCCACGTAGAGCATGTTGCAGTAATCTATTCGGGGTTAGAGATCTTCAATGTGTTGTCAAAGGCTTTCATGGCTGGAATCACTAGGTTGCTGTGAGTTTTCCGATCTGAATGGCCATGTTCCAGAAGCATTACTTATTTATGTATTTACAACATTTCTACCCCGACCTTCTCAACTCCCGAGGGGGGACTCAGAGCGGCTAACATTGGCAACAATTCGATGCCACAATATCACAATATAACAACAATATAAAACCATAAATACTACAACATTACATATACAATAACATTAATTATACAGTCATATAGCCGTTTCCATTATCATAACAATCATCATATGGTCCAGTTCAATGCCCAAAGTGTCGTTGTGCCTGCTAGCCAAAAGCCTGTTTCCAAAACGACGATTTTAGTTTTTTTTCTAAAGGAAAGGAGGGAGGACGCCGATCTAATCTCACTAGGGAGCAAATTCTACAAGCGGAGGGTCACCACCGAGAAGGCCCTGTCACTCGTCCAAACCAGACACATTTGCGATGCAGGTGGGACCGAGAGCAGGGCCTCCCCAGAAGCATTCTCTCCTGACTTTTCACCCACATCTATGGCAGGCATCCTCAGAGGTTGTGAACTAGGCAAGTGAAGATATATAAACTTCACTGTGAAATATCCAGGTTGAGAGAACCTCACTTGCCTAGTTCATAACCTCTGAGGATGCCTCTCATAGATGTGGGAGAAACATCAGGAGAGAATGCTTCGGGAACATGGCTACACAGCTCGGAAATCTCACAGCAACCCAGTCATTCCGGCCATGAAAGCCTTCAACAATACATTAAACTGTATGGTATTTGTACCCATTAGCTACAATTTGCCAAAATAATTTCCTAGGGACTTCCTGCCAATGGCTCAAGGAAGAGCACCAGTTCATGAACCGTTTTGAGTCATTTCAACAGAAAGGAGGAAACTATGAAAATGAACAAAATCTGGCTACCAGTATTAAAAAAACTCTAAAATTACAACAGCACAACAACAGAGAGGAAACAAACAAGGACATCTAATCACCTCTCAACAAAAGTTTGCTCTAGGCACTGACAGGCCATTATATGCTAATAAATGCATATATATCCTAGTTCCAACAGACCTCACTACCTCTGAGGATGCTTGCCATAGATGCAGGCGAAACATCAGGAGGGAATGCCTCTAGACCATGGCCATATAGCCCGAAAAAACCTACAACAACCCAGTGATTCTGGCCATGAAAGCCTTCGACAATACGTTTTGAATAACTCTCATCTAAACCCAATTTGTTAAAGGCAAGGCTAACTGATGGTTAAGTCCATTAAAATCACATTTTGCCAACACAAGACAGCAATGCGGGTTGCATTTATCAGAACAAAAACCTCCACTTCTTTTGTAGCCAGATGTCGAAGTAATTCATTTGATCCACAAGACGGTAATTTGAGGGAAAGCTTTCACATCTCGGCTGTGCGATTGCGAAGGTGGAAATGATTTTATGGCGATATAAAGGATGCCGACAGAGCGGAGAGTTCGCTTGTAAAGAAGCCCAATTGAGCATCTCTCTCGTTATCTCTTCAGATATTCAATTTATGGGCAGATTCAGCAAGATGAACACTAATCAGATTTCAGGACCTATACGCTTCTGTAAGAAAGCAAACTTTCCTGTCATAAACAAAGCGGCTTCTTCTGACCTTACTACTCCAATATTTGATGTTGACACATACAGTGAACTGGAAGGGAGATTTGCCTAGGTTTTGGACATGAGTTACAATGATTATATTTTGTTATTTTGATACACATTGCATTTCCCATTTTCCAAATTCCTTTCTGTCAACTTTTTATTGATTAAATAAACTTTGGGTTGCTATGAGTTTTGCAGGCTGTCTAACTATGGTTTCCAGCAGACAAAGAACTCTTATCTGCTGGAGGCAAGTGTGAATGTTGCAATTGGTTGGATTAGCATTGAATAGCCTTGCAGCTTCAAAGCCTGGCTGCTTCCTGCCTGGGTGAATCCTTTGTTGGGAGATGTTAGCTGGCCACGATTGTTTCTCTCTGGAATTTCCCTGTTTTCTGAGTGTTCTTTTTTATCCTGATTTTAGAGTTTTTCAGTACTGGTAGCCAGATTTTGTTCATTTTCATGGTTTATTTATTTATTATTTATTTATTTCAGATATTTGTACCCCACCCTTCTCAACCCCCCCGGGGGGGACGGACTCTGAGTGTTCTTTATCCTGATTTTAGAGTTTTTTAGTACTGGTAGCAGGATTTTATTCATTTTCATGGTTTATTATTTATTTATTTATTTATTTATTTCAGATATTTGTACCCCACCCTTCTCAATTCCGGGAAGGGGGGGGGAGCTCAGGGTGGCTTCCAGCCGGCAACAATTTGATGCCTCCAATACATAATAAAATCCAATAATTACATACATTTAAAACATTAAATAACACTAATTAATTAAAATCTGTTTCTGTTTCAACAGCAGCCTGGTAGCCTTATCTGAGCCGAATTCTGTAGTTAGAGACTCCATCAAGCATGTCCATAGTCCATTTCCATAGCGATTGTCATCATTGTCACTGTCAGCAAGATTACCCGAAGGCCTGGTCCCACATCCACATTTTTAATTTCTTTCTAAAGGAAAGGAGGGATGTCAATAATCTAATTTCACTGGGGAAATTCCACAGGCGGGGTGCCACCACCAAGAAGGCCCTGTCCCTTGTCCCTGTCAAGCACGTTGGCGACAGAGGTGGGCCTGAGAGCAGGGCCTCCCCAGAAGATCTTAAACTCTGGTGGTTGTTAGAGTACTTGATAAACCAACTTGGACACAGAACACAGAAATGCTGGACCACTCTAACAACCACATCAGGCTACACAGAGAAGCCACTGAAATCCACAAGCATGTGGACAATTTCCACAGAAAGGAGGAAACCATGAAAATGAACAAAATCTGTCTTCCAGTATTAAAAACTCTAAAATCAGGACACTAAATAAAGAGTAGCATTCAAAAGACAAGGGATTTCCAGGCAAGAATCAATCAGGGCCAGCTAACACCTCCCAACAAAGGATCTCTCAGGCAGGAAGCAGCCAGGCTCTGAAGCTACAAGACCATTCAATGCTAATCAAGGTGGCCAATTGCCTCAAACAGACGAGAGTTCCTTCTCCCAGCCTGGACATTATTCCACAGATATATAAACCCCATTTTCCAAGTTTCCAACAGACCTCACAACGTATTGTCGAAGGCTTTCATGGCCGGGATCACTGGGTTGTTGTAGGTTTTTCCGGGCTATATGGCCATGTTCTGGAGGCAATTTTTCTCCTGACGTTTCGCCTGCATCTATGGCAAGCATCCTCAGAGGTAGTGACCTCACTACTTCTGAGGATGCTTGCCATAGAAGCAGGTGAAACGTCAGGAGAGAATGCCTCTAACATGGCCATATAGCCCGAAAACCTACAACCAATATAACTCACAACCTCTGAGGATGCCTGCCATAGATGTGGGCAAAATGTCAGGAGAGAATGCTTCTGGAGCATGGCCATACAGCCCAGAAAACTCAAAGCAAGCCAGTGATTCTGGCCATGAAAACCTTCAACAACGCTCTAAATAAACTTTCCTAAACTGATTAAATCTGCATATCTCTGCACTTGAGAAGGATATAGTTCTAAGGGAAAAGGCCCTTAGAAAACAATCAGACAGATGTGTTGTTCTAGCCAACTTCTCAGAAGTGGCACAGGAGGGAATTTCTCTTTTAAGGAGGCATCTGTTGATGAAACTATTTATAAAGGATTTTATAGGAAAACGTCCTTTTGCATTTATGCACCTCTCAGGGCAGCCATTAATATTTTTTTTTTAAAAAAAATAGTGAAAATGCAAAATATAATTAAAAAATAGAATGCAAATACAATTTTCATCAAATCATCTGTCCTCAGGAATTTTCTATGACTTCTAGAGAAGTCTATGGTGTGCATCTGCCAGACGTTATCGTAAGTGTCATTGGAGGTCCTAGCTAGGATTTTTCATGTCCTCCAGGGTGGCAGAAGTTACTCATTTCATCAGGGTACACTATTAACCATAATTTCCTGTTTCCGCAGGAAGTTCACCTATCCACCGATTAGGCGCCACAGTAGCACAGTGGGTTAAACTGCTAGCTGTAGAAAAACTTGCCGACCTGAAGGTTGGAAGTTCAAAGCTCCCGCTGTTAGCCCTAGCTTCTGCCTACATAGCAGTTCAAAAACAAATGTGAGTAGATCAATAGGTACTGTTTTGGCAGGGATGTAAATGGCGCCCATGTAGACATGCCGGTTATATGATCAGGAAGGTATCCATGGAAAATGGAAAATGTAAAAAGAGCACCTCCCCATGCCTGGAGTTCTGCACAGTCTGCAAAATCTCCAGAGATGAAAACAGGGAAGCCTTTACGTCTGTCTATGTTCTGTATATCTATGTTTATATATATATTGTGTCCAATTCTGGGCACCACAATTGAAGAGAGATATTGACAAGCTGGAATGTGTCCAGAGGAGGACAACTAAAATGATCAAGGGTCTGGAGAACAAGCCCTATGAGGAGGCTTAAAGAGCTGGGCATGTTTAGCCTGAAGAAGAGAAGGCTGAGAGGAGACATGATAGCCATGTATAAATATGTGAGAGGAAGTCATAGAGAGGAGGGAGAAGGCTTGTTTTCTGCTGCCCTAGAGACTAGGACGCGGAACAATGGCTTCAAACTACAAGAGAGGAGATTCCATCTGAACATGAGGAAGAACTTCCTGACTGTGAGATCCGTTCAGCAGTGGAACTCTCTGCCCCGGAGTGTGGTGGAGGCTCCTTCTTTGGAAGCTTTTAAACAGAGGCTGGATGGCCATCTGTCAGGGGTGATTTGAATGCAATTTTCCTGCTTCTTGGCAGGGGGTTGGACTGGATGACCCATGAGGTCTCTTCCAACTCTTTGATTCTATGATTCTATGATGATGATGATGATTATTATTATTATTATTAAGGCGCACCTGTGGGTCCATCCCTGTGGCTGTTCTATGTACTATATGTCTTTGACATTAATTATATAATGGCATTGAATGTTTACCATATACATATATATTCTATAATCCGTTCTGAGTCCCCTTGTGGAGATAGAGCAGAATATAAATAAAGTATGTTGTTATATTATTCAAATATGACCATGTCTTTACCAAAAGAGGATCACTATTATTCATGGTTCCCTCTTTCCACGGGAAGTTTAGGTAGACATACCATACAGATATGTGGTTGTGCTACAAATAGAAATGGCAATAGCCACAACTATGATGATCTAACCCCAGGCTCTTATAAGGTTGTTCCATGGTCCTATCCAAGTATGAAAAAGAGATCAACAGCAAATGAATTCAACATTATTTCAATACTAGGGCAAACCCATTATGCAATATAAAGCAGCAACAAATACTCGCCAGTGTACATCATGGAGGACAAACCCACCTGACAGCTTCTGGTAGCCTCCTCCTTTCCGACCTGAGACTATATTCCATGCAGGGATCGGCGTCACTTGTGTCACAGGCTTCAAATTCACCAGTGGAACAAGGTGTCTAAAACATACATCAATGATATGGTTCAAGTAAGGCCAACACTCAAGTTAAAACTCAAGAGCAACTCCAGAGCCTACTAACTGTAAGGATGCAAAGTGGGTTATATTATTATTATTATTATTATTATTATTATTATTATTATTATTATTAGAAACACAACAAGATGACTCCACAGCAGACAAGATCATTCTGCTGGTTGTTGTATTGGATCACACGTTGGAAACTTCCCAAGTGTCTAGGACTGTGTGATGTATCGGCGAATAATGTATGCAGATCCCAGTAAGGAGGCCTTCTGCAGCTGGCAGATGGTAATTTTGTCAGCGCCGATTGTGTTTAAGTGCAGGCCAAGGTCTTTAGGCACTGCACCCAGTGTGCTGAACACCACTGGGACCACTTTTACTGGCTTGTGCCAGAGTCTTTGCAGTTCAATCTTTAAATCCTTATATCATGTCAGCTTTTCCAGTTGTTTCTCTTCAATCCTGCTATCGCCCTGGATTGCAACATCAATGATCCATTTTAACATGATTGTGAGGTCAGGAGTACTGTGCTCCAAAACTCTTTCTGTCTGAATTCGGAAGTCCTAGAGTAGTTTGACGTGTTCATTTTCTGTTAATTTTTCCGGCTTGTGTTCCCATCAGTTCCTTGTCGTAGGCAGATGCTATTTGTGGCACAAGTTCCAATGAATCATCTGAGCAACAGTATTATGCCTCTGCTTGTAGTCTGTCTGTGCAATCTTCTTGCAGCAGCTGAGGATGTGATCTATTGTTTCATCTGCTTCCTTGCAGAGTCTACATTTGGGATCTGTTGTCGAGTTTTCAATTCTGGCTTTGATGGCATTATTATTTCACTGACACAAAAACACAGTATGTCACAGCAAACGAGATCTATATGCTGGATTTCGTATCACAAAATCACAAGTCAAACACTTCCCAAGCGTCTAGGACTGTGTGATGTATTTTTGAATGATGCACGCAGATCCAAGTAAGGTGGCCTTTTGCAGTTGACAGATTGTGATTTTTTCAATGTTTATAGTTTCCAAATGCTGCTATCTTTTGGCACGGCACCCAGTGTGCTGATGACCACTGGGACCACCTGTACTGTTTCATGCCATAGCCTTTGCAGTTTGATTTTGAGGTCCTGATACCGGCTGAGTTTTTTCTGTTGTTTTTCCTCAATGAGACTGTCATCTGGTATGGCAACATCCATAATCCAACACCACCCCCCCCCCCCCCCCCCCCCCACAATCGTGATATCTGGTGTATTGTATTCCAAAACTTTGCCAGTCTGGATTTAAAAGTCGCACGGTATTTTTCCATGTTCATTTTCCACTACCTTTGCAGGTTTATAATCCCACCAATTCTTTACTGCTGGCAGGTGGTACTTGCAACATAAGTTCCAGTGAATCATCTGGATCACAGAGTTGTGCCTCTGTTTGTAGTCCATCTGTGCAATTTTCCTGCAACAGCTGAGGATATGGTCCATGGTTTCATCAGCTTCCTTGCACAGTCTGCATTTTGGGTCATCCGCTGATTTTTCAATCCTGGCCTTAATTGCACTTGTTCTGTTGGCTTGCTTCTGGGCTGCAAGAATCAGACCTTCTGTCTCCTTCTTCAGGATTATTATTATTATTATTATTATTATTATTATTATTATTAAACTTTATTTATACCCCACCACCATCTCCCCTCAGGGACTCGGGGCGGTTAACATGAGGCCAAGCCCAACAAATAAAGTAAACAAATAAGATACATACAGCAAATAATAATTAAAATTAAATCAAAATATAAATTAAAATAAAATACAGCAATAAACACCTCCAGGTGTTTTGGACTTCAACTCCCACAATTCCTAACAGCCTACTGGCTGTTAGGAATTGTGGGAGTTCAAATCTAAAACACCTGGAGGGCAAAAGTTTGCCCATGCCTGGTCTAAACTCTCCAGAATCCATTATAACTAAAGGTACACCTTGTGTCCTAAATCCTTCCAAATGGACAGTGAAATACCTTGCTAGCTATATCTTTTGTCATACATATTGGGTTTGTTTTGCTCCTTGGCTGCGCTCCTGTCTGACGGACCTGAAAACAATGTTGTAAATAGCGTTGCTTCTGCTATTGAATAGGCTTCAAGCTGTTGAGCATTATGCGCCAGGGTGCCATTATTGCACGATTAGTTATGAGTTCACAAAACTTCGTAATGCAGCAAAGAGAACAAACTTGACAACAAATTGAAAAGCCTGCCTATCCATTTTCACTCTGGCTTTTGTGCTATTCGTTCAATAAACTCCTAACACAAACAAAGCCATTCATCGAACAAGAACCTCGTGGTTTTGGACTTGATACACATGTTGGTTCAGTTATTCCAAAGGACGTAACTACCCAAACAGAAGCAGAGAAAAGCAACAAAAATGGCAAAATGTCTGGAAACTATGGGAGTATAAAACTGCAACTCCCATGATTCTAGAGCATTGAGCCATGGTAGCTAAAGTGGTATCAAACTGCATTTATTCTACCGTTTGATGCACCCTCAAGAACATAACTACTCTGGGTTGTTGTTAGTTTTCTGGGCTGTAGGGCTATGCTCCAGAAGCATTCTCTCCTGACGTTTTGCCTGCATCTATGGCAGGCTACCTCTGAGGATGCCTGCCATAGATGCAGGCGAAACATCCAGAGGGAATACTTCTGGAACATGGCCATACAACCCGGAAAACTCACAACAACCCAGTGATTCTGGTCATGAAAGCCTTCGACAACACATATCTATTCTGTCAATTGTAGTCTATGGGAAAGAAGGAAAGAATGCAACCTATAAATTTTGCCTCAAGCAAATAAACATTTTTTGGCAATTTTGCTTTCAATTTGTCACGCTACAAAAAAGTTAACTGCCTCCTTGTAGCTCACCCATATATTCTAATAGGCTCCTGTCTTGCTTCATGTCTGTTTTCAAGATGAAAGCAGAACCATAAAAATAATGAATTGGCAATCTATTTCCCCAAAGAGGACAAAGGACAAACATGGATCTGTAAGGATTACAATGGAAGAAAGGGAACAGACAAAGAATGGACCCAAGAGAATATACGAGGGTTATCCAGAAAGTAAGGTTACAAGGCACATAGCTCTCACGGGGATTTCTTACAGGGGAAGGTGGTATCACTGCTGTGTAGCAGGAAGCCAGCAGAAACACATGAGCAGTGCCAGTCATCAGTAGCTCATCGACTGGAATTATGGTGAAAGTTAGAGATGAGCGTCCTTATTCTGTTTCCCTCCAAGTGCGAAGTTCGCACTGTATGAGGGATATCCAGAAAATAAGGTTACAAGGCATATAGCTCTTGTGGGGAATTTTCACATGGGAAATTGGTATCACTGCCATGTTGTAAGAAGCCAGCAGAAGCGAACGAGCAGTATCAGTCGTCAGTAGCTCATCAACTGCCATTGTGGTGAAGATTAGAGATGGGCATCCTCATTCCGTTTCTCTTCTGTCTGTCGCCTTCATGACAATGCACTTCTGCACACCACTCATGCAACACAAGAGTTGTTGACTTCATTTGGTTGGGATGTTTTAACCTACCCCTCTCACTGCCCTGATATCATACCCAGTACTCAATAATAATATTGAGTGCAGATGATCTTTGGATGTCATTGTATGCTTTTGAGGCCTTTCCTATTTAATCCTAAGGCAACGTTTATCTGCCTTTGAGCTGAGAATGTGTGCCTTTCCCACACGTTACTGAACGACATACAGTTTTTTTGCCATCCCAATTGATGGTGGCAATTATGGGAATTGCAACCCAACAGCCCTTGTGGCTCCGAGGCTGGAGAAAGGCTCAAGGGTGTTACAAAGCCAGGTATCCTCTCCACAAGCCTTGCACCTGAAATTGAAGCAAAACCTGGATGGAAAACACTTTTCCAATGATGTTGAGGTGAAAATCAAAGTGACGAACTGGCTGACAAAACCAAGCAGAAGACTTCTATGACACAGGCATTAAAAACCCGTCCCACAGATTTTTTTTTTTTGTCATGTCAGGAGTGACCTGAGAAACTGCAAGTCGCTTCTGGTGTGAGAGAATAGGCCGTCTGCAAGGACGTTGCCCAGGGGACGCCCGGATGATTTGATGTTTTCATCATCCTTGTGGGAGGCTTCTCTCATGTCCCTGCATGAGGAGCTGGAGCTGATAAAGGGAGCTCATCCGCCTCTCCCCGGATTCAAACCTGCAACCTGTCGGTCTTCAGTCCTGCTGGCACAGGGGTTTAACCCACTGCGCCACCGGGGGCTCGTCCCACAGATGGCAAAATGTATTGAACGGAGTGGTGATTATGTGGAAAAATAACGTAATGCCTATTCTATAATCCATGTATATACAAAATAATTAAATCATTAAAAGAATGTGGGGTTTTTGGCCATTCAAACTAATTTCATGAGCCAGCTGATGAACAGATGCACATTAAACTTCTGAGGAAGTATTTGGAAACACAAGCTCTCCACTTCTGCATGGAGTTAACTTTATCACCAGGTGAAGCCCTGGTATTTATAGTGTAATCCACATCCGCTCCATTAGCCTCGGGGCCTAACGGATGGCACAGAATCAATCATAACTCCTAAGCCCAAAGAGAAATACATACTTTTCTGCCAGCTCTTCAATGAAGACAGTCACCATGTTATCCTGCCCCACATCCTGGATGTGCGCATTGTAGTATTTGCCCCCGGCGTCTAGGCGTACCTGGAACAATAAGAGCCGGTTTGAAACCAAAGGCATGAGGAGGATTGCAACTGATCATGATTTACTAAAACACCGGTGAATTTCACTGATTCAATTACTTAGGCAGCTCTGATTTACAATATATGGTAAATCTCAATTTTTTATGCTGATATGATTTACTGAAACACTAGTAAATCCCACTGATTCATTAACTTAGCTCTTTTTTTGTGTCGGGAGCGACTTGAGAAACGGCAAGTCGTTTCTGGTGTGAGAGAATTGGCTGTCTGCAAGGATGCTGCCCAGGGGATGCCCAAATGTGTTACCATCCTGTGGAAGGCTTTGCTTATGTCCCAGCATGAGAAGCTGGAGCTGACAGATGGGAACTCCTCCCACTTCCCAGATTCGAACTGACGAGCTTTCGGTCAGCAGTCTTGCCAGCACAAGGGTTTACCCACTGCACAACTGGGGGCTTCTTAGAGAGTTCTGATTTACCATGACATTGGAAAATCCCACTGATTCAATGACTTAGGCAACTCTGATATTCAACATATGGGTAAATCCCATTGATTCAATCATCTATGCGAATATGATTTACTGAAACACTGGTAAGTTTCATTGATTCAATTACCTGAGCAGCTAACATTTATCAAAACACTGGAAATCCCATTGATTCTGTATCTTAGGCTGCTATGATGTACCACAACATTGGTAAATCCCATTGATCCAATAACATAGGCAGCTATCATTACTAAAACACTGGTAAATCCCATTGATTCAGTAACCTAGGCACCAATGATACACCATGACATTGGTAAATCCTGGTGGTTCAATAACTTAGGCAGCTATCATTGACCAAAACACTGGTAAATCCCAATTCAATGACTTATGCAGCTATGAACTGAATTACTGTATATATTCAAGTATAAGCCGACCCGAGTATAAGCCGAGGATGGGCAATGGAGCAGCTACTGGTAAATCTCAAAATAAAAATATATGCCAATAAAATTACATTAATTGAAGCATCAGGAAGTTAAATGTTTTTGAATATTTACATAAAACTGTAATTTAAGGTAAGACTGTCCAACTCCGATTAAATCATTGTTCTAACCTTGTTCAATGTAAATGTATTTACGTATTCTTCCAATAATAAGAGAATAAAATAATAAATGTATTAAAAGTAATAGTAAAGCAAAATAATGGAAATGTAATAATAATAATAATAATAATAATAATAGAGAGTAAAATAATACATGTAATAAAAGTAATAATAGAGCAAAATAATGGAAATGTAATTACTACTACTACTACCTTATTTTTATACCCTGTCACCATCTCCTCGAAGGGACTCGGGGTGGCTTATAAGGGGGCAAGCCCAATAAAATACAGATTAAAACACACACAATAAAATAAAATTAAAGAAAATAAAATCAACCACAACATCAGAGAATCATTACAATCGCATTACACAGTTTAGAAACAGTATCATGGCTGAGAGAATAAGTGCTGAGTATGGAGGGATCAGGGAATGTGCAAGAACAATAATAATAAAAAATAATAATAAATGTAATAATAATAATAATAATAATAAAATAATAATAAATGTAATAACAACAATAATAATGTTGAATTATAAATGTAATAACAATAATAAATAAAGTAAAATTACTTGTTACATGCCATATAGACTACTGCAACGTGTTCTACGCTTTACTGTCTGGAAGCTTCAAATGGTCCAATGAACGGCAATCAGATTGCTAATAGGAGTGGCGCTCAGGGAGCATACAACTCCTCTGTTGCGCCAGCTCCACTGGCTGGCAGTTTGCTACTGGGCACAATTCAAAGTGCTGGCTTTAGCTATAAAGCCCTAAACGGTTCTGGACCAACTTACATGTCCGAACACATCTCCCCTTATGAACCATCTAGGACCTTAAGATCGTCTGGGTAGGCCCTGCTCTCATTACCGCCTTCGTCACAAGTACATTTGGCAGAGACGAGAGACAGGGCCTTCTCAGTGGTGGCCCCTCGGCTATGGAACGCCCTCCCTATAGATATTAGATTGACCACCTCTCTTTTAGCATTCCGGAAAAAAAGTCAAGATGTGGCTTTTTGAACAAGCATTTCCATATGCAGAGTAACTGACATAGGAAAATGGAACGACTAGACAATGGGTCTGGACAACGTTTTTAACAAGGAGACACTATGAATTTATATTTTATTGATTTGTTTAGTTTTTATTATATGTTATGTTTTTAATTGTATTTATGATATTGTAAGCATTGAATTTTACCCTGTTAACCGCCTTGCCTACGGGCTGAGAAAGGCTGTATAAAAATACAATAAATAGATAGATAGATGATTGATAGATAGATAGATAGATAGATAGATAGATAGATAGATAGATAGATAAAATAACAATAACAACAACAGAAGAGTAAAATAATAAATAACCTTGATTCAAGTATAAGCAGAGGGAGGCTTCTTCAGCCTTAATTCGGGGCTAAAAAACTAGGCTTATACTCAAGGATTACAGTACTGGGATTTAGGACACTCCATCTTTACTATCAGTTTCACTTTTAGTAAGAAAAGGGAATAGGATCCAAGAGCAAGTCAATTCTTCACTTTTCCTCAAAACCAATATCAACTAAACTCAAGCTATACTTTGTAAATCTTTATTAAATTTTCAAGTTTTAAAAACGTACATTTTCACATAAATACATACCAAACAATCAAACTCAAGCTATACTTTGGACATACCAGGGGGAGAGTTATATCAAGGAAAAAAACAACAAAGTTTGATAGAAAGGAATGTAGTTGGAAAAAAAAGAGTAAGGCTGAGTACAAATGGATCGGATCAATAAGGAAATCCTTGAGTCTACACAAATGTCTTTTGGAGGGCTGTCATTCATAGACTCACCTTAAGTCAAAGCCAGCTTGAGAGCGTGTAACACAAGGAGAACGAAAGTGAAAGAACAGAAAAAGATGATATAAATCTGAATGGATATATGATCACGCCTGCCCACTGCGTTTCCTTTATCCTGGCTCATTTGAAGGAAAAATGGAAGATGTAACCCTTTCTCTTGATGGAGAACCCAATGTTTATCATTCCCTTCCCTTCTAGTCTCTTATCAATGGGATAACTATTATTGCATTTATTAATTCCCTAATAGGAACGCGGTCCATGGAAACTTATTTCATCATTGACTTTAAAAGGTACTATGGATTGTTTTCTCTCTTGGCTTTGCCCAAAATACAGATACTCCTCTCAAAATTCTTGTTTTGTGTTAATCAATTTGGATGGTTCTATTTTAGAAACAGAAAGCTGGAATATATAGATATTCATATAAAATATTAACTACTGTGAACTATTTATAGCTGGGGCTAAAAAAGCTCTTTGGCCTGATAGGGGTGAAAAAGGCAAGGCTAAGAGGATTAGATGGCGCTTTCGCTGGGTGCCTTCCAAGTCTGTATTTTTTTCCCTTCCTATAATTCCTCTCCATGACTTTGCAACAAGGCTTTGCAGAGAAGAGATCACAAACCGACACATTTCAGCCAGAAACTCGGAGAGCAAAGGACAGAGCTGAACATTATCTCATGGGGAAAGTCAAGGAGTTATCACCTTCTGTCCTCATAAAACTATTGCATCCTGAGAAGTAAATTAACAGCTCCGAATGTCAGCCAGAGCATTAAAAAAAGCCAGATGAGTGAGGACATGGGAAGCAAGCAGTAGGAAGGAAGGAAAGAGGGAAGAAAGAAGACACTGATAGAAAGAAGGGTGGAAGGAAGGAAGAACTGAAAGAAGGAAAGAAAAACAGAAGGAAGGAAGGAAGGATCAATGGATGAAGGAAGGATGGATCGAAGGAAGGCAGGATGGATCAATGGATGGATGGACTGAAGGAAGGAAAGGACTGAAGGATGGAAGGAAGGAAGGGACTGACCAGAAGGAAGGGAGGCAGGCAGACTGATGAAAGAATGGATGGAAGGAAGGAAGGGACTGAAGGAAGGAAGGGACAGAAGGATGAATGGAAGGAATAACTGACAGACAGACAGAAAGAAAGGAAGGGAGGGTGGCAGGCAGGCAGGAACACTGATGAAAGAATGGATGGAAGGAAGGAAGACACTGACAGAAAGAAGGGTGGAAGGAAGGAAGAACTGACAGATGGAAAGAAAAACAGAAGGAAGGAAGGATGGATCAATGGATGAAGGAAGGATGGATCGAAGGAAGGAAGGAAGGATGGATCAATGGATGGATGAACTGAAGGAAGGAATGGACTGAAGGATGGAAGGAAGGAAGGAAGGAAAMAAGGAAGGAAGGAACTGACCAGAAGGGAGGGAGGCAGGCAGACTGATGAAAGAATGGATGGAAGGAAGGGACTGAAAGAAGGATGGAAGGAAGGAAGAACTGGCAGATGGAAAGAAAAAAAGGAAGGAAGGATGGATGGCTCAGTGAATGAATGGATAGAAGGAAGGAAGTGACTGAAGGAATCATGGAAAGCAGGAAGAACTGACAGAACGAAAGAAAGAAAGGAAGGACTGATGAAAGGATGGATGGAAGGGACTGAAAGAAGGATGGATGGAAGAAATGATAGAAGGAAAAAAAGGAAGGCAGGAAGGACTGATGAAAGGATGGATGAATGGATAGAAGAAAAAAGGGGCTGAAGGAAGGAAGGAAGGAAGGAAGGACTGACAGAAGGAAAGAAAGAAGGAAGGCAAGAACGAAGGAAGGAAGGATGGACAAAGTGATGAAAGAATGGATGGAAGGAAGGGACTGAAGGAAGGATGGAAGAACTGACTGACAGACAGAAGGAAGGACTGATGGAAGAGAGGGAGAGAGGACAGAAAGAATGACGGGATGAAAGGATGGACAGACGGAAGGAAGGATGAATGGAAGGACAGATGTAAGGGTAAAAGAAAACATCCCATTTCCACAGACCACAAGTGTTCGCTTCCCTGGCTGTCAATACTGAAGACTAGGAATAAACACAGTCAAAATTATGAATTTCCAAGTCAGAAAATAAAATGGACAGGAGAGGCTTTGAATAAAAGTTTGATTTAATGAAGCTCTTGATCCTTGAAGAAGAAACGTTGGAAACTATCTGCAGAACATTTCAGTTTTGATGTCAGTCAACATGGGCTGAGCAGATATTGACAATTCTTGGGTTTGCAATACCATTTTAGATTAAGTTTAAAAGCATCCCCTTCCATCCTGCACAGCAACTGATTCCCCTTTAAAAATATTTTTTAAGTTTTCCATATGAAAAAAGCATTTCTTTCTTGGTCTTAATTGGCAACTATTATTAAAACTTATTGACTAAACAAACTTAACAGGACTAACCTGACACTTGTCCCCCAGATAGTACTGTCTCCCAGCAAACACCAAGTAGTCCATTTTTTGAAGTTCTGCAAACAGAAGAAAACAAGGGAAGCATTTTTCCATAGCAGCCCTTTCCTGAAAATATTTTGCACCAGCAGAAGAATAATAGATATATGTCAACACAAAGGAAATAAACTAAGTAGAAAAAGAATGTATTATGTCATTATTTGTATATCCCACCTTTCCCCTTGAACAGAATGCAAGATGGATTTTATATATCTTTAATATGCAGATAAAGATACCTTTCCTACTATCCAACCAAACATCAAACTCAATGTTGCGATAGATTTCAGGGTCCAATGCTTTCAGAACTTTGTAGGGAAAAGGCATCTTTGGGTTCTCCGGAGGCTGCAAAATGGAGAGGGAACTGAATTAAAAGACCAAGGAGAAATATCTGTTCAACTTCAAGAAAGTTTGAGATTTTTTACCCTCCAATACTTCATTATAATATTGATGGAGACATCTTTCCATTGTGGGATTTACAAATTAGCAGTGTGTTATTAAAAGTAAAAGTGTGATTATATACTATTATTTTATAGGAGACTAATAAGAGATAAAACAATCAGATACTGAATGAGAGGTTTGCAAAACAGAATTTTTTCAGGTTGTATGGCAATGTTCCAGAAGCATTCTCTCCTGACTTTTCACCCACATCTATGACAGGCATCCTCAGAGGTAGGAGCCTCCGGTGGCACAATGGGTTAAGCCCTTGTGCCAGCAGGACTGAAGACTGACAGGTCAGAGGTTCGAATCCGGGGAGAGAATGGATGAGCTCCCTCTGTCAGCTCCAGCTCCCCATGCAGGGACATGAGAGAAACCTCCCACAAGGATGGTAAAACATCAAAAAGCCTGGGTATTCCCTGGCCAACATCCTTGCAAACAGCTAATTCTCTCACACCAGAAGCAACTTGCGGTTTCTCAAGTCGCTCCTGACATGAAAAAAAAATCCTCAGAGGTTGTTGGAAACTAGGCAAGTGAGGTTTATAGATCTGTGGAATAATGTCCAGGGTGGAAGAGAGAACTTTTATCTGTTTGAGGCAAGTGTGAACATTGCAATTGGCCAGCTTGATTAGCACTGACTAGCCTTACAGCTTCAAAGCCTGGCTGCTTCCTGTCTGGGGGGGAAGATTGGGAGGTGTTAGCTGGCCCTGATTGTTTCCTGTGTGGAATTGCCCTGGGTTTTTCTTTAGTGTTGCTCTTTATTTACTGTCCTGATTTTAGTTTTTTAAAATACTGGTAGCCAGATTTAGTTCATTTTCATGGTTTCCTCCTTTCTGTTGAAATTGTCCATATGTGTGTGGATTTCAATGGCTTCGCTGTGTTTTTGTTTGTTAGTTTTGGTTTTCTCTCTGTGTGTTTTATTTTTGTGTATTGTGTTCTGTCATTTATAGTCCTCATCTTCATTTGCTTTTAATGATGGCATTTCAATATGAACATCAAGTCAATGAAGAATTTATAGTATGGTATAGAAAGGGGGTATAATATGAGCCCTATTTTTAATAGGAACTCTCAGAGCAACCAGAAACTCCATTTAGCTGGCATCTACCAACCCCAAAAGGTACTGATTAACAGTCAGTCTATTATTATTATTATTATTATTATTATTATTATTACTATTATTATCCTTCTCCTCCTCAAGGCTCCAAATAAGAAACTACTTTATAAAAAGAACTCATATAAGGAGCAAAACAGCTACACAGTAAAGATAAAGGTTTCCACTTGGCATTAAGTCTAGTCACATCCGACTCTGGGAGGTGGTACTCATCTATACTATTAAGCCAAAGAGCTGGCATTGTCCGTAGACACCTCTAAGTCATGGGACCAGTATGACTGCATGGAGCACTGTTATTTTCCCAACAGGGTGGAATCTATTTACTCACACTTGCATGTTTTCATACTGCTAGGTTGGCAGGAGCTGGGGCTAACAGTGGGAGCTCACCCCATCCCATAGATTCGAACCACCAACCTTCCAGTCAGCAAGTTCAACAAGTCAGTAGTTTAACCTCCTGAGCCACTGCAGCCCCTTATTATTGTTGTTATTAATATTATTATTATTATTAAGCTGCATGGAGCGCAGTTATTTTCCCGATAGGGTGGTATCTATTTACTCATACTTGCATGCGTTCAAACTGCTAGGTTGGCAGGAGCTGGGGCTAACAGTGGGAGCTCACCCCATCCCAGAGATTCGAACCAGCAACCTTCCAGTCAGCAAGTTCAACAAGTCAGTAGTTTAACCTGCTGAGCCACCGCAGCCCCTTATTATTGTTGTTATTAATATTATTATTATTATTAAGCTGCATGGAGCGCTGTTATTTTCCTGAGAGGGTGGTATCTATTTACTCACACTTGCATGTTTTCATACTGCTAGGTTGGCAGGAGCTGGTGCTAATAGTGGGAGCTTACCCCATCCCACGGATTCGAACCACCAACCTTCCAGTCAGCAAGTTCAACAAGTCAGTAGTTTAACCTGCTGCACCACCACAGCCCATTATTATTATTATAGTTATTAATATTATTATTAACCTGCTCCTTCTCAAGGCTTCAAATATGAAAGGTACTTTTCAAAAAGAACTTGTATAAGGAGCAAAAGAGCTGCATATCAGCAAGTAATAATATTAATGCCATTTTTTGTTTATGAGATTTATTTTAATTGTTTATTGTTGTTGTTATTGCTTGTATTGATGTATTGTGGGCTTGGCCTCATGTAAGCCACACCGAGTCACTTGGGGAGACGGTAGTAGGTAGGTAGGTAGTCCCCTGACATTAAGTCCAGTCATGTCTGACTCTGGGGTGTGGTGCTCATCTCCATTTCTAAGCCAAAGAGCCAGCGTTGTCCGTAGACACCTCCAAGGTCATGTGGCCGGCATGACTGCATGGAGCGCCCTTACCTTCCCGCCGGAGCGCTACCTATTGATCTACTCACATTTGCATGTTTTCGAACTGCTAGGTTGGCAGAAGCTAGGGCTGACAGTGGAAGCTCATGCCGCTCCCCGGAATCGAACCTGCGACCTTTCGATCAACAAGCTCAGCAGCTCAGTGCTTTAACCCACTGCGCCACCAAATAAAGTTGTTTATTATTATTATTATTATTATTATTATTATTATTATTATTATTATTATTATTTATAGCAACAGCTCACCCAAATTGGAAAGATGTTGCAGGACCATGTAATGGTATTTTACTGCATGTTTTCAGATGACCAACTTTTAGTAGAAAGGATTGTTTTTCTAAGTTCCTGCAAGCCTTTAAAGGGCAATTTGGAGCGAAAAATGGGAAGCAAAATGGAGAAGGCAAGATACAGACGTAAAACCACGGCCTTTGCACAAACAGGAAGAAATGCTCCAAGGTGTGTCAATCCTATTGCCTTTTAAGCTGCCAAACCTTTGCCTCTTCAACGCCTTGTTTGCAGTTTTCCTCCAGCTGGTTCGCTGGCTCAAATCTTTCCCAATCGTCCAGCCTGAGAGAGAATGAAACATAGAGATTTAAACAGCGCTGGTGCTGTCCAGTGCTGAAAAGCAAGGCTTGCTGTTAAGGTTTTGGAAACATTGGAAGCCCAATGGCACCACCAAGCGGTGCCTCAAGCATCTCTGCAGCCACAATATTTTCCTACAAGGAAAATTGCAAACCTACTCTCTTCCAAATATTCTTCATCCTAATGACATATCTTTGCAGTTTGCTTATATCTATACACATTGTAATATGTTTATGTGTATGTGTATCACATATAACAGATGGAACTAAAGGTGCATTTACACCAGTGTTTCTCGAGTGTTTTGGCCTACAACTCCCAGAAACCCCAGCCAGTTTACCAGATGTTAGGATTTTTGGGAATTGAAGGCCAAAACATCTGGGGACCCACAGATTGAGAACCACTGAGCTACACTGTAGAATTAATGCACTTTGATACCACTATAATGGAAATGGAATGTTGGTGGGCAGGAAAAGAGATTTAAAGATGGGCTCAAAGCCAACCTTAAAAACTCTGGCATAGACACTGAGAACTGGGAAGCCCTGCCTCTTGAGCGCTCCAGCTGGAGATCAGCTGTGACCAGCAGTGCTGTAGGATTTGAAGATGTACGGATGGAGGGCGAAAGAGAGAAATGTGCCAAGAGGAAGGCACGTCAAGCCAACCTCGACCAAGACCGCCTTCCACCTGGAAACCAATGCCCTCACTGCGGGAGAAGATGCAGATCAAGAATAGGGCTCCACAGTCACCTACGGACCCACTGCCAGGATACTACACTTGGAGGACCATCATCCTCAGACTACGAGGGTTCGCCTAATTAAGTTGAATTTGAGTCAGAAACAGAAAAATACACCAACTAGCTTCAAAATAAAAGCTTATAATATTAAGCTCTATCACTCTAAGTCAGGTGTGGGCAAACTTCGTCCCTCCAGGTGTTTTGGACTTCAACTCCCACCATTCCTGACAGCCACAGACCCTTTCTTTTTTCCCSTCAGCTGCTTAAGCTGGGAACTCATATGGGAGGGGTGTGTGTGTCTGTGCATGTGTGTATGTGTGTSTGTCTGTGTGTTTGCGGGGGGAGTGGGGGGCATGTGCACACACAGATCTCTACATACTTCAACTCCCAGAAAGCTCACCCATACTGAGTTATGGGAAAGAATTCTGGGAAATGYAGTCCAATATTCAAAGAAAGGACAAAAACAGGAAATGCATGCTGAGTTAGGAAAGGCTGTCTAGCAAAGKACAATCAAAACACTCCCGAAAGATGGCCATCCATCTCTACTCTATAGCAACCCTGGGCTAGAATATCTAGAATAATAATATCTATATATCTATCATAATAATATCTATAAGTCTATAATAATAATAATAATAATAATAATAATAATAATAATAATATAGGCATATATATTATTATTATTATAGATATTGTATAGCCATTATTATTACAGATGTATACATATTATTATACATATACAGATATTATTATTATAGACATGTAGATATTATTATTATATTGGCAAACATATATTATTATTATAGACATATGGATATTATTATAGACATGTAGATATTGTTGTTATAGACATATAGATATCATAAACATCAATATCTACATGTCTGTAATCATATCCATGTCTATAATAATATCTGTTTGCCAATATAATAATAATACCTACATGTCTATAATATCTATGTCTATAATAATAATAATATCTATATATGTATAATAATATGTATTAGGCTTGGGCAATCCATGGTTCTAAATGGTTCTAAAGTACTTACAAAACTAAAGTTCTGGTGGTGAAAATTTCAGAACTCTAACAAAACTTTCAAAATTTAATTATTATTTCATTATTGGTGATTTTAATGACAGAACCAATTAGGAACTGCCATTTATTATGAAATTTTGAGAGTTTTGTTAGAGTTCTGAAATTTTCACCACCAGAACTTTAGTTTTGTAAGTACTTTAGAACCATTTAGAACCATGGATTGCCCAAGCCTAATATGTATACATCTGTAATAATAATGGCTATATAATATCTATAATAATAATAATATCTATATGCCTATAATAATATCTATAGGTCTGTAATAATATCCATACATCTCTTGCCTGTTTTTGCTTGAACGATATTTAGCCCTGTGCTCCTTCTATTTTTTATCAGTTTTATACTAATTTATGCAATAATTTTGATACAAATAAATAAATAACTTCTATAATAATACCTACACGCCTTTAATAATAATATTTGTGTCTATAATAACCCTATATACCTATAATAATATGTATACATCTATAATAATAATAATAACAATAACACAAGACACAATAACAATAATAATACAAGAATAATAATATACCTATATAATATCTTTGAACTGGGTTATATGGCAGTGTGGACTCAGGTAACCCAGGGCCCTTCCACACATCCATATAACCCTTTGGCCTCGAGGAGACTGAAATGGGCCTATCTTAGGTTGACACTTTGCCACTTCAGTTGTGTATTGATAGCTTAGAAACCAGCTCTTCCTCTTTTCTTTCTTTCTCATTTCTCCACAATGGGCCACAGCAATGTGTGGCTGGGTACAGTTAGTGATAAATATATTCTTACAGATTGATATGCATTTGACATTTATATAGGAAGTAGGGCAGTAGAAAAACAGATGAGAGGGAGTTTGCAGTATGGAATACAGGCTTGTATATACACCCTAGCTCCACACATTAACATATGGTTACAAGTTGTAAAGAAACTAAAAAACCCACAGTAAATGCACCTGTGTTGTTTACTTATTTATTGGCCAATGCCTGGGCAAGTAGTACCTCTTTTCTGGAGAACTTCGGAAGCCTCTCTCGGGAAGGGCCTCGAAATTGGCCTCCTCGCTCTCGACCGAGGTGCTGTTCCTGTTCTTCTTGGACCCGCTCCGAAACATCTCCAGCGCCATCCTCAGTTCTTCCTCGTCCACTTTGAAGACATCTTTGTACAGGATCTCATACAAGACAGCTAGACAAACAAAGTGCAAGGCTTTACAAGGCTAGGTAAAAGAACCCAACTGTGAACTCATCAGACCAATAATCTCTAGTAGGCTACATTCCATATTTTGGGTAACTAATGCAAGAGAATAGGTTGTAAAAGAATGTCTTTCATATACACGTGTGTGTGCGTCTGTGTGTTTTTGAACACAAATAGATAGATAGATATATAGATAGAAGCCCCCCTGATGGCACAGTAGGTTAAACAGCTGAACTGCTGAACTTGCTGACCCAAAGGTTGGCAATTCAAATCCAGGGAGCGAGGTGAGCTCCTGTTGTTAGGCCCAACTTCTGCCAACCTAGCAGTTCAAAATCATGCAAATGTGAGTAGATCAGTAGGTACCACTTCTGCAAGAAGGTAATTGCACCAAAGTGCTCTTCCAGCAGTCACCAGCCAATCCCTCTCCAATGCCAGAAATACAGCTTAATGGTGTAACATTAGAAAATGTTGACCATTTCTGTTACATTGGCAGCCCCCTCTCCACCAAAGTCAACATCGACACCAAAATACAACACTGCCTGAGCTGTGAGAGTGCAGCATTTTTCTGAATGAAGCAGAGAGTGTTTGAGGGCCGGGACATCTGTAGGGATACCAAGGGGCTTGTCTATAAAGCTATTGTCCTCCCAACTCTGCTATATGCCTGCAAAACGTGGACTGCCGACAGATATCACATGCAACTACTGGAACAATTCCATCAGCGCTGCCTCCAGAAAATCCTGCAAATCTCTTGGGAAGACAGGCGGACAAATGTCAGTGTGCTGGAAGAAGCAAAGACCACCAGCATTGAAGTGATGGTCCTCCGTCATCAACTCCGCTGAACTGGCCATGTGGTTCGGATGCCCGACCACTGTCTCCCAAAGCAGTTGCTCTACTCTGAACTCAAGAATGGAAAACAGAATGTTGGGAGGGCAGAAAAAGAGATGTAAAGATGGGCTCAAAGCCAACCTTAAAAACTGGCATAGACACTGAGAACTGGGAAGCCCTGGCCCTTGAGCGCTCCAGTTGGAGATCAGCTGAGACCAGCTGTGCTGTAGAATTTGAAGATGCACGGATAGAGAGCAAAAGAAAGAAATGTGCCAAGAGGAACACACATCAAGTCAACCCCGACCGGGACCGCCTTCCACCTGGAAACCGATGCCCTCACTGTGGGAGAAGATGCAGATCAAGAATAGGGCTCCACAGTCACCTACGGACCCACCGCCAGAACACCGAACTTGAAGGACCATCATCCTCGGACTATGAGGAATTGCTTAAGTGATTACACTCTATGCAGTAATGCTGGCCACATGACCTAGGAGGCGTCTATGGACAAAGCCTATCTTCGGCTTAGAAATGGAGATGAGCACCAACACCCACAGTCGGACATGACTAGACTTAATGTCAGGGGAAACCTTTACCTTTAATGCACAACATCAAATAAAAAGAATGGGGAGAAACGGCAATGTTTCCTTTACCTTGACAAATGGCAGCATTTGCCTGGAATTGTTTGCTGTACACAGAATCATAGTGGCCATTACTGGAGGAACACAGTAGTATCTGGAAGACAAATCTCTGAGGTTACAAAACATGATAAAACAATAATAATATAACAAGATGGAGGAGGAAGATGGTGATGACAAGAACAGATATTTTACAGAGTTTAGGAAACTAAAGTCCCCATCCAGTAAGCCTAGATGAGTGATTCCCAATTTGTGGTTTGTGGACCACCAGTGATCTGCAAGAACGAAAATATGGTCTGTGGTCTCACCATTATTACATTGTTGCCTCAAAACCATGTGGCAATGAGAACTACTGGTCTCGTGAAACCATCTTATAGTGCCAAGGCAACGGGGATGTTGGGAGGGGAGAGGTTGACTATCCACAAAAGATTACTGCTACTACATCCGCTCTAGATTATTAAATATAGTTTTCTATGGGTGAGTAGATGGTGACTACTAGATGGTATATGTTCTGCATCAGAAACTAGAGCTGATGTGGTCTATCCAATGCAATTTTCTGAATCGGCACCCCAAATAAACAAACCAAATCTGTAGTTGACCAAAAACTGATTCATAACCCTTTTGGTACTAATGTTGGAGAGTGGTCCCAGATCAAAGAGGTCCTTGGCCAAAAAAAAGTTGGGATCCACTGACCTAGATGAAGATGAGTCTAAAGAAAGGAAATATTATTATTATTATTACTCCCCCCCCCCCCAGTCCTGAAAACTGCACCCACACAATGGGAGTTGCAGTTCGGTGAGGCAGCAGTGCTCTTGGGAAGAGAAGGCTAAAGACCTTGCAAAACAATAACTCCCATAATCCCATGACACTGAGCCGTGGCAGTTAAAGTGGTGTGAAACTGCATTCATTCTACAATAGATGAACCCATATTTTTGTCTCACTTCCATTTCACTTCCGATCCCGGTTCCGTCACAATGCCATTTCCTTACCTTTTCTTCAAAGCCATTGTCGGTAGCATAAGAAGGCGGTTTTCCAGGATGTCGGTAGAGAATGAAGTCTCGACTAGAGGGCAAGAGTTGTGCAAGAAACATGAAAACACATTTCAAGTGTTATGGAGGAAAATACTGTATTTTATGATCATCAGAGGGAATGCCAAAGATGGCAAAAGTGGTGACAATATGGAGTTATACCATCTCTATCTTCTCCCAAGTGTCAAAAAGTCTTTATGCTAGAAGATGGAATACTTACTTATAGATCAAGGAGAAAGCACTGATTTCTAGTTGTCCAGCACTTTCCTGTTTGTATAGAACATAGGACAATTTATTTAGAAATCAATTACCTAAGAGAGCATTGCACCAATTGTTACAGTATGTCATAGCAAGATCAAGTGTGTGTTAAAGAAAAACCTTATGATGTTAATTATTATGTGCAGCTGGTAATGTAGGTCAGCTAGCATGTTTGGGCCACAGCCGGTGGGGTATAACTGTATGGATTTTAGAATACAGTTTGGAGAAGCAATACGCTACTCTGAGGAAGAGAAGCAATATGCTGTAATGCTACTATGCTCTAACAGTGATGCTCTTTGCTATGGTGGAATAACCATTTACTCAAGGTTTATGTTTTGCTCTCTCATTTGAATCAAAATGTGGCCCCCCACATCTTGATTCAAAGATGTGGCCCCCCGACTCTGGAACTCATTGCCCGGAGAGATTAGGAAAGCCCCTACTTTAGAAACCTTTAAAAAGAATCTCAAGACCTGGCTCTGCCGTTGCACTTTCGGAGAGTAGTCACATAATCTTATGCTATTGCTCCCTCAACATTTTTGTCCTAGCAGTACACCCCCCCCCCCCCCCCCCTGTACGAAGGTCCAATTATTTCCCCCTCTCTCTATGATGTCTCCCTTACAAATAATTCTGCTCCTTTGTCTCACCCTGAGTTTTTAAATCATTTTATGTACATGCGGTCCACTCACTATCATTATGTTTGGTTCACAGTTTTTTTCTTTTCTTTATTGTGTTGTGTATATTGTTTATATGCTTATATGTTTTATATTTTAATGCTATGTTGTTTATTTTATTGCTATTAGTATCTTATTTTATTGTATTTTGTTGTTCGGGCTTGGCCTCATGTAAGCCGCCCCGAGTCCCCGTTGGGGGAGATGGGACATCCGTAAGGATACCAAGGTGCTTGTCTATAAAGCTATTGTCCTCCCAACCCTGCTATGCCTGCGAAACGTGGACTGTCTACAGACGTCACATGCAACTCCTGGAACGATTCCATCAGCGCTGCCTCCGGAAGATCCTGCAAATCTCTTGGGAAGACAAGCGGACAAACGTCAGCGTGCTGGAAGAAGCAAAGACCACCAGCATTGAAGCGATGGTCCTCTGCCATCAACTCCGCTGGACCGGCCACGTTGTCCGGATGCCTGACCACCGTCTCCCAAAGCAGTTGCTCTACTCTGAACTTAAGAATGGAAAACGGAATGTTGGTGGACAGGAAAAGAGATTTAAAGATAGCCTCAAAGCCAACCTTAAAAACTCTGGCATAGACACTGAGAACTGGGAAGCCCTGGCCCTTGAGCCCTCCAGCTGGAGGTCAGCTGTGACCAGCAGTGCTGCAGAATTCGAGGAGGCACGAGTGGAGGGTGAAAGAGAGAAACGTGCCAAAAGGAAGGCGCGTCAAGCCAACCCCGACCGGGACCGCCTTCCACCTGGAAACCAATGCCTTCACTGTGGGAGAAGATGAGGTTCAAGAATAGGGCTCCACAGCCACCTACAAACCCACAAAAATAGTCATCAGGAAGACCATCTTACTCGTTCAATGAGGGATCGCCTAAGTAAGTAAGGTGGTGGGTAGGGCTGGGCGGTTTCGTTCGTTAATTTTGTAATTCGTTATTAATTCGTTATTTTTTTGATAACGAAGCGATATTGAACCATTCATTGATTTTGTCTGCAACATTGCAAGTTTATGTCTCTGCTGGTAAGAATAAAGGTTTTTTTCTGTTCCTTTTTCCCCTTGCCTGTGTGTCTTTTTGCATGGGACTTGGCTAAAATTCGCTTCTGCACAACACCAATGTCCTTCCAATATAAAGCTTTGATATTATTAGCAAAATTATTCAAAAACAGGGAAAGGTTTCCCAAGTTTTTAGCTCTAGGCCCTATTACTGAACCCCAGCTTATTACACAACAAGCAGGCTTCAGACAAGGGAAAAACAGTACAGCTCAAATTCTTAAGTTGACCCATTATATTGAGGAAGGCTGTGTGAAAGGCTGCATTATGGGAACAGTTTTTGTGGACCTTACAGCAGCCTATGACACGGTGCAACATAGGAAATTGCTGCATAAAGCCTACCATATCATCCAGGACTATGACTCTATAAAAATGATCCAGACCCTCCTAGAAAACCACAGCTTCTACACGGAGTTTCAGGGCAGGAAAAGTAGATGGAGGAGACTGTGTTTATTGTAATCTTATATCGTTAATGTATTCATATGTTTTATATAATTACAATGTTGTTGTTTATTGCTTGTGTTTTCAGTTTTATTTTGCTGTAATTTGTTGTTTGGGCTTGGCCTCATGTAAGCCGCCCCAAGTCCCCATTGGGGAGATGGTGACGGGGTATAAATAAAAATCATTATTATTATTATTATTATTATTATTATTATTATTATTAACCCAACACAGCATTCTTGCACCAACCCTGTTTAATATGTTTACTAACAATCTGCCACAGCCACCACTCACAAAGAGTTTCATATACGCTGATGACCTTGGCCTAACAACACAAGTAAAAAGCTTCAAAACAGTTGAAAACAAACTTACTAATACCTTGAAAGATCTCTCCAGCTACGACAAAGCCTAATCCTGCCAAAACACAAGTGTGTGCTTTCCACCTATGTAATTGCGAGGTAAAGGTAAAGGTAGTCCCCTGACATTAAGTCCAGTCATGTCTGACTCTGGGGTGTGGTGCTCATCTCCATTTCTAAGCCGAAGAGCCAGCGTTGTCCGTAGACACCTCCAAGGTCATGTGGCCAGCATGACTGCATGGAGCGCCGTTACCTTCCCGCCGGAGCTGTACCTATTGATCTACTCACATTTGCATGTTTTTGAACTGCTAGGTTGGCAGAAGCTAGGGCTGACAGCGGAAGCTCACGCCACTCCCCGGAATCGAACCTGTGACCTTTCGATCAACAAGCTCAGCAGCTCAGTGCTTTAACCCACTGCGCCACCGGGGGCTCCATGTAATTGCGAAGCCAACAGGAAATTGAAAGTCACCTGAGAAGGTCAAGACCTCAAACACTGTTCCCTAAATATCTCAGCATCACCTTAGATGAGGGGTCCTCAAACTTTTTAAACAGAGGGCCAGGTCACAGTCCCTCAAACTGTTGGAGGGCCGGATTATAATTTTTTTAAAAAAATGAATGAATCCCTATGCACACTGCACATATCTTATTTGTAGTGAAAAAAATACTTAAAAACAATAAATAATTAAAATGAAGAACAATTTTAACAAATATAAACTTATTAGTATTTCAATGGGAAGTGTGGGCCTGCTTTTGGCTGATGAGATGTTGTTGTTGTTTTGTTGTTGTGTGCTTTCAAATCATTTCAGACTTAGGTTAACCCTGAGCAAGGGCTGGGTAAATGACCTTGGAGGGCCATATCCGGCCTCCGGTCCTTAGTTTGAGGACCCCTGCCTTAGATCAAACACTAACATTTTGGAAACACTGTGCGAACAGCAAGCACAAAGTAGCTGCAAGCAATAACATCCGGCGGATTACTAACCGAACACTTGTTCTTTACAAGTTGCAATACTCCCAGACTCCCAAAATAAGCTCATTTGATTGCATATATCTATGTCTGTCTGGGATTGAATTTAAGGAGAAAATATATCTTATGTTTTTATGGAAGAAGTTACATGAGTGCGAGACAATGTATTCTTGCAAAACTTCAATAAATATATATCTGCAACAGTAATTTTTAATGTATTGTCGAAGGCTTTCATGGCCGGAATCACTGGGTTGTTGTAGGTTTTTCTGGGCTATATGGCCATGTTCTGGAGGCAATTTTTCTCCTGACGTTTTGCTTGCATCTATGGCAAGCATCCTCAGAGGTAGTGAGGTCTGTTGGAAGTAGGAAAATGGGTTTATATATCTGTGCAATGACCAGGGTGAGACAAAGGACTTTTGTCTGCTGGGGCTAGCTGTGAATGTTTCAGCTGATCACCTTGATTTACAATCAATGGCTTGGAAGTGCCTGGGGGGAATCTTTTGTTGAGAGTGATTTTATGTGCCTGTTTGTTTCCCCTCTGTTGTTTTGCTGTTGTAATTTTTGAGTTTTTTAATACTGGTAAAAGACCTCACTACCTCTGAGGATGCTTGCCATAGATGCAGGCGAAACGTCAGGAGAAAAATTGCCTCCAGAACATGGCCATATAGCCCGGAAAAACCTACAACAACCCAGTAATTTTTAAAATATAAACCTATCTGCCACATTTTTATAGAATCACTACTGTTTATTTACTGGCAAAGATTGTTAGAATATGCAACAGTCAGGAAAAAGTCTATTTGAGAATATAAATCAGGAGGATTTCTGCCACCATTCTGCTCTCCTTATGGATTCTAGGAGTTACTTGCTCAGCTTTATTCAAGCCAGAGCTGGACCTGTACTTAAATTTCCAAATATAATGACTCCCAATGCTTCAGCGCAACCCTAAAACGTGTTACAAAAGGCCAGGCTTACCTTGGGGTCTCCAAGCCGTTCCAGGTATTTCTCAAACGATCCTTCCACATACTTAACCAAAAAGAGAACACAGTGAACTGAGATGTCAGATCCGTCTTTTCCACCACCAGCTACACTGAATTAATCCAGTTTGACACCACTTTCACGGCCCAAGCTCAATGTTATGATACCAAGGGAGCCGTAGTTTTAGAACGTCTTTCACCTCCTCTACAACGCCAAGGATCCCACAGCATTAAGCCACAGTGGTTAAAGTGGCACCAAACTGTATTGATTCTACAATGTAGATGCAGCCCTAAGTACAAATATATCTATACACATAATAAAAGTGAAAATATGTATGTATGTGTGTGGCTGGGGTGTCTACTTACACCAGTGGTTCTCAACCTGTGGATCCCCAGATGTTTTGGCCTTCAACTCCCAGAAATCCTAACAGCTGGTAAACTGGCTGAGATTTCTGGGAGTTGTAGGGCAAAACACCTAGGGACCCACAGATTGAGAAACACTAACTTACACAGACAAGCTCCCACTTCCACAAATAACTACCCAGAAGTCACCAATGACCCTCCCTCCACCGACACGGCAGGTTATCAAGAGTGCTATGAACATGTACAAGAGCCCTGCCAATGTCCACCACAAAAGTGAAGGCTTTCATACGGGAAAATTTAATCCTAGATTTTATGTGTTTCTTCCCCCACAGGCATCCCAGTGTTTCTTACTCTCCCCATTGGTGTGGAATTTGCATGATCCCACCAACTGCCTCTCCCTTAACCATTTCCTATTCTTTTCTATGGCACACAGCAAACAGAGGAATTGATCAGCAACTGAACATACTAGAGAGGTTTAGAGAAAATTCACTATGATTTATAGGAGTTGTAGGTTCTGGGATGTATAGTTCACCTGCAATCTAAGAGCACTCTGAACTCCACCAATGATGGACCCAGAACTTAAACTTGGAACACAGAACCCCGTGACTAACTTAACCAACCAGAAGTCTTTGAAGGGATTTATAGGAGTTGTAGTTCTCTGTACATCCAGAGAACACTATGAGCCCAAACAATGAAGGATCTGGACCAAACTTGGCATGCATACCCAATATGCCCAAATTTGAATACTGGTGGGTTTTGAGGGGAATTGGCCTCGACATTTTGGAGTTGTAAGTACTGGGATTTATAGTTCACTTTCAATCAATGAACACTCTGAACTCCACCAAAGATGGAATTGGATCAAACTTGGCACACAGAGACCCCATGACCAGTAAAATATACTGGAGGTCTTTGGAGAAAATTCACCTTGATTTGAGGAAGTTATAGTTACCTACACCCAGAGTGCACTATGAACCCAAACAATGATGGATCCGGATCAAACTTGGCATGCATACCCAATATGCCCATATTTGAATACTGGTGGGTTTTGAGGGAAATTGGTCTGGACATTTTGGAGTTGTAGGTGCTGTGATTTATAGATCACCTGCAATCAATGAGCACTCTGAACTCCACCAAAGATGAGATTGGACCAAACCTGGCACACAGAGCCCCTGTGACCAACAAAAAATACTGGAGGTCTGTGAGGGAAAATTCACCTTGATTTAGGGGAGTTGTACTTCTCCTACATCCAGAGAGCACTGTGAATTCATACACCGACGGATCTGGACCAAACTTGGCACACATATCCGATATGCTGAAATTTGATTACAAGAGGGGTGTGGGTGAACTACAACTCCTTTCTGGGAGTTGCAGTTCACTCACAACCAGAGAGTGAACCTCCAGCAATGATGGACCTGGTCCAAACTTGGCACACAGAACCCCCATGACTAACTCAAACTGCTGGAAAGGTTTGAGGGGATTGATTCACCATTGTGGGAGTTGTTTGTTTACAGCTGGAGAGCACACTGAACCCCACCAATGATGCATCTAGAACAAACTTGCCCAACATAACAAACTTTAAGTACTGATGGAGCTTTTCAGGGTTAACCTGGCATGATGTGTATTGTAGTTCACCCACAACCTTATGCATTTTGTACAAGAAATTAACTAAAAAGTTATTTAAAAGTTAATTCAAAATTAAATATAATACTATGTAACATGATTTTGGGTCCTGGGTGAAAAATGTCATTTCCTAATTGGTTCTATCACAAAAACATGGGAAAAGTTTATTAAACCATACAAACTTTGTTTATGCGGGAGGAGCAGCCTGCTTTAGCACATTTTGCTATAGTTTTTCAATGGATATCTCATCGAGTCGCAACCATTTTGACATAATTTGAGGAGTTTGAGGAGTATAACAACTATTTTCAGAGGACCACACAGTTAAACAGGAAATGACACCTTCAAACTAGGAACAGAACATTTTTCAAATTTTGTTACATAGTGTAATCAATATATAGAAATTCCTATGCTCAACTTGTCCCCAAGGGTACATATTTAAAGATTAGATGACATAAATGGTGATGCTTACAGACTCAAAACTCTGCTTGTTTTTCCTTAGGAAGGCCACGCAAGCTTTTCTGACCGCCATGTGATGGATCTGGCAAGCATACACCTACAATAAGGAAAATAAAGAGATTTTTACAATTAGGAACTTGAAGGAGCATTTGGTTCTTTAATTTATTTATTTATTTATTTATTTCTTGTACTTATTGACTTATTGTAATTGGACTACAAGTGTGTCTACACCAGGCATGGGAAAAACCAGCCCTCTACGTGTTTTGGACTTCAACTCCCACAATTCCTGACAGCCGCAGGCCCTTTCCTTTTCCTCCTCAGTTGCTTAAACCTTGGTTTTTAGGCCTCATCCTGGGGTTCTATGGGCATGCCAAATTAGAAAACGGCATTGGCTAGACCAATTCAGCTCTAGTTTCTGAGGTCCCTTCTACACAGCCATATAATCCAGAATATCAAGGCAGATATGTTGTCGAAGGCTTTCATGGCTGGAATAGGAGCCCCCGGTGGTGCAATGGCTTAAACACTTGTGCTGGCAGGACTGACCAATAGGTCAGACCAATAGGTCAGACATTCGAATCCGGGGAGAGCACAGATGAGCTCCCTCTGTCAGCTACAGCTCTCCATGCGGGGACATGAGAGAAGCCTTCCACAAGGATGGTAAAACATCAAAACATCCAGACGTCCCCTGGGCAATGTCATTGCAGACGGCCAATTCTCTCACACCAGAAGCGACTTGCAGTTTCTCAAGTCGCTCCTGACACACACACACAAAATATATGGCTGGAATCACTGGGTAGCTGTGAGTTTTCTAGGCTGTCTGGCTATGTTACAGAAGCATTCTCTCCTGGCGTTTCGACCACATCTATGGCAGGCATCCTCAGAAGTTGCAAGGTCTGTTGGAAACGAGGCAAGTGAGGTTTATATATCTGTGGAATGTCCGGGGTGGGAGAAAGAACTCTTGTCTGCTGGAGGCAAGTGTGAACGTTGCAATTAGCCAACTTGATTAGCAGTGAATGGCCTTGCAGCTTCCAAACCTGGCTGCTTCCTGCATGAGGAATGCCTCCCAACAAAGGATTCCCTGTCTACAGATGTCACACTCAATTTCTGGAATGAATCCATCAGCGTTGCCTCCAAAAAATCCTGCAAATCTCTTGGGAAGAGAGGCAGATGAATGTCAGCATGCTGGAAAAAGCAAATACCACCAGCATTGAAGCGATGGTCCTCCTCTGGACTGGCTGCGTTGTCCAAATGCCTGATCCCTGTCTCCCAAAGCAGTTACTCTACTCCCAACTCAAGAACGGGAAACATAATGGTGATGGACAGGAAAAGAGATTTAAAGATGGGTTTAAAGCCAACCTTAAGAATTGTGGCACAGACATTAAGAACTGGGGAGTCCTGGCCCTTGAGCACTGTAACTGGAGGTCAAGCTGTGACCAGCAGTGCTCAGAATTCGAAGAGACAGGAATGGAGGGAGAAAGGGGAAATGTGCCAAGAGGAAGGTGCATCAAGCCAACACTGACCAGGACCTCCTTCCACCTGGAAACAGATGCTCTCACTGTGGAAGAACATGGAGGTCAAGAATAGGGCTCTACCATCACATAAGGACCCACCACCAAGACACTACACTTGGAAGACCATCATATTCAGACAACAAGTAAAAAAAGTAAAATGGCTGATATTGGAAGCTAAGCAAGGCCAGCCTCGGATAGGGCTTGGATGGGAGACTACCATTGTAGTCTGACATAGTGGTTGTGAGAGTGGTTGTGAGAGCTGATTAGGAAACACAACATACAAACCACCTACAGACCCACCAAGAAAATCCAACAAATGCTACGTTCAGCAAAGGACAAGAGGGATCCTCTCACCTCTGCAGGAGTCTACCGTATACCATGCAGCTATGGACAAGTCTACATAGGGACCACCAAATGCAGCATTGCCCAGACACGAATCAAGGAACATGAAAGGCACTGCAGACTACTTCAACCAGAGATATCAGCCATAGCAGAGCACCTGATGAACCAACCTGGACACAGCATATTATTTGAGAACACAGAAATGCTGGACCACTCTCACAGCCACCATGTCAGACTACACAGAGAAGCCATTGAAATCCACAAGCATGTGGACAATTTCAACAGAAAGGAGGAAACCATGAAAATGAACAAAATCTGGCTACCAGTATTAAAAAAAACTCTAAAATTACAACAGCAAAACAACAGAGAGTAAACAATCAGGCACATCAAATCACCTCTCAACAAAAGATTCTCCCAGGCACTTCCAAGCCATTAAATGCTAATCAAGGTGGTCAGTTGAAACATTCACACCTATGTCATCAGCAACCATTGTAACCATTGTAACCAGCAACCATCAGCAACTATTGTATTACATTTCTAACAGAACAAAACAAACACACAGATTAAAAAAAATGCAGATTTTGCAAACTTGGTAGTTGGTTAAATGTCCTTTGACCAGTATCTGGCCACTTGAAGTGCCTCTGGTGTTGCCGCAAGAACAAGGTGGTCAGTTGAAACATTCACACCTAGCTCCAGCAGACAAAAGTCCTTTTTCCCACCCTGGTCATTCCACAGATATATTATAAACCCATTTTCCTACTTCCAACAGACCCCACAACCTCTGAGGATGCTTGCCATAGATGCAGGTGAAACGTCAGGAGAAAATGCCTCTAGAACATAGCCATATAGCCCGAAAAAAACTACAACGACCCTTCCCTATAATACTGGGTAACAAAATTTGGGAGGAAAAAAAATTCTGTTCCTAGCTTGAAAGTGTTATTTCCTGTTTAATTGTGCGGAATTTACTTTGAAAGTAGTTGTTCTACTCCAGAAACTTTGTTTTTGTGGCTGCCACAAAGTCTGCTGGGTTGGGTGAGACACTCTGGGGGATGCATTGAAAAACTAGTGAAGCACGTGCTTTGCAAAAACAAAGTTTCCGCAGTTTAATGCACTTTCCCCATGTTTTTAGGATAGAACCAAGTAGGAAATGCCATTGAGACCCCAGGAAGAAGGGCAAGGTGTGTGTGTGTGTGGGGGGGGGGGGGGGTCTGTGTGTGTTCACCTGCTCAGAAATGGCTCGGAAGAGGCAGGAGGCGTCCTTGGCGGTGAGCTTGCGGTAGAGGCCCAGGCTGCCCAGGTACTCGTCCATGGTCACCTCGCTGAGCGACTTCTGCCCAAAGTACTTCTTCCAGCCCTTCTGCATGGCGCTCCTCTCCAGGAAGGGAAAGACAGGGAAACACAGCCAGGCTGGAGCAATGGGGGCCAGAGGGGCGCGCGCTCCGGCCTGGGGCGCGTGCCTTTGAAGGCTGGAAGGGCCCCGTGCGCGCCCCCGCGCCCAGCTGCTGCCAATTGGGGCTGCTGGGCTTGCCCCACCTTCACCTGCCCCGCGCACGTGGGAGCAAAAGGTGACCCCCTCCCTCCCGCCTATAGTTCATGGCCAGGTTGTCTTTGCTTTCCCTCTTCCCCCCCCCCCCCAACCTCTGAGGTTGAGAGAGTGTGGCTCGCCCAGACTCACCCAGTTGGATTCCAAGGCTGGGCAGGGATCTCAACTCTGGTGCCCCAAACCCTCCAAGGGCTGTAAAAATGGGAACCTTCCCTTCAGAACTTTTCCCTTCCTCAACAGTGAAGAGCCATTTCATCTTCCTGCTTGAATGGGGTGGGACTGGATGGCCCCTGAGGTCCTTTATTTATTTATATTTATTTATCTCCTATACTGGCACAACCTGGGGATCACAACCAGACACAGTGAAGACATCTGCCCTTGCGCTATGCTACTCTGCTGCTGAGTATGCATGCCCAGTGTGGAACACATCTCACCACGTTAAAACAGTGGATGTGGCTCTTAATGAGACATGCCGCATTATCACAGGGTGTCTGCGCCCTACACCACTGGAGAAATTACACTGCTTAGCCGGTATTGCACCACCTGACATCCGCCGGGAAGTAGCAGCCAATAGTGAAAGGACCAAGGCAGAGACATCTCCAGTTCATCCCCTGTTTGGGTATCAGCCAGCACGTCAATGACTTAAATCAAGCCATAGTTTTCTTAGATCTACAGAGACACTCACTGGAACACCCCAGCAAGCGAGAGTCCAAAAGTGGCAGGCCCAAACCCAGCACCTCAATCCATGGGTGATACCAGATGAGAAACTCCCCCCTGGGCACACAGAAGACTGGGCAACTTGGAAGGTGCTGAAAAGGACTGCGCTCTGGCACCACGAGATGAAGTGCCAACCTTAAGAAATGGGGCTACAGAGTGGAATCCTCGGCATGCGAGTGCGGGGAAGAACAAACCACTGACCACCTGCTGCAATGCACCCTGAGCCCTGCCACATGCACGATGGAGGACCTTCTTGCGGCAACACCAGAGGCACTCCAAGTGGCCAGATACTAGTCAAAGGACATTTAACCAACTACCAAGTTTGCAAAATCTGTGTGTTATTTTTTCTTTTTCTTTTTAATCTGTCTGTTTGTTTTGTTCTGTTAGAATTGTAACACAATGGTATGGTTGCTGATGACACGATAAATAAATAAATAAATCTCCTATACCCCACCCTTCTCCCCCCGAACGGGGACTCAGGGCGGCCTAACAAAAGCATCATACTCCTGTTACCAACAGAAAATACTGGAAGGGTTTGGTGGGCACTGACCTTGAGTTTTGGAGTTGTAGTTCGCCTACATCCAGAGAGCACTGTGGACTCAAACAATGATGGATTTGGACCAAACTTTGGACACAAATGTAACATGGTTAACTGTGAATACTGGTGGGATTTGGGGAAGATTGACCCACGATTTTGGGTATTATAGTTCACCCACATCCTTATGCATTTTCTAATGGGACCATTAATAAAAAACATGGAAATACTGACTTTCCCCCCCACCTAATATATAGCATTACAAATTGCCTAAGCTGCTTCTGCTGCTGCTACTCCTCCTGACCACTCTCAGTCTCATGAGCACTTTTATTTATTTATTTATTTTATTTTATTTGGGGTGCTTCTACCCCACCCTTCTCAACCCCCTAGGAGGGACTCAGGGTGGCTTACAAAAGGCACAATTCAATGCCCAACAATTCACAAAATATAATATACAAATTACAATGTAACGACAACAGTTATAACTAATTAAAACACTCAAATTAAAACAATAGCAGCAATAAAATCATCTTGTGGTCAACGTTCGCCAATTCATAAATCCATAATCCATCCAGCATTGTCATTGTCTTTTATCCATCAGCCAGCTTACCCAAAGGCCTGGTCCCATATCCAGGTATTTAACTTCCTTCTGAAAGAGAGGAGGGATGTTGATGACCTAATTTCCACAGGCGAGGGGCCACCACCGAGAAGGCCCTGTCCCTCGTCCCCACCAGTCTCGCTTGTGATAAAGGTGGGGCCGAGAGCAGAACCTCCCCAGATCTTAAACTCCGAGATGGGACGTAGAAGGAGATACGTTTGGACTTTCTCCTTTGCCTTGAAAGGACTCACTGACACGAGCCTCCCTCCAGCCTCGCATGCTCACCCTCACATGCACACAATGCTGCCATGTGCCAAGCACGCCTGCTCTCCCCTCCCCGCTTGGAGTTTTAGAAAAAAAGCTCCTCTTGGTTGAGAGGCTGGCCAATCACAGTGGAAGAGGGCTATTGGTGGGAGGATTCACCATCTGTTTTCAAAAAGGAAGAGAAGGACAGGCGGAAATATCTTCACCTTCTCTGTCAAAGGAGTTCCTAAGACCATCAAAAATATGTGTTTTGCTAATTGTCTTTGGTGACCCCTCTGAAACCGCCTTGCAACCCACCCCCTGGGTCCCGACCCCCAGTTGAGAAATGCTGATCTAGACTGTAGAATGAATGCAGTTCAAAACCACCTGGCTCAGTGCTATGGAATCAAGAGAGTTGCAGTTTTACAAGGTGTTTTGCCTGAAAGTAATACCTTAAGGCAGTGTTTCTTAACCTGGGAGTCAGGGCTCCTGGGGAGGTCGTGAAGAGGTGTCAGAGGGGTCGCCAAAGACCATCAGAAACAGTATTTTCTCTTGGTCATGGAGATTCTGTGTGAGAAGTTTGACCTAATTCTATCATTGGTGGGATTCAGAATGTTCTTTGATTATAGATGAACGACAAATCCATCAATTAAAACTCCCAAATGTCAAGCTTTATTTTCCTCTAACTCCACCAGTGTTCACATTTGGGCACATTGCATATCTGTGCCAAGTTTGGTCCAGGTCCATCATTGCTTGAGTCCACAGTGCTCTCTGAATATAGGTGAACGACAACTCCAAAACTCAAGGTCAGTGCCTACCAAACCCTTCCAGTATTTTCTATTGGTCACGGGAGTTCTGTGTGCCAAGCTTGGCTCAATTCCATCATTGGTGAAGGTCAGAATGCTCTTTGGTTGTTGGTGAACTATAAATCCCAGCAACTACAACTCCCAAATGTCAAAGACTATTTTCCCCAGACCCCACCAGTGTTCACACTTGGGCACATTGCGTATCTGTGCCAAGTTTGGTCCAGATCCATCATTGCTTGAGTCCCAGTGCTCTCTGGATGTAGGTGAACTACAACTCCAAAACTCAAGTTCCATGCCCACCAAACCCTTCCAGTACTTTCTATTGGTCAAGGGAGTTCTGTGTGCCAAGTTTGGTTCAATTCCATCATTGGTGGAGATCAAAATAGTCTTTGATTGTAGGTGAACTATAAATCCCAGTAACTACAACTCCCAAATGACAAAATCAGCCCCCCACCAGTATTCAAATTTGTGCCAAATTTGGTCCAGTGAATGAAAATACATCCTGCATATCATATATTTACATTACAATTCATAACAGTAGCAAAATTACAGTGAGGAAGTAGCAACGAAAACAATGTTATGGTTGGGGGTCACCACAACATTAGGAACATTAGGAAGGTTGAGAACCACAGATGTAAATGCACCCTTAGATTCTGCAAAATGCAATCCACAACACTCACGGTGGAGTATGTTGTGTCATGAGTTTTCGGTGCCAAACCACACTCGTTCTGTTGTGTGGATGCAGCCAGTGTTGCTAGGAGCTCCTTTGAATTGCCTTGCTCCTTATTTGTAGTTGTGTGCGTTTGATATTGGGGTAACAATAACCATAATTAAGGCACACTTATGCATCTTGTAGAGCAGTGGCTCCCAACCTTGGGTCCTCTAGGTGTTTTGGACTTCAGCTTCCAGAAATCCCAGCCAATTTAGCAGCTGTTAGGAATTGTGGGAGTTGAAGTCCAAAACACCTGGAGGACCCAAGGTTGGGAACAACTGTTGTTGAGGGAAGAGATACCAAAGATAGGACTATTGTATCTTTAATCCTTGTAGAAGAGAGGGAAATTCAGCAGGTGCCATTGCAGGACAAGCAACACCTGCTGAAATCACCTTTTCCAGCACAAGGAGTGTTAAAGCTGCAGCAGCTCCATCCCGTGGAGTAACATTCCTTCTTTTTTCTGTTGGTTTCCAAATTTCCAGCATTGCAGTAACTGGAGTCATTGAATACTGCTTGATGCTGCTTTAAGTTCCATGGCTCATTGCTAAGGAATCATGGCAGTTTTGGCATACTTATTTAATTACGACATTTATATGCCTCCCTTCTCACCCCGAAGGTGACTCAGAGCGGCTTACAAGATATATATATATTTATATAAATAAAAATGTAATGTTCGTTTGTGGGATTAACAGAACTCAAAAAGCACTGGACGAATTGACACCAGATTTGGATACAATACACCTACTAACCCAAAAACTTTTAAAAAAATGAGTTTGTCATTTGGGAGTTGTAGTTGCTGGGATTTATAGTTCACCTAATCAAAGAGCATTCTGAACCCCACCAACGATGGAATTGAACCAAACTTGGCACATAGTTCTCCCATGACCAACAGAAAATACTGGAAGGGTGTGGGCCTTTGGTTTTGGAGTTGTAGTTCACCTACATCCAGAGATCACTGTGGACTCAAATAATGATGGATCTGGACCAAACTCTACACGAATACTCAATATGCCCAAATGTGAACACTGGTGGAGTTTGGGGAAAATAGAATCTTGACATTTGGGAGTTGTAGTTGCTGGGATTTATAGTTCACCTACAATCACAGAGCATTCTGAACCCCACCAATGATAGAATTGGACCAAACCTCCCACACAGAACCCCCATGTGGGCCACAGCAATGCGTGGCAGGGGACAGCTAGTGTGTGTGTGTGTGTGTGTGTATGTATATATATATATATATATATATATATATATATATATATATTAGCCCACGCATTGCTGTGGCCCGCATGGGTGTTCTGTGTATATACATACATATATACACATACACAATATATTATATTATTAGCATAATACAATATCAGTATTATAGATTACTATATTGTACTATACCATTATATTTTATTAGAAATATTACATGTCATATAAAATATATAATTATATTAAATTATTAGTAGTATTATATTGTATTGCATTATAATATTATAAATATTATATGTATTTTATATTATATGTATATTATATTATATTATAGGTAAAGGCTGTCCCCTGGCATTAAGTCCAGTCATGTCTGACTCTGGAGGGTGATGCTCATCTCCATTTCTAAGCCGAAGAACCGGCATTGTCCATAGACACCTCCAAGGTTATGTGGCTGGCATGACAGCATGGAGCGCCGTTACCTTCCCACCAGAGCTGTATCTATTGAATATCACATCTCCGCCAGAGCTGTACCTATTGAATATCACATTTTCATGTTTTCGAACTGCTAGGTTGGCAGAAGCTGGGGCTGACAGCGGAAGCTCACGTCACTCCCTGGAATCGATCCTGTGACCTTTTGGTCAACAAGCTCAGCAGCTCAGCGATTTAACCCACTGTGCTACCGGGGTTCCATATTATATTATATTATATTATATTATATTATATTATATTATATTATATTATGTTGTTGTTCATTCGTTCAGTCGTCTCCGACTCTTCGTGACCTCATGGACCAGCCCACGCCAGAGCTCCCTGTCGGCCGTCACCACCTCCAGCTCCTTCAAGGTCAATCCAGTCACATATTATATTATATTATATTAGCATAGCACAGAAGACAAGATGGAACTGTCCCCTTGCCCCATCTCTCTCAGAGAAGGTTAAAGACCTCATAAAACTACAACTCCCATGATCCCATAACATTGGGCCATAGCAGTTAAGGTGACATCAGTCTGTATTAATTTGATTTAATTAATTAAAAATTAATTAATTAATTAGACTATGTAGATCAGGCATGGGCAAACTTGGGCCCTACTGGCTGATAGGAATTGTGGGAGTTGAAGTGCAAAACACTTGGAGGGCCCAAGTTTGCCCATACCTGGTGTAGACGTACCCTGTGTTGCGCCCACCAGGAAAAGCACGGATGGCCTTACCTCACTCTGGTCTATATCCAATATCTTCCCGACTTAAGTATACCTACTGGATCAAGCTAATTTACCTGACTTGCCAAATTCCCATTAATTGAATGGATTGAGTAAAAGGAGGCACAAATCTGTAAGGAACAAGGTTTCTAGCCCTCAATCATTCCATATGTTTATTTGGCACAACAAAGAGAACATTTGAGATATAAAAAAGTATAAACGGCAGTAACCAAAGTTGTCTTGTCCTTAAAAGGCATCCTTAAGGAAATACATGGATCTGTTCATTCAAATGCCAATCGCTTTGTCCAAGAATGCTGCAAACTTTTCTGGCTGTCCACGAGGAAAAGGCTTCAGGGTCGACAAGTCCATGGATCGGAGGGTCTCCACAAGGTCTCTACAAGAAAATGACAAAATGCATCATATGTCATCAGAGCAAACGTATTTCGAGAGAGAGAGGAGGCCAGGGAGGCAGTTCCACCTTGTCTCCTGTGCTATACTAATAATATAATATAATATATTGTATATACATATAATATTTATAATATTATAATTTAATACAATATATTACTAATAATAATGATACAATATTATAATTATATATTTTATATTACATGTAATATTAGTAATAATATTACAATGTAATGGTATAGTACAATATAGTCATATATAATACTGATATTGAGCTACGCTAATAATATAATATATTGTATGTGTGTGTATCTTCTATTTTGTAAGCCACTCTGTGTCCCCTTCGGGGTGAGAAGGGTAGCATATAAATGTCGTAAATAAATAAGTACATGGTGAATATGTGGTGTCATACAATATATTACTAATAATAATGATACAATATTATAATTGTATATTTTTATTACATGAAATATTACTAATAATATTATAATATAATGGTATAGTGCAATATAGTAATATATAATACTGATATTGAGCTATGCTAATAATATATATTTTGTGTGTGTGTGTGTGTGTGTGTGTGTGTGTGTGTGTGTGTATAGTAAGCCACTCTTTGTCCCCTTTGGGGTGAGAAGGGTGGCATATAAATGTCATAAATAAATAAATACATGGTGAATATGCGATGTCATTGCATTTGTAGCCTAACAGGATCAGGGTTCAAATTCCCACACATGGAAGCCCATTGGGTGGCCTTGGGCAAGTCACACTCTCTCAGCCTCAGAGGAAGGCAATGGCAAACACTGCCTGAATCAGTCTTCCCATTAATTCAATGGATTGAGTAAAAGCCAACCCTCTCAAATGAAAGATTCCAGAATTCCACTACACATACCTATAGTAAATCGAATGGCTATAACTGAGCAATGCAGACAAACCTGGGATACATCTACACTGTGAAATGAATGCAATTTGGTACCACTTTACCTACCATACTAGGAGCTCCCAGTGGTGCAACTGGTTAAACCCTTGTGCCGGCAGAACTGAAGACCAACAGGTTGGAGGTTTGAATCTGGGGAGAGTGTGGATGAGCTCCCTCTGTCAGCTCCAGCTCCCCATGCAAAGACATGAGAGAAGCCTCCCACATGGATGGTAAAACATCAAAAACATTTGTGCATCCCCTGGGCAACGTCCTTGCAGACGGCCAATTCTCTCACACTAGAAGCGACTTGCCATTTCTCAAGTCACTCCTGACACATAAAACAAAAACAAAAGATTACTATGCTTCAATGTTATGGCATTTTGGGATTTGGAGTTTGGTTCTTAAGCAGAGGAAGCTCAAGACCAAGGGTCCTCAAACTTTTTAAACAGAGGGCCAGGTCACAGTCCCTCAAACTGTTGGAGGGCCGGATTATAATTTTTTAAAAAAATGAATGAATTCCTATGCACACTGCACATATCTAATTTGTAGTGCAAAAAACACTTAAAAACAATACAATAATTAAAATGAAGAACCATTTAACAAATATAAACTTATTAGTATTTCAATGGGAAGTGTGGGTCTGCTTTTGGCTGATTAGATAGGATTGTTGTTGTTGTGTGCTTTCAAGTCATTTCACACTTAGGTTGACCATGAGCGAGGGCCAGATAAATGACCTTGGAGGGCCGTATCTGGCCCCCGGGCCAAAGTTGAGGACCCCTGCTCAAGACCTTGCAAAATAACAAACTCCAGAGAATCTATAGAATTGAGCCACTGCAATTCAAGTGGTGCCAAAATGCATTCATTGTACAGTGTAGATGCACCTTTGGATAAGAGTGATTAAATGCTATGGCATTAGATTGAAACCAAAGGATGGGAATTAAGAGTCTATCATACCTGCTACTGCAATAAAACAGATGCCCATCTCTGTGCAGCTGTCTTGCCAGTTCTAACTGATGGTTGTCCATAAGTTTGTCATTGACAACAACCAGGAGCGGTTTGCCAGCTTCCAAGACCTCCAAGCAGCTGCCGGCCCCTTAAGTATTAGAAGAAGGAAGATAGATACAAAGCAAGGCATTCCAACTCTGTTCCAACAGGAAGCTGAAATAGACCTGGTATTGATAACATATCTTGGTCACAAGATATTAGATTGTTCAGACTGACCCATCCATTTAGCACTGCTTGCTTATTGGATACTTTCCTTGTATTTAGAAAAAGATACATTTTCTTAGCATATGTTTTCTGCATTTCTGCCTCAAACATCAACTCAAGGCATATCAAATTTACCATCATTTGAGCTCTGAAACATAGGATGGATCTACACTGCCATATAATGCAGTTTGAATGTGCATTGTATGGTCAACATAGAAAGACATATACTTGTATATACTCGAATATATGCCAAGGCACCCAATTTTACGTCAAAAAACTGGGAAATGCAGCAGCTACTGGTAAATTTCGAAATATAAATAGATACCAATAAAATTATATTAATTGAGGCATCAGTAGGTAAAATGTTTTTGAATATTTACATAAAACTGTAATTTAAGATAAGACTGTCCAACTCTGATTAAACCATTATTCTAACCTTAAATGTAAATGTGCTTATATATTCCTCCAATAATAAGAGTATAATAATAAATGTAATAATAACAATAAATGTAATAAAATAATAATAGAGTAAAATAATGTAAACATAATAATAACAATAAATGTAATAAAATAATAATAGAGTATAATAATGTAAATGTAATAACAATAATAACAAAGTAAAATAAATGTAATAAAATAATAATAGAGTATAATAATGTAAATGTAATAACAATAATAATAAAGTAAAATAAATGTAATAAAATAATAATAGAGTAAAATGTTAATGTAATAATACTAAATAGAGTAAAATGTAAATGTGCTTACATATCCTTCCAATAATAATAGATTAAAATAATAAATGTAATAATAATAAGAGTAAAATAATAAATGTAATAAAGCAATAGTAAATACAGTAAAATAATAATAGAGTAAAATAATGTAAATATAATAATAATAATAATAATAATAATAATAATAACAGAGTAACAAAGAAATGTAATAAAATAATACTAATAACAGAATAAAATAATAAATAACTTTGACTCCAGTATAAGCTAAGGAGGGCTTTTTCAGCCTTAAAAAAGGGCCGAAAAACTCAGTTTATACTCGAGTATATACGGTAACTGCAATATATGGGTCTACATGACCGCATAATGCAGATCCAAACTGCTTTATATGACAGTATCGATCCAGCCATGGTCTATAAACATTATCAATACCGGTTTAGCCCTGAGAAGAAAAGACTTTAGGAAATCTAGGCTTCAGTAATACCTTTCTGGGTGAACAATGTTGATGTTGAGCTAATGAATAATATATAATGGAAAGCTGAATGTTAACTAACATTAGACATTAAGAAAAGGATAAAGTAGAATATAATAAGGTAATTGTTTAGAAAAAGTGATTTACACTGTTACACGTCTTTGTGTTGCCTGTATGAGATAAATACGGAGCCAATGTGGTTTAGTAGTTTGAGCAATGGGAGACACGGGTTTGAATTCACGCTTAGCCATTCAAACTCATTGGGCAAGTTGCACTCTCTCAGCCTTGGAAGGATGCAAGGAACACATCTTGCCAAGAAAACGATGACGACAACAACATTTTATATATTACCCGTCTCTCCTTTCAGCTCAACCTTGCAATACTTTGCCTTGTGGCCACAACTTGAAGTTTGGTAGCAATCAGATGGAAAAAGGGGATTTTTTTTGTGAATTTTTCATGTTTGTTGACAAATGAAACCATCCCAATTTCAAATACTTTTACCTGCATGACTTATAACCAGGTCTGCAGCTTGCACCTCTTCCGTGAGTGAGTTCTTAAACCTGAAGACTTCCAATGTGAATGCGTTCGTGCTGAATGGGTCTGGGCAAATGGAGCCCCTGCCGACCTGGAGGACCAGTTTCCGGTAGCCAAGATCCTGCAAAACCTGCAGCGGAAAAGGGAAATCTAGCTCAAATTAAAGATGCAAGATTACGTTACGTGCCCAGAGAGAAACATGAGCTTCCACATGCTTTCAAGTCCCTAAATATCTATTTCTTACAAGACAGTAGATCCCAAACTTTGGCCAGACAGGTGTTTTGGACTTCAAATCCCAGAATCCCTTGCCAGCTTGGCTCACAGTGAGGAATTCTGGGAGCTAAAGTCCGAAACATGGTTTTGGACTCCAACTCCCAGAATCCCCAGCCAGATTGGCCAACAGGAGGGGATTCTGGGAGCTGGGAGCTAAAGGACCAAACTCAGAGAACCATTAGCCTTTATCTCATGTTTCTAGATATCTCTCTTTCCTGCAAAAGTATAGGTCCCAAACCTTGATTTTCTAGATTTCTAGGATTTCAAGAATCCCCTATGAGTTTGACTATCAGTTGGGAATTCTGGGAGCTCGAGTCCAAAATATCTTGAAGGCTAAAGTTTGGGAAACACTGGTTTAATTGTGTCTCTGAAATGCCATAGATCCCTAATGTTGGTTTCCTCAAGTTTTTGGACTTCGACTCTCAGAATCCCCACAGATTGGACAATAGTTGGGAATTCGGGGAAATGAAGTCTCAAAGCTTGAGGACAAGTGTTTGGAAAACATGGTTTAGCTCCTATCCTAGATATCTCTCTTTCTTGCGAGTCAGTTGATTGCAAAAGATGGTCTTCCAGGTCTGAGGACTTCTATTCCCAGAATCCCCAACCAAAGCTCTGGCATTCTGGGAGCTGAAATCCGCAACTGCTGGAAGACCAACATTTTGGAAACATATCTCAAGACATCTTTCCCTCTGGCAAAGCCATAGATCCAAAAGGTTGGTCTCCCTGGATTTTTGGATCCCAACTTCCAGAATCCCTAGCCAGATTGGACAACCGTTGGGGATTCTGAGAGGTCAGGTGCAAAATACTGGGAAGCCCAGTTTAGGAAACAATGGTTTTGTCAGGTCTCTATCTTTCAAGACTTAGTTCCCTAATGTTGGTTCTCCATGGTTTAGGACTCCAACACCCAGAATCCCCAGCCAACTTGGATAACAATAGGGGATTCTGGGGGCTAAAGTTCGAAAGACATGAAGACAAGACCTTTCATCTTGGAAAGAAGTGACAAGTGGAGTGCGCAGGGTTCTGTCCTGTTTGACATCTTCATAAATGACTTAGATGAAGGGTTAGAAGGCCAGATCATCAAGTTTGCAGACGACACCAAATTGGGAGGGATAGCCAATACTCCAGAGGACAGGAGCAGAATTCAAAACGATCTTGACAGATTAGAGAGATGATTGGTCAAAACTAACAAAATGAAGTTCAACAGGGACACATGCAAGACACTCAGGCGGAATAAAAATGAAACGCAAAGAGACAGAATGGGGGGCGCCTGGCTTGAAAGCAGTACATGTGAAAAAGATTTCTGAGTCCTCATGGACAACAAGTTAAACATGAGCCAACAATGTGATGCGGTGGCAAAAAAAAGCCAATGGGATTTTGGCCTGCATCAACAGGAGTCTAGTGTCTAGGTCCAGGGAAGTCATGCTCCCCATGCTCTATTCTGCCTTGGTTAGACCACACCTGGAATATTGTGTCCAATTCTGAGCACCACAATTGAAGAGAGACGTTGACAAGCTGGAAAGTGTCCAGAGGAGGACGACTAAAATGATCAAGGGTCTGGAGAACAAGCCCTATGAGGAGCAGCTTAAGGAGCTGGGCATGTTTAGCCTGAAGAAGAGAAGGCTGAGAGGAGACATGATAGCCATGTATAAATATGCGAGGGGAAGTCATAAGGAGGAGGGAGCAAGCTTGCTTTCTGCTGCTCTGGAGACTAGGACGTGGAGCAATAGCTTCAAACTACAGGAAAGGAGATTCCATCTGAACATTAGGAAGAACTTCCTGATTGTGAGAGCTGTTCAGTAGTGGAACTCTCTGCCCCAGAGTGTGATGGAGGCTCCTTCTTTGGAGCTGAAATACGCAACTGCTGGAAGACCAACATTTTGGAAACCTGTCTCTAGACATCTTTCCCTCCTGCAAAGCCATAGAACCCTAATGTTGGTTCGCCATGGTTTAGGACTCCAACTCCCAGAATCCCCAGCCAGAATGGCCAACAGTACGGGATTCTGGGAGCTGGAGTCCAAACTGGGGGCTGTTGCACTCTTCTCTCCTGTCCCTAGATAACTTTCTTTCCTGCAAAGGCTGAACCTCCAGTGTTTTAGACTCCAACTCCCAGAATCCCCAGCCAGATTGGCCAACAGTAGGGGATTCTGGGAGCTGGAGTCCAAACTGGGGCTGTTACACTCTTCTCTCCTGTCCCTAGATAACTTTCTTTCCTGCAAAGGCTGAACCTCCAGTGTTTTGGACTCCAACTCCCAGAATCCCCAGTCAGATTGCCAACAGTTGGGGATTCTGGGAGTTGGAGTCCAAACTGGGGGCTGTTACACTCTTCTCTCCTGTCCCTAGATAACTTTATTTATTTATTTATTTACTGCATTTGTTGACCGCCGTTCTCAGCCCTAGGGCGACTCACGGCGGTATACAACATATAAAAAACAGTTTACAATAAGGGAATATCACAACAATAATATCAACATAACAATCAATAGTACAATTACACTAAATCATCCGCACCGTCTCATCGTAGAATCATAAACCAATCTCGTTATCCATATTCCGTTCCAGTCATCATTGCCAATTGTTGTAGCACTTAGTCGAACGCCTTCTCAAATAACCATGTCTTTAGTCTTTTGCGGAATGTCATAAGGGAGGGCGCCTGTCTGATGGCTGTTACACTCTTCTCTCCTGTCCCTAGATAACTTTCTTCCCTGCAAAAGCTGAACCTCCAGTGTTTTGGACTCCAACTCCCAGAATCCCCAGCCAGATTGGCCAACAGTAGGGGATTCTGGGAGCTGGAGTCCAAATTGGGGCTGTTACACTCTTCTCTCCTGTCCCTAAATAACTTTCTTTCCTGTAAAGGATGAACCTCCAGTGTTTTGGACTCCAACTCCCAGAATCCCCAGCCAGATTGGCCAACAGTTGGGGATTCTGGGAGCTGGAGTCCAAACTTGGGGCTGTTACACTCTTCTCTCCTGTCCCTAAATAACTTTCTTTCCTGTAAAGGATGAACCTCCAGTGTTTTGGACTCCAACTCCCAGAATCCCCAGCCAGATTGCCCAACAGTTGGGGATTCTGGGAGTTGGAGTCCAAAACGCCTGGAGGCCTATAGAACAGCTATACATAGATCCCAGTGTTGCAAGGAAGAGACCCCTATTGGAGATTCTAAGCTGGAAGGTTTGCAAAACAGTCCCTCTTGGGAAGGTAAGGGAAAGGCACCGGAAGTGACGCAACCTCCCCAGCGTCAAGGCCTACTTCCGCCCTTAGAACCAGAATCCGGCCGACTCGCCTTCACAGCCTCCGGAGCCGCGATGGCAGCGACGAGGTCGTCGAAGCTGGTGGTCCCGACGGTGACGAAGGCGGACTTCATCGCTGGGCGGCCCTCGATCGCGCAGGAAGAGGACGGGGCGCAAGGAAGAGCACACTTCCGGTAGTGGGACTTGGGGGAAAAGGTGTTGCTCTAGGACTACGAGTTGCCATAGTGACCGGTGGACTCTGTGGAAAATCCACAGAGATAGGAAATTTAGAGTGATGCTGCTATAGTTTCTTCCACTGAGAGACTATGGAAATCTGCAATTGGGTGCTTTGTATTTAGCTGTCTCTGATCCTTTACAAATCTATAAACTCCGTTGGATTCACGTGTTGTCAAAGTGTATTAATTGGAGAGACATGTGGCAGAGTGTGCCAGGAGTCAGAGTTCTGATTGGCTGCTGCCTCTGGCTAGCTGCTGAGACCAACGGTTCTAACTGTCATTTTGCCATTTCTCGCTTTGGACAGTGAAGAGGTTGCTGGCTGCCAACCATTTTGAATCCTGACCATTTTAAGGCATGGGGCATATTTTAAAGACTATTTAAAAGGACTGGGTTATTGTAGTTTTTTTCGGGCTATATGGCCATGTTCTAGAGGCATTCTCGCCTGACGTTTCGCCTGCATCTATGGCAAGCATCCTCAGAGGTTGTGAGGTCTGTTGGAACTAGGAAAATGGGTTTATATATCTGTGGAATGACCAGGGTGGGACAAAGAACTCTTGTCTGTTGGAGCTAGGGGGGTGAATGTTTCAACTGACCACTCTGATTAGCATTTGATGGCCTGGCAGTGCCTGGGGCAATCTTTTGTTGAGAGGTGATTAGATTTAAAAGGACTATTGGTAATAGTATGAAAGCTGGGTCCGGAAGCTCTGAGCGTTACGCTGTTTCCACTTCGCTCCTTCGGGAGCAGTGTTTGCGTAATGCAGAACGGAACATAGATATTATAGAAGGAATGTAAGAGTTCTTTAATGGTAAAACCCAAATCCTTACCCTAAACTTTACCCTAAGCTTAACCCTAACCCTTCACCCTAATTTTAACCCTAATCCTAACCCAAACCCTAAACCTTACCCTAAGCCTAACCTCTAACCCTAATCCTAACCTTACCCTAAACCTTATCCTAACCCTCCCCTCCTTTCTATCCTTCCACCAAAAGCAACTACGAAGTATATTCCTGCCTTCAGTGTGCCGATCTCCCCTTCCCTTATGCACAACCGCCGTTGCGGAATGTGCGTAAGGCTTGGAGTTTCCAGACCCAGCTATCATATTATCATCGGACTATTTTATTCTCTCTGTTCTGTGTCTGAATTCAAAGAGACTGATGTATATATTGTTAACTTGTTTGCACTTTTGAACTAAAGATACTGTTACTTGTTTCACAAGCCTGAGTGACATTTTATTGTACTTCAGGGTATATCTTGAGTTAAATACTGTGGTGAAGCTTCTGCTTATTTACATTTACCAACCCTCATAAAGTCTAGTCGTATCTGGGTGGTGCTCATCTCGATTTCTAACTCGAGGAGCTGGCATTGTCTGTAGACTCCTCCAAGGTCATGTGGCCAGCATGACTGCATGGAACGCCTTTACCTTCCCTCTGGAGCAGTACCTATTGATCTACTCACATTTGCATGTTTTCGAACTGCTAGGTTGGCAGAAGCTGGGGCCTGAACCGGTGCTTGGCCGCTGTGACGGTCTGGATGGGGGCGAACAAATTGAAATTGAATCCAGACAAGACAGAGGTACTCCTGGTTAGTCGTAAGGCCGAACAGGGTATAGGGTTACAGCCTGTGTTAGACGGGGTCGCACTCCCCCTGAAGACACAGGTTCGCAGTTTGGGTGTGATCCTGGACTCATCGCTGAGCCTGGAACCCCAGGTTTCGGCGGTGACCAGGGGAGCATTCGCACAGTTAAAACTTGTGCGCCAACTGCGACCGTACCTTGGGAAGTCTGACTTGGCCACGGTAGTCCACGCTCTGGTTACATCCCGTCTTGACTACTGCAACGCTCTCTACGTGGGGTTGCCTTTGAAGACGGCTTGGAAGCTCCAATTAGTCCAACAGGCGGCAGCCATGATACTAACCGGAGCGGGGCGCAGGGAGCATACAACTCCTCTGCTGTACCAGCTCCACTGGCTGCCGATTTGCTACCGGGCCCAATTCAAAGTGCTGGCGCTGGCCTTTAAAGCCCTAAACGGTTCTGGCCCAACTTATCTATCCGAACGTATCTCGGCCTATCAGCCCACCAGGACCCTAAGATCTTCTGGGGAGGCCCTCCTCTCTATCCCGCCTGCTTCACAGGTGTGGCTGGCGGGAACGAGAGACAGGGCCTTTTCTGTGGTGGCCCCTCGGCTTTGGAATGCCCTCCCCATAGAGGTGAGATCAGCCCCTTCGCTGATGGTATTTCGAAAAAGGTTGAAGACATGGATGTTTAAACAAGCATTCGATTAATCTGGTGCAACGAAACTGATGAACAAGGATTGGTTAATCACAGACGACGAAATTGGATTGCGACTACAATTAAGAGATGCATTGGATTATTATTGGTGGCCCAATAATATTGTGTATTGTGTATGTGTTTTTATGCTTTTTAATGGAATATTGCTGCTTGTCGTTGTGTTGTAAACCGCGTTGAGTCGCCGATTTAGGCTGAGAAACGGCGGTATATAAGCACAGTAATAAATAAATAAATAAATAAATAAATAAATAAATAAATAACAGTGGGAGCTCACCCTGCTCCCCAGATTCGAACCACCGACCTTTCAGTCAGCAAGTTCAGCAGCTCAGCGGTTTCACCTGCTGTGCCACCAGGGGCTCCCTGTGTCAATGTGGCTACACAAATGGGCAGATGGCTTGCCATGTATATGCTGTGTTCCGGCCTGAGTCCCTTTCGGGGTGAGAAGGGCAGAATATAAATGTTTTAAATAAATAAAATAAATAAATGGGAAGATAACCACTTGAAGCCTAACCCTGCCAAGACACAATTGTGTGCTTTCCAGCCAGGAGGTGGCAGTGTTTGTGAAGAATGCCTTCCATTGGCTCTTCCAGGCCTACCCAACTTTAAACTATAATTTTAAATTTATTGGTAGGGCTTTTATTTTATTAGTAGGCATTTTAATCTTAGGTCTTTGCCATTCAATACACACATACATATACCTTTTATTGATCTTATGTATTTATCTATGGATTGTATGTATGTTCTAACTCACCTGGAGGAGAGGAAGGTAACAAACAATTTGTTGTTGTTGTATTATAATATACTAGCCATCCCCTGCCATGTGTTGCTGTGGCCCAGTATTGTGATATGGAAAATAAAGTAACGAGAAAGTGTTGGGTTTCTAATATATGTAGTTTCTTTCTGCTTGTGGGTAAACATTATTTTTTGTTGTTTCTTTGTCAGTGTTGATGTGGAGATTGTCTGGTTTTCCTACTCTGGAACATGCAATATATAATTGTCCTTCTTTAGGGGTCCCTTTCGAATCTATGATACCATATCTCTGTGTGTGAGTGAATCATATCTATCTATATCTAGGACTGGATGGCTCTTTGTCAGGAGGGCTTTGATTACGTTTTCTTGCCCTGGTGAAGGGAGTTCAACTGGATGGCCTTAAGTATTTTCTGATGGTCATCAAGGTTCTGTGTGGGAAGTTTGGCCCAATTCTGTCGTTCATGGGGTTCAGAATGCTCTTTGATTGCAGGTGAACTATAAATCCCAGCAACTACAACTCCCAAATGTCAAGGTCTATTTCTCCCAAACTCCATCTGTGTTCATATTTGAGAATATGGAATATTTGTGCCAAGTTTGGTCCAGATCCATCATTGCTTTAAATATAAATGTTTTAAATAAATAAATAATATAACATTGTTTGAGTCCACAGTGCTCTCTGGATGTAGGTGAACTACAACTCCAAATCTCAAGTTCAATGCCCACCAAACCCTTCTAGTGTTTTCTGTTGGTTGTGGGAGTCCTGTGCGTCACGATTGGTACAATTCCATCATTGGTGGAGTTCAGAATGCTCTTTGATTGTAGGTAAACTAGAAATCCCAGCAACTATAACTCCCAAATGACAAAATCATTTTTTTAGTGATGGTCGCTCCTTGGGTTAGTAGGTGTCTTATGGCCAAATTTGGCAGCAATTCGTCCAGTAGTTTTTGAGTTATGTTAATCCCACAAACGAATGTTACATTTTTATTTATATAGATATGTGTGTGTTATGTAATAATATTTATTTATTCATTACTTAATTCTTTTTAACCCTTTATTTTTAATAGTTCTGTGTTTAATCATCTTGTTTTATTTTAGCAACGTTGCACCTTGCCCCGAGGAAGGGTGACTAACATTATTATTATTATTATTATTATTATTATTATTATTATTATTATTATTATTATTATATCTCCAGCAGGGGGAGGTGAGTATCTCAACAACAAATCCCAAAACAGTTGCAGCTGTTTGATAGTACATTAACTGTCAGGGCTCTGTCCTAAGCACCCTGGGATTTATAGTTTGCCAAGGTGCTGCTTTGGATTCTGAACTAGACAGCTTTACACCCCCTTCCCTGGATTACAGCACTAGAACTCTCTGGCAGAGTGGTGAGTACCTCACCCAACTACAAATCCCAGGACAATTGAAGTGGAATCAGTCTGCTCTAACTCTGCAGTGTGGATGCACTCTTGCCAAAGTAATAGCAAATGTAGCAGACCTTGGGCTTTGTAGTACAGTATGTACCACTGGGGATACATTTCATATTCCTTCTTCCTTCTGTTTATAAACAACTTGCCCCAAGGTGCTCATTAAAAGCAATTGTTGCAGATACAGTCAAATGCCGTTGTATGTGTAGCTCTTTCTCCCAATATATTGTACTGCCATTTGCCGTTGAAACTTCAGTCCTGTAAAGCCGCCAGCTCTCCATCTCCACAAGCACGGCATCCACCATTGGAAGGCCAAAGGTTGTCTTCAAAGATCCTGCAAGAAATAACCTCTCTCTGATTTAGTTTCTCTTTTTTCCCAAGCTGCCATCATAAAGAACCAGAGCATCCAGTGGTGCGATGAGTTAAATCCTTGTGCTGGCAGGACTGCTGACCAAAAGGTCGGCAGTTCGAATCCAAGAAGCAGGGTGAACTCCCATCTGTCAGCTCCAGCTTCTCTTGCAGGGACGTGAGAGCAGCCTCCCACAGGATGGTAAAATATCCGGGTGTACAGATCGTCAATTCTCTCACACCAGAAGTGACATGTAGTTTCTCAAGTCACTCCTGACACTGAAAAAAAAATCATAAAGAACACCAAAAGCTTGCCTTGGATGTATCTGATGCAAATGAGCACCAATTACTGAATTTACACTCAATTAAGGGGTCGCTTTGTTGTAATTATGGCATGAATTTTCACACTGGACAAAAGCCACTGAAAGAACAAATCTCTCCAGGAAGCGCTACAAACCCGAAATGCCAATTCTGAAAAGCTCCTCAGCTTGTATAGATGGCCCTTACCCATAATTGCATGTGCCCAAAGCAAGATCAAATGGAAAACCAAATGAAAGAAACCCCTTGACACGAGATGGCTTAATCTAGATGCTTTTATTCTCTTTATTGGGGGTCGTTTGTTGTGAATATTGGGGCTGCATCCAAGGAAAGATCAACAACTTTCATCTTTGGTAGAAACGTTGGAAAAACATCTTTGAGTCCTCGTGAACAGGAAGGTGAACATGAGCCAACAATGTCATGCGGCAGCTAAAAAGCCAATGGGATTTTGGCCTGCATAAATAAGAGTCTAGATCCAGGGAAGTCATGCTCCCCATGCTCTATTCTGCCTTGGTCAGACCACACCTGGAATCACACTGTGTCCAGTTCTGGGCACTGCAATTGAAGGGAGATGTTGACAAGCTGGAATGTGTCCAGAGGAGGGCGGCTAAAATGATCAAGGGTCTGGAGAACAAGCCCTATGAGGAGAGGCTTAAAGAGCTGGGCATGTTTAGCCTGAAGAAGAGAAGGCTGAGATGACACATGACGAGGGCCATGTATCAAGATGTGAGAGGAAGTCAAAGAGGGGAGGGAGCAAGCTTGTTTTCTGGAGATTAGGACGCAATGGAAAAATATCTTCAATATCTTCAAACTACAGGAAAGGAGATTCCACCTGAACATGAGGATGAACTTCCTCACTGCGAGAGCTGTTTAGCAGTGGAACTCTCTGCTCTGGAGTGTCATGGAGGCTCCTTTATTGGAGGCTTTGAAACACAGGCTGGATGGCCATCTGTCAGGGGTGCTTTGAATGTGATTTTCCTGGTTCTTGGCAGAATGGGGTTGGACTGGATGGCCCACGAGGTCTCTTCCAACTCTAGGATTCTATGATTTTGAAAAGACATTTGCCTGGTCTTCAAGGCTGCATCTACACAGTAGAATCAATGCGGTTTGACATGGTAAGCCCCTAACTATAGCAGTTTTCTGTGCAAGAAACAGCATTATTATTATTATTATTATTATTATTATTATTATTATTATTATTGCAAAGGAAATGCTGTTTTCTACATAGGAAATGCTGCTTTGCTAACAAGTGCAAATGTTGCTCTGATAAAGCCCTGAATTGTGAAAAGGCTAAAAAAAACTATAGTTTTTCAAAGGATATGAGTGAAGCCTTCATTGGGTGAATCTGTCCATTTTGTTTTATGTTTCAAAATATGACTGTTTTTTTCTGTCTCATTCCTGCAAGCATTTAGGAATTCCTGAAATTTCCATATCGTGCAGCTTATGGGTCTACATCATGCGTGGGCCAATTTGGGCCCTCCAGGTGCTTTGGACTTCAACTTCCACAATTCCTAACAGCCTCAGGCTCTTTCCTTTCCCCCCTCCGTTGCTTAACCCTGAGGCTGTTAGGAATTGTGGGAGTTGAAGTCCAAAACACCTGGAGGGCCCAAGTTCACCTGTGCCTGGTCTATACTGACCCTGTAATACAGTTCCGAACTGCATTATCTGGCAGCGTAGGTCCAGTCAAAGCGCACCCCAATTGCTGAGCAAAAAGAGTGAATGCTTTGCTAAGAAAACCTAACATGGATTCTTTATGTATGTATGTGTGTGTGTGTAGATGTTAGAAATCACCCTACTATTCTTAACGCATTAGATGAATACGTGCTTGTTATTGCTATAGCCAAGGGAGTAGATACGATGGCTAATTTTAGCATGCCTTGAGTTGGGGGAATTTGCACTTTCAAGGTATGGAGGGAATAGGGAATTGGAAGATCAATCTTGAACCGGAAGATTTCCCTTCGGAGATTTATTTCTAGGCTAAATTGCAAGATTGAGCTGAGATTAGTTTTCATTTCGAGCACCTTCCAGGCCTAGAAACAGTGACTCTGCCCCACTTTTTTTCCTTCCAAGAAAACTATTTCTTCAAGAACTACTATGCTTGAACACGTTGATTGGTGATACTGATCACCGCCATCACTATTTATGCATATAAATAGTGGCTTGTTGCGTAGCAGAAAATATAGTTTGACATAACTGATATTATAGCCTGAGCATCCCCTATCTAGCAGGTAGCAATCCAAAATATGTCTAAATACAAAATGACTGAGAGAGTGAACCCTTTGTCCAAACGTTGGGTGCATCTACACTGTAGAAATAATGCAATTTGGCCCCACTTTAACCACCCACACTCAATGCTGTGAAATCATGGGACTCATAGGAGCCCCCGGTGGCGCAGTGGGTTAAACCCCTGTGCCGGCAGGACTGAAGACCGACAGGTCACAGGTTCAAATCCGGGGAGAGGCAGATGAGCTCCCTCTATCAGCTCCAGCTCCTCATATGGGGACATGAGAGAAGTCTCCCACAAGGATGATAAAAAATACATCAAATCATCTAGGCGTCCCCTGGGGAACGTCCTTGCAGACGGCCAATTCTCTCACACCAGAAATGACTTGCAGTTTCTCAAGTCACTCCTGACACGACAAAAAAAATGGGACTCATCTGCAAGAGTCTTGATGCCTCACCAAACAACAGCTCCCAAGATTCTGTAGCATTGAACAATAGCTGTGAAAGTGGTATCGAACTGCATTTGTTCTATAGCAGCACTTCTCAACCTGGGAGTTGTGAGGGGGTGTCAGAGGGGTCACCAAAGACAATCGGAAAACACAGTATTTTCTGTTGGTCATGGGGTTCTGTGTGGGAAGTTTGGCCCAATTCTATTGTTGGTGGGGTTCATAATGCTCTTTGATTTTAGGTGAACTATAAATCCCAGCAACTACAACACCCAAATGTCAAGGTCTATTTTCCCAAAAAAACACAAAGGCTAACATTTTGGCTTATTGAGTATTTGTGAACTATAAATATTGAGTATTTGTGACCTATAAATCCCAGCAACTAAACTCCCAAATGTCAAGGTCTATTTTCCCCAAACACCACCAGTGCTCACATTTTGGCTTATTGGGTATTTGTGCCACGTTTGGTCCAGATCCATCATTGTTTAAGACCACAGTGCTCTGGATGTAGGTGAACTACAATTCCAAAACTCAAAATCAATGCCCTTCCAGTATTTTCTATTGATTATGGGGTTCTGTGAGGGAAGTTTGGCCCAATTGTATTGTTGGTGGAGTTCACAATGCTCTTTGATTTTAGGTGAACTATAAATCCCAGCAACTACAACTCCCAAATGTCAAGGTCTATTTTCCCCAAACTCCACCAGTGCTCACATTTTAGCATATTGAGTATTCATTCCAAGTTTGGTCCAGATCCATCATTGTTTGAGTCCACAGTGCTCTCTGGATGTAGGTGAACTACAACTCCAAAACTCAAGATCAATGCCCACTATGCCCTTCCAGTATTTTCTGTTGGTCATTGGAGTTCTGTGTGCCAAGTTTGGTTCAATTCTATTGTTGGTGGAGACAGGATGCTCTTTGATTGTAGGTGAACTATAAATCCCAGCAACTCCCAAATGACAAAATCAATCCCCCCTCCAACCCTACCACTATTCAAATGTGGGCGTATCGGGTATTTGTGCCAATTTTGATCCAATGAATAAAAATACATCCTGCATATCAGATATTTACATTACAATTCAAAACAGTAGCAAAATTATAGTTGTGAAATAGCAACAAAAATAATGTTATGGTTGGGGGTCACCACAACATGAGGAACTGTATTAAGGGGTTGCAGCATTAAGAAGATTGAGAACCACTGTTCTACAGTGTAGATGCACCCTTTGTTTATGCCAAAAGTATGAAAAACTTTGTGCATAACTTCAGGCTGAGTGTGAGTAGTATATGAAGCCTAAGTGACGTCCATGTTTAAACTCGGATTCCATTTCCAAGTGCTCTCATTATGTACATATATGCCAAATTCTGGAGGGGAAAAAATCAGAAATCCCAAGCATTTTTGATAAGATTGACTCAACCTGCATCACCATGCAGCCATTGTTTTGATTCAGGACTTTTGTCTGTTGGTCTGTGATCGTTTTTAAATTCTTCTCTGTTTCCAACTTGGGATCCTTTTTCAAACCATCTTTGCCCAATGAAGACAGTAAGCTTTGAAAGCTAGAGCAATGAACTGGGACCTATTCGGTTGGCATTTTAGAAAGGCATTTTGGAAACCAAGAATATTGGATCCATAGATGTTTCTCTCTAACTATGTGGCATATGCATGAATTAAATAATTTGTTCAAGTTGCAAGCACACTAAGTTGTGTTATTGCGTATCGCAAGAGGCTGTTTATGAAGGTGAGGTGACAACATGAATTGTCCTCATCGTTCTATGCACACCTTACAATATTCTATTTTAACACATCCTTCCTTATGGAGGACTTTGACCACCTTGACCACACTCTCTATTGGTTGGCTATCTGTGTCTCAGTTTCTCCCTGCAAAATGCTGCCAGGTAAGCAAAAGTGGAATTTAAAACAAAAACTTATTTGTATAATATTACTGTTTGCTCTATGCTCACTTTATGTGTGCCTGAATCCTTGTTGTTACAGATAAGAGTGCCTTGTTGATAAGGCACTCTTATCAATAGGGTTTTCTTGGCAAAGGATTGAGATTACCTTGTACAACTTTTATAATTGGCCCCATCGAACCCAGAAAAATGATACATCCATTTTGGGGGGCCACCACAAAAAGTGTAGAAATTTTCCACTCTTATCTACCCTTTCCTCACAGTGGAAATCATTCTGGATCTAAACTTTTCGGGGGAAATTTCTTTTTGTACTTCAAGTCCCCAAACCCCCATGATTCTGGGAGGTATAGTCCCCACAAAGTAACATTCCCAGGTTCTGATCCTAATCAGATGGATCTGTCGAATTCCCACCTAGAATATTGTCCACCAACAAGTCCCATATCCACTATAGTCAGTCTGGAGAACAACGTCCAGATGAATGCAAAACCATCCTGCATCCCAGGTCCATTTCGCTGGGAAAACCCAGTCTGTCCAAATGGGGACCGGCTCTTGAGATCCAAGTGAGCAAGGAAACCATGCCAGATATGGGAGACCCATGTTTGGAAGGCAGTCTTAGACTGGAATGTATATTTCTGTCTTTCTGGCAAGTTGGATTTTTGCAAATCTGTTGGAAAACAAATCAGTAGAACTTCTTGTGGCATGTGCTACTCTACGTTTGTGGATGAGTATGGATTCTCTTGGGATCCATCCATGAGTTCTAAAATTACACCATCTGTCCTTCAGTTTCCATATCCTGTATTGAAAAGGAGTTATTGGGGAAATGTTTCAATTTGTATCACATCATCCAGTGTTGAATGCTTGTGTAGCTTCCTTGGACTCCAATGTTCAACTGCAATGTCTTGACTGGTGGTCCATTTGCCTTTATTCACTACTAGAAAGTCTTCAAGGAACCTTCCATTTTACTTCTGTAGATCTTCTGCAATACTTTTGAAATAAAGCAAACAGATGCCTTGAACAATTTTGGAGAATGGTGCAAGATCTCAAAGCACTGTCAAGTCATATTGACCCATATATCCATGGGTCAAATGTTGAATTGAAACCAAACCCACAGCACATCTTAGTTGGAGTTCCTAATAGCAGGTTAAACTTGTGGGATGTGTGGTTACATTCTGAAGGCAAATCATAAACTGTGTGTCTTTGGTATTTGCTTGGGTTTGATTTGAAGATCTGCCCTGGATAATCCATTGGTGCTCAAGTCCCATTATTATACAAGGGTGTTATATAAAATGGGAAAAATGATTATTTTAATGTGGTTGGCTGAAATCATGGATGCAGAATCTGGAGACACAGCCGACTGTCTGTCACCCTTCAAGGCCTACTGGGATTTCCACGGACCTAGAGGTTTCCTTCATTTCCATGTTCTGAATTAAGCTTCCCCTCATAGATGTCTCCTTGGTGGCCACTTGTGTCTGGTCCCTAAGGAGTTGGGATCCGACCATCCATTTCAACGTCTGTGAACTGCGGTATGTTCTCAGTGCTCTCGGGAGATGTGGCGATGGGGGAGATGACATGCTTCAGCCTCAGCAGCATGGTGAAGAGGAGGATAAGCAGGATAGCCAAGAGGGTCAGGAACAGCCCAACATACATGTACAGGTTGGAGTATTTATCTGCGGAGGTCACTTCTGTGGTAAGGGTGGGGGGTGGGTGGGCACGGCCACTCAGATTTCCACGGATTCGGAAGTAGGCCTCAGTCATTGCTTATTCAGGTCTTGTCCATGGTCTCTGTGGACTTGGGAGTTTTCTTGTACGTCTTGGATGGTTCCTACAAGATGCTGAAGTCCTCTCCTTACATTGGAAAGTACTTCTCATTAGAAACTTCCATTGCACAGCTTTACCACAACCGATTCCTCTTGATTTTATGTTGTTCCTACCTTTATTTACCTGCAATCTGTCCTGGCTGGAAAAGCATATATTTCGCTCCTCCTCTGGAAACAAAAATACATCCAAGGTGGGAAGTGAGTTTCCTGCCAACCGCCTTATGGAGGCAAGATCTGGTTTTCGTTAATTTTGGAAATGCTCTGCTATCTTTATCATAAAGGACTGGTTTAGAAACATATGGAAAGTTCAGGCCTTCTCACTTCCCACATTCAATTGACCCAGTTTTCAGCAGAATCGGAACACGTGTTCTTTCTAAAACAGAAGAAAAAAAGGACAATCAGTGATAGTAAATGATGTTATGAGGCAAAGCTACGTAATACGTGACTGCATTTCTGTGTACGAACCCACATGATCTCTCCGATCATCTGGTGAGGCCCTGCTTGCGCTCCCACCTCCTTCGCAGGCGTGATTGGTGGGGACGAGGGAGAGGGCCTACTCAGTGTTGGCCCCCCGACTCTGGAACTCACTTCCCAAGGATATCAGACATGTCCCAACCCTGGCAGTCTTTAGGAGGAGCCTGAAAACGTGGTTGTTCCAGTGTGCCTTCCCAAAATAAGGAAAACTCTCAGCAATATGCCCTCAAAATGCACTTTACCATTGATTTAGGACTGACTGCGTTCCCTCATTTCTCTTTGAAAAACCCTATCCCAGTTATATTCTACCTTGTTCATGCCCAGCTTTATTTTTTTAAATTTAAATTATTCATTTGGCCCGGCCATAGGTTTTTGAAATGCTTGTGTGTTATTTATTTATTTATTTATTTACTCCTTTTGTATACCGCAAATATCAGCCTACGGCGACTCTAAGCGGTTTACAGTAAAATGTGCAACATTGAACAATATATGTGACAAACAACCACAAACAATACACATAACGTCATCACGCCTCGAATAGAATCAGATCCAAATCTCACAGTCGTTTTACCATTCCTTGTTCAGTATGCCGTCTTTCTGAGTCAGATGTTATTGCATGCTTATCCGAACGCCTGTTCGAAGAGCCACGTCTTAACCCGCCTCCTAAACGCCAATAGCGAGGGGGCCTGCCTGATCTCCACTGGTAGGGCATTCCATAGCCGAGGGGCCACCACCGAGAAGGCCCTGTCCCTCGTCCCCGCCAGCCGCACTTGTGATGCTGGCGGGACCGAGAGCAGGGCCTCCCCGGACGATCTTAGCATCCTCGCCGGTTCGTAGGCGGAGATGCGTTCGGAGAGGTAAGTGGGGCCGGAACCGTGTAGGGCTTTATAGGCTAAAGCCAGCACCTTGAATTGTGCTCGGTAGCAAATTGGCAGCCAGTGGAGCTGGCTCAACAGTGGAGTGGTGTGCTCCCTGAGTTACTGTTATTGTTACTGTTATTGTATTGTTTATTTTTTGTTATGTGATTTATAGTAATTGTCTTGTATTGATTTTTTGGTATTTGCTGTTGTTTATTGATGTACTGTGGGTTTGGCCTCATGTAAGCTGCACCAAGTCCCTTGGGGAGATGGTAGTGGGGTATAAATAAAGATTATTATTATTATTATTATTATTATTATTATTATTATTATTATTAATTGTCTATTGAAAGCTGCATGTAACAGTTCCATAATGATGCTCAGTTGATTTCATATATGGGATGGTCAGGGGTGTGTGGGTGATAAATCCACTCTGGGTTTCAGTCTGAACTTCATCCAAGGAGCTTAATTTATGTTACGGATAGAGTTAGGAATATTGGTGAGCTCCTTTAAGGCTGAGACTTGGGCACATCTACACCAAAGAATTAATGCAATTTGATAGCACTTTCACTACCGTAGGCCAATGCTATAGAATCAGTGAGATGTTAGTTTTCCAAGATCTTTCACCTCTCTGCCAATAGTTTTGGTGCCTCACCAAATTGTAACTCCACAGCATTTCCCATACTTAAAGTGGGGTTAAACCACATTAATTCTACAGTGTAGATGTGTCATAGGATTCTAGGACTCCAGTATCTGAATAAAGCAGTGGTTTTCAGCCTTTGGTCCTTCCGTTGTTTTGAACTTCAACTCCCAGAAATCCCAGCAATTTTACCAGCTGTTAGGAATTATGGGTGCTGAAGTCCAAAACACATGGAGGACCAAATGTTAGGAACCACTACAGTAAAGGAAACCCACTGGATAACGTTGGACAGGCAATGGCAAACCTCTTTTGAACACATCTGGCCAGGAAAATGTAGCCACTTTGAATCTCATTGAAAAGAAAAAAGCAGAGAATAAATATTAATAATCTTATTAATAATAAGGAGTCAACTTGAAGGCAGGTTGCAACAGCAACTCCTTTTTAGTCTATTGATGTACATGAATATTAAAGTATATAAAAATGAAGAAATGAAAGGACAGAAAAAATAGAGGGAGTCCAGTTCCCTGATCCCATCAGTGGCTGAGCTCTGCCTTGAAATTAAACAAAATGCTGTGTCTGCTTATCCATGTCTGCGATGCCTTGTTAGAAACTTTAATCCCATACTTTTTAAAGTATTCTTACCTCTCTGCCCTTAAAACAGAACTCACAGCAACACTTACGATTTAATATAAGTAGAAAGGCAGGAATGGGAGATGAACATTACATACAATTCTTACATTCAGGTGCTTACATTCCAAGCCTGGAAAAGTTACTAAAACTTCCAGAAACTCTGATGGCCACTTGTTACTCTTTTTTAAGAAGAGGGATTATCTATCTATATCTATATCTATATCTATATCTATAAAACCTCCCCCCTCCCAGAACTGGAACATATACACTGGTTTCCTTTATCATCACAACAACTCTGCGAAGCAGGCCAGAGTTGTTTTTATTATTATTATTATTATTATTATTATTATTATTATTATTATTATTATTTTTGGTGTCAGGAGCAACTTGCGAAACTGCAAGTCGCTTCTGGTGTGAGAGAATTGGCTCTCTGCAAAGACATTGCCCAGGGGACGTCTAGATGTTTTACCATCCTGTGGGAGGCTTCTCTCATGTCTTTGCATGAGAAGCTGGAGCTGACAGCTGGGAGCTCATCCCACTCCCCAGATTCAAACTGCTGACCTTTTGTATTGTCGAAGGCTTTCATGGCCGAAATCACAGGGTTGTTGTAGGTTTTTTCGGGCTATATGGCCATGTTCTAGAGGCATTTCTCCTGACGTTTCGCCTACATCTATGGCAAGCATCCTCAGAGGTAGTGAGTAGTCCTGCAGCACAAGGGTTTTACCCATTGCACCATCAGGAACTCCTAATAGTTTCATTATAGAGCCAAGACTGGGACCAAGAGCAACCTTCCTGCTTTCAAATGGTGCCCATCTAATGGACCTAGCAAATATATTGCAAACAGAGAGGGAGAATTGGGCTCCTAGAGCAGTAAGGTTGCATAACAAGGCTCTGCTATAGCTAGGCAACTCGGGTAAACATCCAGGCATCAGCAACAAGTGTCTACCTTGACTGTCCCAAAGTGGAGTAAAATAATAACAACAATAATAATAGTAATGGTATTGCGGACTAGGGTTTATTTATTTATTTACTATATTTGTATACCGCTTTTCTCAGCCCTCAGGTGACTCAAAGCAGTTAATAATAGCAATTCAATGCAATAACATAAAACAGTTAAAAACAGTTAAAACAGTATCACATTAAAACAATCCATTATACATCAATAAACAGTTGTTCAATAAACTGAGTTGTCGACTCAGAGTGGTGAACAGTGCTAAAAACAATGCAATAGACAATATAAAACCTAAAGCCTATAAACATTAAAAAGAAGAATTAAACCAAATACTATTTAAAAATAAACAACTAACCATTAAAAACCTATTTAAAATATATAAATAGGAAGAAAGAATGCACCCCTCGCTATTCTGGATAAGAAAACCATACGAACAGGAAAAACATATTGTCGAAGGCTTTCATGGCTGGAATCACTGGGTTGTTGTAGGTTTTTTCGGGCTATATGGCCATGGTCTTCTCTAGCTCCAGCAGACAAGAGTCCTTTGTCTCACCCTGGTCATTCCACAGATATATAAACCCACTGTCATAGTTCCAACAGACCTCACTACCTCTGAGGATGCTTGCCATAGATGCGGGCGAAACGTCAGGAGAGAATGCCTCTAGACCAATGATGGGCAACCTTTTGAGCTTGGTGTGTCAATACTCGCCAAAAAACCGAGCATAACTCGAGTGGGGTGTCCGAGAAAAAATCCATAATTTCATGATATTTATACTTTAATGACAAAAATATATTATTGTGATATATAACTGTATTTAATAAACCAAAAACTAATTATTTAACTTACCTGCTTTTTCTATAATGCCATATATCTTGGCATTATAGAAAAATGCTGGTGTAGGAACCGAGGATGAAATGTCCTTCTTCTCTGTATGCGGCCGCATGCGGCTGTGTGTCATCGAAAATGGCTACGCGTGTCAGTGCTGACACACGTGTCATAGGTTCGCCATCATGGCTCTAGACCATGGCCTTATAGCCCGAAAAAAACAACAACAACCCAGGAAAAACCTAGATTTCCTGTGCTGATCAATCTGTGAATCTCAATCAAAAATGACAGCAATAATAAGTGCTACTTGAGGCAGCCGCTTCACTTTGCTCAACGACAAAGCCAACTTTGTCACCAACTTCTTTTCGAAGTTTTCATCCTCTCTGAAACAGGAGGCTTTCTTGCAAGAGGCATGAGAGATGTGGCATCCATCACAAAGTTAAATCAATCTGGAGCGAAACCCTCCGACTTAATAATCAGAAGTTGCAAAATAGACAGGATTTCAAGCCAAAGGCACATAGGTTTCAATCCACAGCTAGGTTCCTAGCATTTGGTATCTCTTCCCTTTAAAAACACCCGCCCACCCGCTCCGAAAACAGACACCTTAATGCCTGCTTTGAGAAAATAAAATCTGCTAGGAATATTACTTTCCCTTCTCCCAGCGACAGATGGTCTCCTTTCTGATTATTGACACACACAAAAAGCACCCCACGATGTGCCGGCGCAGCCTGAGAAGCAAACAAGCGGATTTCGAGATGCACAAACCATTACCTTTCAGAGAAAATGCAGCGCCTGGGGAGCAAGGCTCAGGAAGGTACCTGCAGTGAGACGGCGGGAGAGATGGAGATGTTGTGCTTCGCTCTCTAAAAGCATCTCCCCCAAATTTCGGATTCTCTGGAGGAGCCCAATGACAGTTCAGCTTATGGAGATGGAGACTTTTCGGGCACTGTTGGGAGACCCTTTGCTTCTTTTCCTAGGCAATCCTATTTAACCCAGGCTCTGGGTGCAAATCCTCCTCTTCAGGCCCAAAGACCAATCTGTCCATCTCCAAAGGAGGACCAAGGGATGCCTTTGCTCCTCTCTCTTCTGTTGCAGGCAGGCAGACTGGACTTAGAGGAGAGAGAGAGAGAGATGGCTCTCCAAACTGGATGCTGCTTCTGCTTCTTTAGGAGGGAGAGAAGGAGAAGGCTGCCAATAGACTACTTGCAAAGTTTCTACAAGCCTCTGGGTTATTTTCTTTTAACTCCTTCCATGCCACAACCTCGAAAGGCTCACTCATTTCTCATTTAGGAAGCCAGATGCAAAGGCAAGATTTAGAATGGGAGCTCATGTTCCGACTTGGCACAGGTTCGAGAAGCTAAGGCCAGATGCAGTCTGGCAATATATGAAGGGCTTTGTGGCAAATTGACACTGAATGCCGCCCAGCATTGGTGCATCTACACCAGTGGTTCCCAATGCCACGATCTCTTAATACAGTTCCTCATGTTGTGGTGACCCCCAACCATAACATTATTTTAGTTTCTAATGCATAACTCTAATTTTATTTATTTATTTATTTAAAATAAAGAAATAAATATTGATTGATTTATGACATTTATATGCAACCCTTCTCACCCCGAAACGGATTCAATTTTGCCACTGTTATGAATTGTAATGTTATTATCTGATATGCAGGATGTATTTTCATTCACTGGACCAAATTTGGCACAAATTTGAATACTAGAGGGTTTGGAAGAAGATTGATTTTGTCATTTGAGAGTTGTAGTTGCTGGGATTTATAGTTCACCTACAATCAAAGAGCATTTTGAACTCAACCAATGATGGAATTGAACCAAACTTGGCACACAGGACTCCCTTGACCAACAGAAAATACTGGAAGGGTTTGGTGGGCATTGACCTTGAGTTTTGGAGTTGTAGTTCACCTGCATCCAGAGAGCACTGTGGACTCAATGGTGGATCTGTGATGGGTGAGAAAGCAATGTAATGTATCTGGAAGGAGGATCAGATGGGACAAAAAACAATGGGGTTTAATGCACTAAGGCAGGGGTCATCAAACATTTTAAGCAGAGGGCCAAGTCATAGTTCCTCAAACTGTTGGAGGGCCAGATTATAATTTGAAAAAAACATGAATGAATTCCTACGCACATTGCACATATCATATTTGTAGTGCCAAAACACGTAAAAAACAATACAATAATTAAAATGAAGAACAATTTAAACAAATATAAACTTATTAGTATTTCAATGGGAAGTGTGGGCCTGGTTTTGGCTGATGAGATAGGATCGTTGTTGTGGTTGTGTGCTTTCAAGTCATTTCAGACTTAGGTTGACCCTGAGCAAGGGCCAGGTAAATGACCTTGGAGGGCCGCATCCGGCCCACGGGCCTTAGTTCGGGGACCCCTGCACTAGGGGATAGAATAAAATGCTTCTGAGGACATATTATGTAGGGTTTGGTCAAGGTCAGGGATTAATTATTCATTGTATTCTCCAAGGCTTTCATGGCTGGAATCACTGGGTTGTTGTAGGTTTTCGGGCTATATGGCCATGTTCTAGATTAGAAGCATTCTCTCCTGACATTTCACCTGCATCTATAGGAGCCCCCGATGGCGCAGAGGGTTAAACCCCTGTGCCGGCAGGACTGAAGACCCACAGGTCGCAGTTTCGAATCCAGGGAGGGAGTGGATGAGCCCCCTCTGTCAGCTCCAGCTCCTCATGCGGGGACATGAGAGAAGCCTCCCACAAGGATGGTAAAAGATCAAAACATTCTGGCGTCCCCTGGGCAACGTCCTTGCAGACGGCCAATTCTCTCACACCAGAAACGACTTGCAGTTTCTCACAAGCAAAACCTGCATCTATGGCAAGCATCCTCAGTACATCTGACAATACATATGTATGTATATTTCTATCGCATCTATAATTAGCAGGCATGGCCATATAGCCTCTGGGCCTTCCCTCATCTGCTTCAAAAGTGGTGTTGTTCAAGCCTTCATTGAAAAAAAATGACCTGTGTGGGAGATGTTTGTGCGCCAGATCAAGAGGCCTCCCTGGGCTAATGAGAATGCTGTGTGTTGCTCTTTCAAGTGAGAATCACAAGGTTCCAAAACACTTTTATCCTCAGAGCTGTAAATGCATCTGCGGTAAACAAGCCTTCCTCTTCCTGGGCAGAGCGCAAGCGGGGAAAACCCCGAGGCTCAGAAACCTGGCTGGGACCCAGGGATATTTCCTTCCCCTTCCTGCAAAAAAAAAACAAAAAAAAAAAAACCCTGCCCATGTTGAGATGAATGATGCAAGGCAAACAAGGGGGTGCATCTCCATTGTGGAATGAACACAGTTTGACACCACTTGGCTCAATGCAATCCTGGGACTTGTTGGTTTACAACGTCTTTATGCCAAACAGTGTTGGTGCCTCACCAAACTACACATCCCAGCATTGAGCCATGGCAATTGAAATGGTACCAAATGGCACTCATGCTGTAGATATACCCCGCCCAAAAAAGTCTTCCACAATTCACATATATATACGACTGCCTCTCATAGTACCCTGGGATTTGTAGTTTGGTGAGGCACTAGAATGGGCATCCTCAAACTTTTTAAACATTTTAAACTTTTTAAACAGAGGACCAGGTCACAATCCCTCAAAAACTGTTGGAGGGCTGGATTATAATTTGAAAGAAAAAAAGATGAATGAATTCCAATGTACACTGCACATATCTTATTTGTAGTGCAAAAAAAAAAACACTTAAAAACAATACAATAATTAAAACGAAGAACAATTTTAACAAATATAAACTTATTAGTATTTCAATGGGAAGTGTGGGCCTGCTTTTGGCTGATGAGATAGGATTGTTGTAGCTGTTGTTGTTGTTGTGTGCCTTCAAGTAGTTTCAGACTTAGGTTAACCCTGAGTGAGGGCCAGATAAATGACCTTGGAGGGCCGTATCCAGCCCCCGGGCCTTAGTTTGAGGACCCCTGCACTAGAACTTCAAAGTGGGCAATTCGAAACACCTAGAGAAATATAGAAAGCCCCCCCTGGTGATGCAGTGGATTAAACCACTGAGCTGCTGAACTTGCTGACCAAAAGGTTGGCAGTTGAATCTGGAGAGCGGGGTGAGTTCCCACTGTTAGGTCCAGCTTCTGCCAACCTAACAGTTTGAAAACATGCAAATGTGAGAAGATCAATAGGTACCAATTCTGCGGGACGGAAACGTCACTCTATGTAGTCATGCTGGCCACATGACCTTGGAGGCGTCTATGGACAACACCAACTCTTTGGCTTAGAAATGGAGATGAGCACCAACCCCCAGAGTTGGACACAACTAGACTTAATGTCAGGGGAAACCTTTATCTTTACTTAGAACAGTGATCCTCAACCTCCCTAATGCTGCAACTCCATAATACAGTTCCTTATGTTGTGGTCACCCACAACCATAAAATTATTTTCATTGCTATTTCATAACTGTAACTTTGTTACTGTTATGAATCATAATGTAAATATCTGACGTGCAGGATGTATTTTCATTCACTGGACCAAATTTGGCACAAATACCTGCAACACCCACATTTGAATCCTGTTGGAGTGGGGGGTCGGGGCTTATTGATTTTGTCATTTGGGAGTTGTGGTTGCTGGGATTTATAGTTTACCTACAATCAAAGAGCATTCTGAACACCACCAATGATGGAATTGAATCAAACATGGGACACAGAGCTCCCATGACCACCAGCAAATACTGGAAGGGTTAGGTGGGCATTGACCTTGAGTTTGGGAGTTGTAGTTCACCTACACCCAGAGAGCACTGTGGACTCCAACAATTATGTGTCTGGACCAAACTTGGCATGAGTACTCAATATGCCCAAAAGTGAACACTGGTTGAGTTTAGGGGGAAATAGACCTTAACAGTGGAGTTGTAGGTTCTGGGATGTATAGTTCACCTGCAATCTAAAAAGCACTCTGAACTCCACCAATGATGGACCCAGAACTTAAACTTGGAACACAGAACCCCATGACTAACTTAACCTACCAGAAGTCTTTGAAGGGATTTATAGGAGTTGTCTTACATCCAGAGAACACTATGAGCACAAACAATGATGGATCTGGAGCAAACTTGGCATATATACCAAATATGCCAAAATTTGAATACTGGTGGATTTTGAGGGGAATTGGTCTTGACATTTTGGAGTTGTAGTTGCTGGGATTTATAGTTCACCTACAATCAAAGAGCATTCTGAACCCCATCAATGATAGAATTGTGCCAAATTTCCCACAAAGAACCCCCACGACCAACAGAAAATACTGTGTTTTCTGATGGTCTTTGGCAACCTCTTTGACACCCCCTCATGACCCTCTCAGGGGTCCCGACTTCCCAACCCCCCCCCCCCCATGTTGAGAAATGCTGACTTAGAGAAACTACACTACCCAGGAATCCATAGAACAAAGCCATGGAGCTAAAGGAGAACAGATGAGTCTTCATGGGTGCCATTTGGCAACTGGTGCTCCAAAGTTGTATCTCCAAAATAAGTTCTGTAAATTGGGAAGCTCTTTCACAGTTCGGACTTAAAGCAGGAGTGGATTCACTGTCCCGCTGCCATGAAGCCACCGTCCACCATTGCTTCAATGGAGGGTACAGAGAGTAACGAATGAAGCTCATTGAACTTCTATACCACAAAGTGCTCAGCATTGCTACGCAATTCATGGGACGAAAACGGAGCGGCTTTGTTTTGCCAGGAATGCATCAAAGGGGCTAAGTTTAGCACTCCTCATGCCACAAAGACGAGGCAAAGAGAAACCCGGAGGGCTTGTCTTCTTATTTTTAAAAATATTCCGCAATTATGCTGCAATCACATGAGAAGCAGATGGGGCTAGAAACACATGAAAGTGGCCCATAATAAGGAGTTGGGGAAACATCGGTCTCATTGTGAACCCTGCCACTGGTTTGCTTTCTTGCTGTTTCGGGGGAAGTTATTTGCAAGGACATTTCCATAATTTCATAATGAATTGTTGACAAACCTGCAGATCAATGACTCTTTTAGAAGAAGGAAAGTCTGCTTTGATGATCACCACTAAAATATTCATGCAGGGGCCATTTAAACTAGGGGATTATAGTGCTATGATTCCACTTTCATTGCTATGGTTCCCATCCTATGCAATCTTGGGTTTAGGAAGGGTGATTTCCCTCATGTTTAGGTGGGATCCCTTT